GACACTTGAATATAAAAGTTTATTATTATTGTTTTGTTATTATTACATGTAAGCGTAAACGGAAACGGTCTCTATTGCCTTGTTGAATGAATTTAAAATGTTCAACTTCCTGTCGGTTCTAAGATTTGAGTGAAAGAAAAGGCCACTTTTTTGGACAACTTGTTCCTTCAGCAGTTTCAATACAATGGTCATTTGATTTTACATCTTCCAATAAAAGAACATGATCGAATACAAGAACATGTCACCAGCAGAGACAAACAAATAAACAAAAATAAAATGTACTGATCTACTCAGTGGTGGATCCAGGGGGAGGGTTTGGGGGGTCCCCCCCATCAGACCTGATGCTTGGTTGAGACTGAAATTCTTACATTGACAGCACCGTAAATAACTTTTTAACTGGCTGATTTTTTCTAAATGAAACACGCATAGCATTTTACCACTAAGCTAAATTCCAAGGGAGCATCCTTTGCAACTAGAGTGAATGATTTTCCAGTAATCGGACACTTAGTTATGCGCACAGGATTATGGGATCGCCAGGGGGCAAACATTGCAAGTCGCTACAAAGAAATGTATGGCGTGGAGCTGTTTCTCCGTTAGAAGCGGTGTCTTTGGACAGAGAATGCAACATTTCGCCATGATTTTATGAGAAGCGGAGGTGACCAATGTTGTTGCGAAGAAATAGTAAGTCTTTGTGGGATCAATGCGATGAAATCTATTGATAAACACTGATTCTTGCGAAAGGTCGACTGTCAATTTACTAAATGGTTTCGAAATATATAGTACTAACTTAGGTATAAATGAGCAGGGAATGCGGACTCATTTAAGCCTTTCCAGTTGTAGTTACATGTGCTCATATTTACAACAAGTGTAATTACGCTCCGCTCGGCGGCGATCACAATGCTGTGCCGGTTTGTGACAACGATCAAAGATAAGCTTATGTATTGTTGAATTTGATATGTATTAAATTTAAAAGCAAAAACATCTTCCGCACGTTAGTATATTGATTTCTTCTCGCCAAAAAAACACAAGCGAATTGTTTTGTCATGATCCAGAGCACCGATGAGTTCTAATGCCTTTTCCAATCATTTTGAGGGAAGATATAGAATCTCTGAACTTGGTATTTATTTTCAAACTCACCGCCTTTGTATCGGAAATCTTACTCGTTCATACGATTTCTGCCTCATCTACTAATGATTAAATACCATGTACTTTCCATGAAATATTTTGTAGATGTCACTTTGTTTATACCAAATGGGGTAGTACATTCTAGAAAGGTATGACATTTTTTTTTCAACCCTGAAAACCTTACAGGTTTTTTTTTTGCCTCAATGTCTATGGCCATTTTGGTCTTACTCTAATTGGGCCATCTCAACCACTGAGTTGTAACTTGTCACTATATACTACTACTACTACTACCACTACCACTACCACTACCACTACCACCACTGCTACCACTACCACTACTGCTACCACCACTATTACTTCTACTACCACCACTACCACCACCACCACCACCACTACTAATAATAATACCTGACTTTGCCAAGAAATCATCTCCAGAAAGCATAAAACTGATAATGAATTCGAAGGAACATCATGTAAATAAGTTAGTTATGAAAATACCTGATTCATTGTTAGTAATGTAACTGAATTTTTCTAGATTATTATTAGCGCTGTTTGTTTATATTTTGATTGTCATATGCATGCTTTTGCAATACTGTAAAATGATGCGGAACATGCAAATAAAGCAATTTATTACTATTACTATTACTACTACTGCTACCACTACCACCACTACTACTACTACCACCACTACTACTTCTACTACCACCACTACCACCACCACCACTACTACTACTACTACTACTACTACTACCACTTTATAGCCTGGGACTCACTTCTATCTGGTCTACTACCCTGAGTCCCTTGCTATAATGAATAATGTTCATTGGAGTACAGGGAATGAAGATTGCATTGCAAGGAAATCCTGTCATTTAAAAGAATAGATGAAGGGCTTTGAGGGCTTTTTATAGTGCAAGTAAGAATTGAGCCGGTTCCTGCCCAACTAACACATGAAAACCTCACTGTGCAGTTATCAACAGTGATTGCATATAGGCTTTAATAACAGAATATCGCATGGTGCATCCAGTTTAAGGTGGCTCAACTGGATTTTTTAAGGAGTATACTTCCCCACTTTGAGCGTTTACCACATCGGCATTAACAAAGATATCGGAAAAAGGTTACAACAGCTGCACTATATAAAGATCAAAATTGGCTATGATCCATGTTTTACTGACATTAGAGTTACCATGGCAACATAATGACGCCATTATGTTTTTTACTTGCCTTTGTATTTCTTGGTACTTGGATTTTTTTTCAGTAATTGCTTAAGGGAGCTTGTACCTCCCTTAGTTGCCTTAGTTGTGGCAAAGTTTAAACACATTCTACGAGAGCGTTTTGGAAATATTTTGAAACAAAGCTTCAACGGTGAAAGGTTTGAACCCAGGAGTCATTTCAAAAGGTTGAGTTTGATCGTCCGGGTGAACGTAGTCCTGAATAGGACTGTTGTTGTTGACAGTGACTGACGTTTCGACAACCTGTGCGGTAGTCATCTTCAGAGTCAAAGTGAGTTGTATCACGTCAGTTGATGGTATTATACTCTGGTTACTGATCTGATTGGTCAATTATGTCGCGATGTTATTGGTCGTCTGTCAGTTAAGCCGTGATGTTATTGGCTATGAAGACTCGTAATCAGTGATTGGTGCGTTTCGATCCGTCTATTGTCACAGTTAAACAGTCGTCTATTGTTAGTCAAATTGTCAGTTCTCCAGTTGTTCTCTCGTAGTTAGTTTTGCTTGAGCTCGTCAATAAGTCGTTTGTACGGCGCTGGTAACTGTTGGCTACGATTCAGTGGCGTTTGTTCCAAGTTAGTAAACCAGCTTTCTAAAGTAAGACGTTGATAGTAGTCTGTAGAATACGTTATACATGTCGCAGAGTCCCAGTCAATTTGATGTTTCGTCTTTAAATGGTGCTCAGCAATGTGATTGTTGACGTCACCATTCCTCGTCGCGCGTTTGTGTTCGGTCAGTCGCATGCTTAGGTTTCTGCCGGTTTCACCAATGTAAGAAGCCTGGCAGTCGCAGCATTTGATCTTGTATACTGCTCCCTGTCTGTCCTCCGGTTTGTCTTTGTCCTTTACATTAGTAAGCAGTCGCCGTAAAGTGGTTATCGGTTTGTGCGCAACACGTATATTGTAAGGTTGTAATATACGTGCAATAGTTTCAGAGGTGCCTCTGATGTAAGGTATAGTCGCTGTCGTAACAGGGCCAGAGTTTGTGTGAGAGTTGGAATCAGTGTTACTTTGAGTGTTCCGTCTAACAAAGTCCGTTTTGTAATTGTTCTCGCTAAAAACGTTGTTAAGATAATCAGTCTCGTCTTGTAGGCTGTCAGGTGAGTCGTAAACTAGTTGCGCTCGTCTCGTCAGAGTCCGGATAGTAGTAGCCTTGTGAGAGGTCGGGTTGTACGAAGACTGGTCTAGTAATCGGTCGGTATGTGTCGGTTTTCTGTAAATAGTCGTTTTTAGCTTGTTGTTGTTGCGAGTGACCAAGCAGTCTAGAAAAGGTATCTTACCATTTTCTTCGATCTCCTTGGTGAACTGTATGTCCGCGTTCTGAGTGTCTGTTAAGATGTTCGTGAAAATCGTCAATTACGTCTTTGTGTACGGCTGTGAATGTGTCGTCAACGTAACGTAACCAAAGAGGTACAGTTCGCGTGTAGGTAGCTAGGGCTTATTCCTCAATGTTTTGCATGACAATTTCTGCTACAACAACAGAAACTGGAGAGCCCATAGCTGTACCGTGTAACTGTTTGTAGTGTTTGCCGTTGTACTGAAAGTACGTCGAAGTCAAACAGAGGTTGAGTAGGTCCATAATGTCGTCTGTAGGTAGTGGTAGTTCAACAGTAGAGTTCTTAATAGCGTTCTCAGTACAGTCTAGAGCCAGTTGAACTCACTTTGACTCTGAAGATGACTACCGCACAGGTTGTCGAAACGTCAGTCACTGTCAACAACAACAGTCCTATTCAGGACTACGTTCACCCGGACGATCAAACTCAACCTTTCGAAAGTTTCAACGGTCATAAAAACAGTGAATAAACATACTATCGACATAATTAGCTAACATCTTACGAAAGGGATGAGGCCTGGAAATGCAGTTTCATCTCACAGTGGTCTAATGTCATTTGAAACTTTGTCAGAAAAAAAAGTGAGAGATTTCTTCGGCCGATTGTGAGAAAGAGGAATTTGATTAGCCTACCTTTGGCTGCTTTCTTTACCATTTTTGTACGTAATTTGGTCCACACCTACAAATTTCACGGTTATTTAAAAACGTTTCGATAAATTTTTTTTAATAAAATGACAATCCCGAGATTAATTGTCGGTTTACATCTCCGCTAAATTCAAGGACATTGAAAACAAGGAAGGTAATTAAGGTGACTCGACCCAGTTTTTTTGGGGGGGGTACCATCCTACTTTGAAGCTCTCTGGTTTCCCCACCTTTACTTTAATCGTAAGTCTAACACATAGAATGGATAACATATAGATCAATCTACAATATAACATAAAATTTTTGGCGATCGGAGTAAATGTCACGTGGTTATAATGCCACGCCCCTTTGAGGTCTGAGTCGAAAATCTGCTGTTGCCGGCATTTTTTCGTGAAAATCTCTCGGCTACACATAGTGCGCATTAGTGCCTTGCGCTGAACAGAGTTTCACCAAAATCGCAAAGACCCAATTCGAGAAATTCAGCGGTTTCCAAATTTAGGTCATAATTTATGCGAAAATGATAAGCAAACTTTACACGGATTATATCTAACAAACTACGAGATTCATCTCTGTATTTTGGGCATCCTTATAACAGATGGATCCTTGCAAGTCAGCAAAACGCTTCAGGGCCTTGTAAATGCGCGCGATTTCGAGCAAAGCAAACATATAGAAATTATACTTTTCGGTATTTGTTGACGTTTGTCAGCGTTTAAGAGTCAATCTCATGAAAAAAGCCATTTCTTAAAAATTGGTAGTTTTTTTTCCTTCAAATTTTTTCAGGGCCACAATTGATTAACTAACTACCCGGACTCTGAATTTCATGGTCATTGAAAAACTGTGACATTACCTTCTATAAGCGCAAATTTGAGTAAACATTGAAGATTTTTACCGTTTTGGCTGAGTTTGTGCTTTGGGAGTTGTCTATTGTTTCCAGTCTGTCATTATACAGCATTCTTGTTCAGCACGCGTGCAATGACCACGCGCGGCTGACTTCTGTCGATAGGATAGCAGGATTTTTACATAAAAAAGGCAGCTTTCTTACAAAAATACCTTTTGTAACAAAACAGATTTTTTACATAAAAAAGCAGCTTTTTTACAAAAATATATTTTGTAAAAAAGCAGCTTTTTTACATAAAAAAGCTGCTTTTTTACAAAAATATATTTTTGTAAAAAAGCAGTATTTTTACGACCAAGTAACTTGTAAAAAAGCAGCTTTTTTACGTAAAAAAGCTGCTTTTTTACATAAAAAAGCAGTATTTTTACAAGCGGCTAATTTGTAAAAAAGCAGCTTTTTTACGACCAAGTAACTTGTAAAAAAGCAGCTTTTTTACGTAAAAAAGCTGCTTTTTTACATAAAAAAGCAGTATTTTTACAAGCGGCTAATTTGTAAAAAAGCTGCTTTTTTACAAAAATATATTTTTGTAAAAAAGCAGTATTTTTACAACCGCTCAATTTGTAAAAAAGCAGCTTTTTTACATAAAAATGACGCTTTTTTACAAGGACCGTTTTTTTTATGCAACATATATATATATATATATATATATATATATATATATATATATATTAAACGAACAATCCTAGAAGCAATGTCGTTTGTCGTGTGGTTTTGTGTTACTTTCGGGTGAGTAATGATTGAAATACATTGTCCAGGGCTCAAAGTTAGCGACTAACTGGTCGCATATGCGACTGGATTTTTGGTTGTACGCCTAAAAATTCATGTGTAATCGCACCTGTGCGCCGTAAAACCCAAAGCACAGTGCGACTGACTTACCTTCGAAGGTCTTTACTTTTGACCACTTGTTCGGTCATCGTTCAGACTTCTTCAACAATTTGACAATTTGTTTTTGAATGAATGGCCAGAAGACCAGAAAAATAGATGCCTGACCTCTAGCACAAACAGTATAGGCCTTCATTTTCATGAAGGAGGAGAGAAAATAAAAGAAAACGATAAAAATACCAAAATAGAAAACATACAAAATGGGTAGGCAGAAAAAACCTCGCGTGCGTGTACAGTTGGGCAAAAATTAAAAAAAAATTTTTCTTCAAATTTTAGTTTGAAATTGCTTTGAACGGTTATTTAGATAAATTTCTTACCTGAATCAGTTTTCATTTGCCGAAAGAAGCATTAAATGCTTTGCGCAAAATACAATTTATAATCGGAACGAACTTTTGAAACACCCTGTAGTACCATTACCGTAAACATGAATGTGGCAATAAAAAAGTTTCTGTTTTTATGTGATACAATAAAATATCATTATAGTCTCTTGCTTTACTGCTCTGATAATTATAGAGATCAAGGGCATCAAAGTTGGTTCAACTTGGAGTTGAACCCCGGGGGGGTTACTCCTGAGAATTCTTGGTTAGGGTGTACCGCCCGGTTCTTCAAACCCTGACCCGATTTCAGACCAAAAAAATCCAGAACCAGTTTTCAGAGTACACCTCTAAATCCACACCCATTTTCAGACCTGGTCCGTTTAGGCAGAAATTATGTTATCATTACTTAGATTAGGGCGCAAACACAGAAACTATTCAAATCCATTTCGAATTCGCATATTTCTCTTTCTTACTTACTCATTTGGAACTGAAACGATAAAAATGTTCATACACTCTCGTAGTTCCCTCGAAAACCATACCCGATTCCACACCAAAATAGGCAAAGTGTATACCCGTTTTCAGACCAAAAACCGCAAAAACCCTACCCGATAGGGCGGCACAAACCTATATGGCTAAGGGAGTATGCCCCTCCCGGGTTAAAACCTCTGATTAGTGAGTAGTCCATTTTTATAAAACGGGACGACTGCAATGCAGTTTAACATGAAAATGTAAGAAGTTGGGGGAAAGTGAATAATCCAATTCAGGATCACAGTTTTGCTTATCCATGCAGGTTTTTTTTTCAGGTTTCTTTGCAATGTAAATGCCCTTTTCGAAAAAGGAAACTGCTAAGTTGTCGACTACAAATAGTTGTCGATATCTACGTTTTTGACCGTTTAGTCTAGTGTGTGGAGATATGTAGTTTACTTGTCGACAACTGTCCTATTTGATTAAATCTTCTTTGTCAGTGGTCATTTTTACCCTAATAGCATCCGAGAATGAGCACGCACTAATGTCGGGTGCGGTAATACACAGGGTTGCTTTGACTTTGTGCAGGGTTGCGTTCATTTGTGGTCTCAAAATGCAGGAAAGGTACATATCTTAAAATTTTACCGGGGGGAGCATGCCCCTAGAGGCTAGTACCTTCGGCGGTCGTGGGAATGGCTTTGCCTCTGCTAAAACCTCCCTTTTTTCAGTTGACAGCGGTGGGATAATAATAATAATAATAATAATAATAATCCATTTATATAGCGCCTTTTCTACAAGATTCAAAGGCGCTGTTTACAAAAGTGAGACAAAACTAAAAAGTAAAAATAATCACAAGAAATTGACATTGAAAACTACACGCTAACTACAAAATAGATAAATGTACCCAAAAGATAAATAAATAAATAAATAAATAAATAAAAACATCACGATTCATAAGCTCGCATAAAAAGAAATGTTTTAAGTTTGCGTTTAAAATCATCAATTGAGTTTGCAGATTTAATATCCTCAGGTAAGTTATTCCAACGTTTCGGAGCAGCAACAGAAAAAGCTCGTTCACCATCTCCGCCAGGAATCTCTACCAACAGAGTATTGGAAGCTCATGCTCAAAACAATTTTGCCCTAATTGCCACAGCTTGTTGTAAACAGCAAGTTTTACAGAAAAACTTACTTTAACAAGTATCGGTTCCCCTTGCTCTCCATCCTTTTTTTCAGTTTATTTATTTATTTATTGTTTGTTTGATCATCTTTTTCCCTTCGGCTTGTTTCCCTTTATCCTCACTGCTGACCCTTTACAGCCTCGCGAGATTTTTGCGATAGCGTATTTCTAGTATGTAGGTAATATCTTCCCTTTTCGAGTTTATATATCGAACTTCTCGACTGCCAGTGTTTCCCTCGTCACCATTTTGAAACGTTCATTAAAAGCTTGCGCAATGAATCTTAGTTTCCAAGTTCTGGGCGGACATCATTTGTTATCGACAACTAAAACATTCCAGTGTGTAGAATGCTTGCATCGGACATAGTTAGCGATCGATGACTTTTTCTTGTCGATAAGAGATAGTTGTCGGCAACTTAATGTCTTGTCTGTGGCGGCCCTAAAATATTCTTTGTGATGTCAAGAGCCATATGGCTCTTGGTGATGTCCAAGATTTGAACGAAAACTTCTCTAGGGAAAACACGTTAAATTCGCGAGAAAATGTGAAAATATCGTCATCATATACAGAAAATACCTTATATTGTTCAGGTGAATAAGTAGGTTAATTAAGAAAAAATTACTGGTCACCCATGAAGGAGGAAAGTTGCCTCGGGTAGGCGAGTAATCCCTAGAGGAGCTTTACAAGACAGGTAGGGTAACCCTCTTGCTAGGGCATAACCCAAGCAGTCAGGTAAGAAAAGAAGAAATGTGTGAGTGCTAGGGTAACCCTAGCACCAGAGTTACCTTCCCTCCTTGTAAACAGGGCCTATAATTTAACCTGTGTGCGCATTGTATGACACCCAGGGGACTTTTTTCGCTGGTGTTCATTTTATGATCTTTCGTGTCCGAGAGTGAGGTGACGTGAATTAGGTGAAAACGTTTACTTATGCTCTGTAGTTTCATTAAATATTTTTGTAATTAGGTACCTGTTCTAACTAAATTAGTTTACATGGAAATATGTCTATATCTAAAGCTAAAGGAAGAAAAAATTGCCGCTATATTACCCTGCGAGCAGAGGCTTCTTTATTATATATGTACTGGGATTTACTCTAATATAATAGGCCCTTTGCAGCTTGCCATTCTCGAGGTACAAAACCGCCATGCTGGGACACAAAAGTCGCACTGAAACAGACAAACAATGGCGGTTTTGTATCACGTGAATGACAAGCTGCAAAGGGCCTATTTGACAAATAAAAACCATTCGTTAAAAATTAATGGCAATTTAATCGATATCATGTTTGACTGGTGGGACAATTTTTCTGAATCTTATCGTATGACCAATCACCGGCCGCAAACGAAAAACTTCACTAGTGAAAAAATCGTATGGGTTTTCCCGCTTTTCACTGTCCGCTTTCACTGAGAAAAGCAGCATTGAAGTCATGGCGTCGGCCATTTTAAATTTTCAATAAAGGAATTTAAAGAATTTGTTATTGCCTTCAACAATAAATTAAATAACGTAATCTACTTCCACAATCTTTGATACGCTGAATAAATTCTATTCCATCGTTTATATAACATCAGATAAATGCGTCAGACTCATTCTGAGTTTACAATATCATTGGTATTTAACTCAGGGGGAATTCCTACAAGAAGTGTCCATGAGGATACGTTCCAGTGTGCTTTTTCGGTTTCTCTTTCCCTCCTGTCCCCACCCCCTCTTTGTTGAGCAACACCAAAAGCCCACCAACGATTTTTAGCGTAGCTAAGTGCCACCTTATCCATCCCATTTATTTTAGGGGAACAGTCCCGTTTAAATTTGCCAATTAACCTGATTTTGCCAAATGTTTCTTGCGTTTGATTTAGTTCCTCAACTGGCGGAAAATACTTACCAGAGATGGCACTGCAGCCTTTCAGTGACCAGCAATTGAATTTCTTCAAGTTCTCGTTGTTAGTAGTAAATGAATTCCCAAAAGCCTTACGGCAGACCTTTAAAACCATGTGGGACAACACCTATGGAGGTCGCCCTGGTTTCCAGCTCTGGGATGATTCAACTGCTGTGAGAAATTTGTTTGCCACTACGGAGGGGGGCAGAACTAAAGTTCCTATTAACCAGTCTTACAATGAGTGGGATTGCACCAACCTGTTCCAGGCCACAATATTTTCCAGGTCTTATGCATTACCAGCCAGCACAGGATCCTTCACCACGCTTAGTGATTTGTACGTCAAACCCCGTGCAATTCCTTATGGTAGTTTCCACGCATGTGTGCTCAGCCCGGGTGGAAACAATGCGGAGACCGTTGCACTTGCCATTGATCAGCTTCGTCGTCTTAGGAATTCACTTTGTCACTCAACAAGTTCTGAGATGGACAAACTGACCTTTGACCAGCGCATGAATTGCGCCAAAGGTGCGTTTCAAGCTCTTGGTGTCTCAACAGCTCCAATCGACGCCGTTGGTAGTTTGACAGAGTCGGACTTTCCGACAAATGAAGTTCGTTCTTTGGAAATGCGACAACGAGACGAGACTCGAGCGTACATCAATTTTCTCGAGGAAGTGAGCTCAGATGTTGGTGAGATAAAAGCGATGTTACAGGCATTAAAAGCAGGACAAGAACAGATCAATGAGTTGAAAGAAGGACAACGCGAACGTGATGCTCAAAGTAAAAATTCAGGTATAAGTAAAAAACAGAACATTGAAAACCTAACCGAGATACATGTAGATTGTACTGAGGTGGTCCTTTGAAGTCATTCAAAGCATCGAGTTAGTTAAAGCGACACTGTTTTAAATAATTATTGATGGGTTCTAGAATTTTATGAGAAACAAGTAAACCTGCATAGGAAGTGTTTCCGGGCGAGTTCGATTCGTTGGCTCACGTTCCAACACGGTTGCCACGCAGGCTACCTCCTGTATGGCAGGCTCGCGCCCCTGATTCTCGTCTTTTACCACCATTTTAAAAGATTTTTAGTCTTAAAAAATGTAAAAAAAAAAAAAAAATTCCACGGCTTGTCATGAATGTAACGACGGAAAAAAGGAATTTTATAACAACAGAACTTTTTCGGGAAGCAGTGATCCTTCTATCTTCATTTCTGTGCTTGAATTGCAATTTTAAACTCTTTAGAAAGACCGTTATTTTTGACCTCCACAACAGATAAAGCCACTTATTTATTTACGTTAGCGTGTGTTTTTCGTTTACTTTTTATTTCGTTTTTTTCCCTTAAAGGCACGAAGCCATTTTTCTCAAATGCCGCTCTACCGCCCATGGTTCCAAATTTTACAGGTCGTCAGAGCGAGTGCGAAGCTATCATCAGGCTCGTGACATCGGATTCCTCACGACTGGTGTCGATCTGCGGTTCACCTGGATTCGGAAAAACGTCTGTCGCGATTGCAGTGGGACACGCTGTTCAGTCTCGAGGAATTCCTGTTTATTGGATCTCATTAAGAGGACTCCATTCCAAAGCAGATCTGATTGCAAAGTTTCTTAGTTTTCTGAGCCAATCCACCACACATACTAACCTGCCCGATCAGCTTTTATCCATTGATGATGAGATTTGCCTACTATTCAGCGAAATTTCAAAACCATCTGTAGTTATTCTTGACAATGCAGATGATTTGCTAGAAACTGGTTTTCCGAAAATGAAGGAAGAGGTCACACAACTTTTTGGGGAAATTCTTAGGCGAAATCAAAAGGTTACATTTGTTATAACCACAAGAGAGTCTCTTGACTACATAGACCTTAATTTTCAAGGCCATTGGGAGTTAAGAATAAACCCACTGGATGAAGCCTCTGCTCAAACTCTGGTTTCTGAATTACTTCCAAATGCAGGCGTTGCAGACTCCACTGAAATCGCTTACATCTGTGGACAAGTCCCTTTAGCCATGAGATTAATGTGTTCTTTAGTATCTGAAGAAGATAGTGCTCAACCGCGCCATTTTCTAGATGTTTTCATGACATCTTCGACAGAAAGTCTCGTTGAAATGTTGGGCCATCCAGATTATCCAGCTAGTCTCCGATTACAGTTGTTGTTTGAATCTTCTTTCCGGAGACTACCTGCGCACGAACAAGAAGCACTTGTATGTTTGAGCATTCTTCCCGACAACTTTAGTACAGAAGTGGCTGCAGCTGTTTTAGGTAAGACGGGGACTATTGAAGCAATGAAGATATTACGAAGCCTTCGGAGAAAGTCGCTGATTGATTCAAGCTCTAAAACGGGGGCATTCACTATGCACAAGCTTTTGCAATCATTTGCGAGATATAAGGGAGAACAAGAGATGAAAGAGAGGATTTTTGAATCACGGGGATTTTTGAAAGCGTTCTACATTTCAATTTTTGAAAAGCTAAATGAGCAATTTCTTTCCGGGCATTTAATGGCAGCATACATTGCATTCTACGAAGATAAGGAAAAGATTATTGAAAGTCTAGTGGAGGGTTGTTCAGATTTCAAAACAGCTGACAGTGTTTTGGACATTTTAGTAAGAGGAGAGATGTTTCTTGAATCACTTTTTCGGAGTCCGAGTGACAAAAAAATCTTTGATTACATATACGATGCAGCCATAAGAGCAGCCACTTTATTCAAGAAGGAAAAATATCTCAGTCAACTCCTTACTGCCCTAGCTTTCAAAGAGCTACCGTACGGAACAGAAGGTAAGAAATAACATTTTCTTTCTAAAGTGCATGAAATTCATGACACTTCACCCATCATCCCTTCCCACGAAAGAGGAAAATACTTGCGCTACTTGGGAATCAATTACTTTTTTTACAGAGGAACCAAAGATCGGAGTCGAGTGCTTAAAGGAGGCTCTGTCATCACTTGACAATTGTAACAACCCAGAGCAAACAATTTTTAAGCTTGTTATTTTTCAGATACTTGCCGTTTATTTTCGGTCCCTAAATGATTACTCTAGTGCCAGTAAGTTTTATGACAAGGCACTACTCGAATGCAGTGGGAGTTGAGGACTGGGATCTACTTGTCATCTCATCAATGACAAGGGAAACAAAGGAAACTACCCCTGAAATTCATATTGTCCATATTCAAAGCGACTCGGAAATCTGTCTAAATCAGCCGCTCAAATGCGAAACTGCCGTTCTATTAAGCGAAGCAACGAAGTTGTTCTTTGATTCTGACACCAGCCAATCTACATGCAGGTTGGTTCTCCAGATAGTACAGAGTGTCGAAAGAGAAGTCAAAATTTCAGTTGGTTTGCTTAATTAGTTGCCAAAGAGTTGTGACACACGTTTTGTGGCTTTTAAGTGACGTATTTTGGGGAATTTTGCTATCTAAACAGTTCATGGATTAGAAAAAGTATTACTTTCATGTTAATGAGTTCCTTATGGAATAAATTCACGCTTTCGTACCAAAACTCAGTAACAAATGTTTTTGTTGGTTTCCGTCCGCCATGTTGGTGCCCGTCCAGGTGGGCACCAGCATGGCGTCTCCATACAAATCTCTATAAATTTGGGTAAAAAATTTCTTCGGATATCTCGTATACGGAATATTCTTCTGACCTGAATCTTGGTTAGGAACTTGGTATATTTACCTCCTTTCATTTCCCAGATTCCGGACTTTATCTATTGAACGGTTTTGATTTTTATTTTGATCTATTTTGAATGGCGTGACACTGAAAACCAACAATACGTATTAAACTGTTTGGAGAAGAACATGAAAGCACTGCTGACAGCTCAGACAGCTATAGGGAGCTTAGTCTAAAGGAACACGCAGTGCGTGACCACAAAGCAGTTTTTTCGTCTAAACAGCGTGCATTAGCTATACGCCTTAAAGTGTTTGGAGAACAATATGAAAGCACTGCTTATAGCTACAGGCAACTCGGTGTAACATAGCACGAAATGCATGACGACAAAGTAGCTCTTCAGTCTCACTAGCGGGCATTAGCTATACGTTTTAAACTGTTTGGAGAAGAACAAGAAAACACTGCTGACAGTTACAGGACACTAGGTGTAACACAACAAGCATTGCATGACTTCAAAGCAGCTCTTCAGTCTCACCAGCGTGCATTAGCTATACGCATGAAACTGTTTGGCGAAGAGCATGAAAGCACTGCTGACAGCTACAAAACACTCGGTAGAGCGCAACACGAAATGAATGACTACAAAGCAGCCCTTCTGTCTCACCTGGGTTCTTTAGATATACGCATGAAACTGCTTGGAGAAGAACATGAAAGCACTGTTCACAGCTATATACATGTGAAGGAAACTCAAGAATTTGTATGCAAAGATCGGAAAACGTACCAAAAAAGTGCCATTTGCATCTTGTGTTAAAGGGTCTCTTGTTCACCGGTGTTACTTTAACTTTTTGACGCATCTATTTTAAACTTTTTTTATTTATTCTCTTATGTTAGTCACCATTTTAAAATCATTTTTCGTATTTGGATTTTGGAATTTTTAATTTAAGCTACAGTGTTTGTGGTTTAAAGAATTACTGACTGAAAGAACTGGATTCATTTGTAACATAGGCGTAAAGCTCTCCCATTTGCCCGCTGGAATTTTTTATTGTTTTTGGGCCTAAAAACAATAAAAAAATCCAGCGGGCAAATGCGACAGCTATACGCGTATGGTGCAAATGAATCCACCCTAATAGGGGAAGACACTAAGAGAGGATTAATTAAATTTAGGGAAAATAATGTGCAAATCTGAAGAAATATAGTAATTTTATCTCTTTGACTCAAATGTGTTTTATAAATATTTTTTAGATGCTGTTCCGGCTGAGATTAAAGCGCGAGGACCAAGAGCAACGCGTGCCTATAAAGATGCTCTAAAGAAAGGAAAAGTGAAGTTGTACCGTGCTCGAATCATGCTGATGGGAAAAGATCGAGCAGGAAAGACAAGTTTGAAGAAATCTTTCTTAGGTCTACCATTTGACCCTCATGAAGACAGTACTGACGGAATTCAAGTTGATCCATCAAAGTTCGAATTTGAAGTCGATCAAGTTAAGAACTGGAAACTCACCAATGAAAATCTTGGTGTGTCTCAGTTTATGTCCGATCTTGCCACGATGGTAGCTAAAGAACTAATCCAAGATGATGGAGACAAAGAGAAAGATGACAGAGTCGACGACAACGATGTTAAAGAAGAGGAAGAAAAAGAAGGAACAGAAGATGGAAAAGAAAAAGGAGCCCCAGGGGACCTATGGAGGATATATTCAGAGGTACGCACAATTTTCTTAATCCGCTGTAGTCCCTCTTTTCTTCTTCATCGTTTCCATATTTCTTTATTCAGTTGCTCTCACATTAGTTTGGAGGCTTTTCGTGAATGGGTGAAATGCAACTTGGATGTAAGCTTTTGGCAGAAGGTTTGGTTTAACCACAGGCGGCCCAGACTCGATGGGAGTTCTTTGAAATTTGAATTTTATAAGAGAATGTATGAAGACAGTCGGTTCGCTTGTAGAACCATTTGAAACCGCTTTGGAAAGTTTTAGATTTCGAGTTATACTAACAATATCATAAGAAGTACAGTGAACCCGGTTAATAAGGACACCAAAGGAACATGCCATAGTCTCCGGTCCTCAGGAATGCGCCGCGGCCACATACTTTTTTGATATAAAGACTAAAGCAGACAAAGAGAGGAAGGGTAGGATCAATGACTGCAGGAAAATCCAAGGAAATGAAGCTTCTGGAGCAGCAGGAAGCACAAAACGTTATTAAAGGACTACAGTACGGGGGTCAAACATGGGAAGAAGAGATGAGCTTATCAGATTCAAACATGCCACGCTATTTTGCTACTGTTTTTTTAAGTAATTAGGTCGAATTTACCCATAGGAATCAGTCGTTATTTGGATAACCTTCGTAGCAGGCGCGTGGAAGTAGTGAGCGCAAGAAAAAACGGGCGCGTGTCTCCCTCGCGCGCGAGCCTGTTCTCTCTTGCGCCCACTACTTCCAAGCGCCTGCTATGCAGGCTATTATTTGGACAGGGTAAAATGTCTACAATAAGCAAATGATTGTGACAAGAAAATAGACAGTGCTTAGGTAACCAGTGTCTGGAATCAGGGTTGACGATATATGAAAGTTTGTGACTCGGGACACAGAAAAGTGTCCATTGTCCTTATTAACCGGTGTCTGTATGAAGCGGTTTAATTTTAGAGAAAATATATGAGCTTTTCGTTGGCACAAATGAAACTGTCCGTTAAATACGGGTGTCCGTAGAGCGGGTTTCCACTTTAAAAGTTGTCTAGAGAGAGCACGTGTTTACAGTTTTTGTTATGTCTGTTGTGCACATGCGGTTTTATTTGTAGAAAACGTAACTGACCTCGGCTTGCTATTTTGTATAGTCATCAAACGTCCATTTTCGACGCACAAGGTGACGGATATTTATCTGACGCATTAAGTTACACTTCACTTTCATGTCATATAGCATCAAGAAAAATGATCTCTTTTCGATGCAACAGGTCGTGCTTAATTTTCTGACGAAACGGGTCACACTTCACCTTCATGTTATGTAGCACCCCGATGACCACAGTTACACCTTTATGGCAAAATTTCTTTTGAGTAGAACAAAATAAAAAGGAAATAATGACAAGCAACAACTAGAGCGTAACAGAGTCGATAGACTCTCTCTAAGCTCGCCAAAACGGCTTCGAAGTGGCTCTAGAAGCGTATTGACTCCAAAACACAGAACACAAACAAAAGGTGAGTCATTATTATTTCGATTTTTTTCAAAAAGCGAAATTAGAACGTATTTCGTTTATTCTCATACAAACTACAGTCAAACCTGTATTAAGCGATCACCCACGGGAAATGGCTAAGTGACCGCTTAATACAGGTATCGTAAAATTCAACATCAGTCGAAACATCAGGGTTAGTGGGAATGGCGTTTTACTTGATACTTGATTATCTTTTGTATTTTTAAGTTATCGTATTTATTCGAATAAGCGCCCACCTCGAATAAGCGCCCATCCTAAAGGCAAAAAAAGTGAATAAGCGCCCACCCCATCCCCCTCTCACTCGTACACAAATAAGCGCCCACCCCCACCCCACCCCCTTACCCCTCCCACTCAAAAAATTGGAATAAGTACTAATAAGAGACTTCCCCGAAGAAGGAGTTTTGTTCAGAGTATTTATAGAAACCTTGCTTTGTTACATCCTCGCGTTTTGTTATTACCATCTATTGTTTTGTTGCAAAATAAACATACTGCACTTGCTGTAGCCTGCGAAAACAGCCGTTTCTCCTCGCTCTTCGTAGGCTACACTTGCCGTGAAAACGGTGGAAATTTAATAAGCGCCCACCTCGAGTAAGCGCCCACTCTCAAGGTCCAAAAATTTAATAAGCGCCCAGGGCGGTTAATCGAATAAATACGGTAAACACACGCATGGTTATGTAACAGTACAAAGAAAACAGAAACCAAGAGGAGCAAACGTAGTACACTTGTTCATCCAAAACTGTACGTGAGGTCGTTTGTGCCTCAGATAATTTCTGAAACCTCTTGTACAGTACTCAGTTATGTTAGAAACCGGCAATAACACATGTGCAGTTATATCCAGATAGAGGGGAATATCACATATTTTCGTCTTCCTTTTTCTAATAAAAAAGTCCGCATAGTCGGTGGTTCGCTCTAGGAATTGAAAAAGTCTGAAACAAGAGACTGATGCTTAGGAGTTTTCAACTTTATGCTGTGAAGCAAATCATTTGCTTTGCTTATAATGCCAATGAAAGTTCTTGATTTCCATGGAACTGCGCATAATTCCTAATTTGTTCTGCCAGTTGTTGCAGTCGTACAAGCTACAGTTTCATGGCCACGCTAAAGTTCCATTTCACCCTAACAATTTAACAAACAAATACGATGTAATCGGGCACGTTCCTAAGCTTATGGCAAGATGGTTAACGAAGTTTTTAAAGAGACCTTCAAATTCTGCCGGGGTCATTATTAAAGGAAAACGTGTTAACAGAGGAGGTGGTTATGGTTTAGAAATGCCTTGTGAATATCATTTGAAGGGGACAATTTCCCGTGCTATTGGTTAAAAGAGGAGCTATAGTTAAAGATCAATTTGATGTTCAATGTTGACACTACGGTTAAAAATAACCGAACGTTACTGTTCAGAGAGTTGAATTCGAGACATTTGTGGAAACAAGTTACACTCGTGATTTTCACTTTGCTGTACTTGACTCCCAGAATTTATTTTTTGTAAACACAGTGACCGTTTAAAGGTTTAAAGAAGTTTGACCATATCTCCCAGGGACGGATATCTCTTAAATGGTTAGATGTTACGGAGAAGGTTCTATTTAATGGCTTAGTTTTAGTATTCAAATGTGTAAATGGCTTAGCTCCAGATTATTTAGGTAAATATTTTATTAAACGTTCAGCAGTTCACAACAAGAACACAATGGGATGTAACAATTTTGTGATCCCCCGATGTAGACTATCAATGGGACAAAGGGCATTTTATTTTCGGCGTCCAAAGGAATGGAATGGGCTACCTGACAATATTAGGAACACTAAAGATATTGATAGTTTTAAGCGGAGACTTTGTAATAGGATATTTCATACGAAATAATTTTGAATATATTTTGAATAATTTTGAATGTATTTTGAATTTCATTGAACTACTGTAAATAAGTTTTCTTTTCTTTTCTTAATTACCAGTATTATGTAATAAGTAACATTGTGACTGAAAAGCCCTGTTGAAGGGAGTCTCAATAAAGTATGTATGTATGTATGTGAAAACAATGAAATCAGCACTTTGGGACCTTAGAAAGGGTGACCGCGCACAATAAGCGAAGCGTTTTCCGGGACTTTGACCGGTGACCGCTGAATATAGGTTTGACAGTACATTCTCTTATAAAATTCAAATTCCAACAAACTCCCATAAAATGCAGAGTCTGGGCGACCTGTGGTTAAACCGAACGCGTAAGGAGGCGCATAGCTGTCGTGTGGCAAAATTTGATTTTTCTTCCAGGAGTGCACACTTTTAGTTATTTTATGTACAGCAGTTTGTAGAAATCAGGCAGTTGTTGCTCTTTGAATTATGCTTGAACTTCCAGTTAGGCCCTTTTCACATGAGCCGACCAATTTCGCCTCGGGTTCATTTGAAAAATTTCAGCCCTGATTCTGAGATGAGAAAAGACTGAAGATCCCAGGCACGAGTTCTTGCACGAAATTCGAGAAACAAAGCAAACATGGCGAAACACAAAAGTTATAACTATCATAGCTTTGGCAACTCTTATAGCTATGTCACTGCAGTTAAATAGGATGCTTGGGATGCGGAAAATACAGCAGGCAAAGCAAGACGATGCAGAATTTATGAGAAGAATTCATCCCGCTTTCATCCCGATAACCGGGCTGAGGTGTTCATATGGCAAAATTTTCCAGCCCGTTAACCGAGATCCCGGTTGAAAAAACCGAGATCTTGGGAACCGAGTCAGCCCGCCCTCTCAGATGAACATATCGAAAATTTTACTATGGATTAAGGTAAGGCGAGATCTCGGAAACGGGGCTCATGTGAAGAGGTCCTTAGATGGTCTTTCCCATTACGCAATTGCGTTAACAGGGACCATCAAAACAGTAGAATTTGACATCTATCGAGCGATAGTTTTTGCGTGTTCTTGCCTTCGTCTCGTTTTAGTCAGTAATTCGGCCATTTCTACTTCGCCCTGACAGCCGTGAATTCCTTCGCCATTTTACTGAGTTGAACACTCATCCCAAAAGAGCTAAGTGGCCGCACCGCTTTCTAATGTGACTTTTGTCATTGTATATTTGCAACATACAATCATTGACGTCAGAGTGACTGATGTCAGTGATTGTATATTGCCCGCATCTCCCAAATTTGGTCAACGCCAGCTGGTTGTGAAGAATAAGCCGGGGGATTAAAGTCAATTAAAAACAGTGAAATATTGTTGATAAATAGTAATTAGAAATTGAGGCCGAAGGCAAAATATTGAAATTTAAATTTTCGACAGGTATTGTTTTGAAATTTCAATATTTGTCATGCAGAATATTGAAATTTTAAGATTTGACTAGTAAAATTTTGACATTCGATATCTGACCTGCAGAATCTTGAATTTTTAACATTTGACATGCAGAATGTTGAAATTTCAAGATTCTGCGTGCCAAATTTTGAAATTTTATGATTCGAAATGCATAGTCTTGAAATTTTAGGCCTTGGCATGCAGAATATTGAAGTTTCAACGTTTGGCATGTAGAGTAGTGAAATTTCAAGATTTCATTGACAATCGCTTTCGAGTCTCTTTCACTGCGCCCCAATAGGCATATTTTATTATATCTGTAAAAGGAGCATTTTAACCAATTTTAAATACTTAAAACAATTATTTTAGGGTACATCCAAAATAGACAATGAAGTGACAAAAACAGGCGTCCCAGCTGAACTAAACATCGACTCTACTTTGCCGCAAGAAGAACTTACAGATCGTCTTGTTCAACGTTTAAAAAGTTTAAACATTCAGAGTGATGCTTCGACAGTGGAATCTCACATGACCCTTGATCTGTGGGACTTTGCTGGTCAACATCTTTACTATGCGTCTTACCCAGTTTTTTTATCGACACGAGCCGTTTACATGGTAGTGTACGATCTCAGCAAAGGATTAAAAGACATTACAGAGCCCTGTTTCAAGCAAGGAGCTCTAAAGCGTCATCTCAGTAATCAAAATAAGGAAACAAATTTGGACAATTTGTTGTCATGGCTGGTTTCTGTAAACACTATGTGCTCGCTAAAACCAGAAGTGAATGACGAGAAAAAGAGAGAGGAAAACCTGCCCCACTGTCGCCCTCCAGTATTCATCGTAGGAACACATGCAGATGAATCACATCAAGACATCAAGGAGGTTGAATTGCAGATTCAGCAGGAAATTTTTGGGAAGGATTACGATGGTCACGTGATTCGTCCTTTCTTCTCTGTCGATAATACGCAAGGGTCAGCTGATAAGGGAGTGATCGCACTTCAGAAACGATTGATTGACATTTTGAAAGAGGAACCATACATGGGAGAAGAGGTACCAATTCGGTAAGTTATTTAGTTAAGGAAAACACTTGCTCGCTATCTTAATGTTAGTCTCATGATTTAGGCACCTCGACGTTATGACTGCTTACTCATGCTTGTCTGCTTTAGGTGATGTGAGGTCGAATGATTAGCAAGTACTTTTCTGCCGCCAGGTTCGTTTGTATTTAAGTTAGTTCCTGTGAGACGGAGAAGTTGTTCAATCGGTTGTCCACTAATTTGCCATCCTCATTTTGCGTTTTCTTACCGTGGACATCCACTCGTTTCAATTCCACTATCCCTGTTGAAGTTATTAGGGTGAAGCCTCATCACGTGGATTGCTTGCATTGCCCTACAGTGCGGGAGTATAATACCAGCGAGTCTCTATAAATCATCTTTACCTCGTTCCAAAGCATTCAATCCTGCTTAGCAAGGCGGGGTGATCTGCATGATTTCCCGTGAGTACGACAAAGTTTTCATCAGGGAAAGCGTGAGCTCTTTGCAGGAGAAACTTGGACGCTCACCAAACCGGCAGTTTTCCCTTTTACAACAATGTAAAATTTATTAGTTTGGAGTGTTGAGCCTTGGCCTTTCAACACTAACCTGATTTATGATAGGGTGGTGCCGCTTAGCTTAAGGTATACAATGTAATGAATTCAACCAGCATTTATGTAAAATTGGTCATTACCTATTAATTTATCGGGTACAGATGTAGCTGACGTCATAATGAATTTATTTTCATGTCTTATCCAGCGTTTCCAGCACGCTTATGAATATGCCAAGGTGACATTTGGATTTATGCGCAGCGGCAGAAGGGACACACAAAGTCATATTTGTACCAGATATACTCGCAACTTTCGCTGTTACTAATACTGCAAATTTTACTTAGTTTGTACACATATATTGAAGATCATACGCGGCTTCTCCTGATCGAAACTATTGCGTACAATTTCTTAGTTAGAATACTAACAGTGTCATGTTTTCAGTAATAACTTCTCGTTTAAAATCCATTGCGTTGCACATTCAGCTAACATTAAATATTAAAAAAAAAAACGTGTAGTAAAAGACAAAACTCGTTACCTTTAATGACCAGCGATTACACGGTGCCGCATTATCCAATTTGCACCGAAAGAGGATCAGACCCTATGTCAACTAGTTGAAGTCGTTCATTTGCTTGGATGTTTTACTTTAGTCGTAGAGATTCATCAGTGTTCCAGTTATGCTTTAACTTCCTCTTTAAGATCTTGTTTTTATATTTGGTTTTCAGATGGTTTAACTTCGAGAAGGTTGTCAAAGCTTTAATTGCTGAGAAAGTGTATTATTTAAACCTCGAACAACTTCAGGATATTATCCAGAAAGTTTGCTTCATTGAAGACAAGGATGAAGTTGGCACCATGTTGGATTTTTATCATGACCTTGGCGTGATTATCAGGCACCGCAACACAGTTATACTTCGGGCTCAGTGGCTCATTGAGGTCTTCAGACAACTCATAACCATTCGTTCTTTTAACGAAATGGTAAGTGAAACATATTCAAGTGCTTAATTGTATCCACATTTACTGTCTTATGAAGCGTAATGACTGCAAACCCCTCCACAGAAAACGCCATCCCACACCGTCATAAATTCTCTGCATTGCCATTGCCGCAGAAAATCCGCAGCGCATTTATTTACCTACATGATGATTATAGACTTTTGATTATCTTAAACCCAAAAGGCCAACTTGCAGATCCCCCCGTAAGGATTCAGAGCTATTTGCTTACAAGTTTTCTAGAGTTTAAGGCAAAGACTAACTTTCATTAGAATTATTTTAATGTCGTGAAGGTGAGTTTTTTGTTGACATATGTGGTCTTAAAACTGGCTGAATATTAGTGAACCCAAGCCTGAACAATTAAATGTGTGCAATGAGCAAAGCGGCAGACAACCCAACTTGCACTTGAACTCGTGTGATTTTAGGCCTGATATACGAGTTGGAGCTTACCCAACCTCTTTCCCAGGGTTCTCTCTCTTGCTTCGAGAAAGAACCCTGGTTGCGGCTGGTCACGTGGAAATGTGTGTCAATAAAATGCGCAGCGAGCGTAGGTCCTCAAATACATTTTGTAGACTGGACGATGAAATACCCTCTGGGGTAGGGAAAAATTATTGCTTCAAAATGGCGCTTGAGTTTCCGAGTTGCGTGCAAACTCGCTTTCGGCTAGTTACGATAACATTATTTTGAAGGCAAAACAAGTTATTTGTTTAGAGAGTTTGTACTTGAAAAAAGCTTTGCTCGCCATCCTGCAACAGGATACGAAAAGCTTCCTTCATTTGCACATGCAAAACCAGCTTTTGGTAAATTTGCATACTCCGCACGTGCAGTTCATGAAAAGGAAAAGATAATGCAATAGTATCCCATTTACATCGATCTTACCCGCACTCCTGTTGAGGTATGGAAGTCTGGCGGCCACGGAGAACAATGATATGTAGAACGCCAGGTACCCAGAAAGCGGAGACCAACAGCCCAATCTCAAAGAAAACCCCATACTAAAGCCCCAAAACTGAAAGCTAGAGGAAACCATCAGACAAAGTGAAAATTAGGGTGGAAGAGCACGCTTGAATGAAGGCGAGTAGGAGACAGGGAAAGCAGAGACAAAATCCTTTAAGGCGTCGTAATCTTCATAAATGCGCGAGACCTCCTGAGACTGCGAAGGTGCAGAAGTAAGTAGGTCAGCTGGAGCCCCAGCCCTGATAACGTCGGCTAACTTGAGGTAATACAAAGCTGTTTTGGAATTTGACCAGCCAACGTGAGACATAACGTCAGCCAAAGGGGAACCGGAGAAAGCCAGGATAAGGGCACAGCCAGAACGAAAACTGTAAACGGTTTCCCCACAGTCATTGTTAGCATCACGAAGATATTCTCTAAGGCGGGAGTCGGTCGCGGAGCTTAAAAGGGGTTTATGAACAATATGCCCCTGAGGATTTGTCGCACGAAAAAAGTATCCAGGAGATAGGCTAATGCCAAGTTCACGAGCAATCGACACATAAGTTTCAGTACCCTTAATAGGGCAAAATGCTGGGTTGGGGTGACGGCGCATGCCAAAGAGGTTGCAGGCGCCATCCCTCAAAGTCTTTCCCCAGACGTGATTAAATATGAATCCATTGTCATCAGGGAAAGAGTAATATCCGGGGTCTTAACTTACCCCAGATGCCCGCCACGGTCACCAGAAAAGAAAAGAGCCTTGAAGAACGCTTGATCTTTGGCGGTGACAAACATCTCAGTTGGCGAAAGGGACGAGAGGAGAAGACGCTTTTCGATGTGTCGAGAAAGCAAAAGCAATTTGTCAGCAAAAAGTGGCACAGCCTGTTTGGGGACAATGCTGGCCCGGAGTTGCCCAGCGATGAACTCTTTAAGGTACTGCTTTACTAACAAATCGGAGGCCGGGTTACCAAAAAGGAGAGTCCTATTCCAGTCACCTTGACGACCAATGTCGGAAAATATAGAGCGCAACTTGCCAATGTATGAATCAACGGTGGAGTAGGCCAATCGCCACGGGCACTTGCGAGGGAAAGAACCCCGCTGACCAAGATGTGGGCATCCTATGTTATGGACTTGGGTTTTACCTTTTGAGTCCTTGAAAACTAAAAAGCGGCAAACATCTAGGGGGGTGGCGTCAAAAAGTTCTTATATTGCCAGGGAGGGCGTAAAGAAAGTTCAGCCTTTAAAGATTGTTTCTGTCTGGAATAAGCGGACGAAAGGCTTGCTGACTGTAGAGAGCTGATACGTAGATCAATAGCAGGGAGGTCGAAACTGACTGCCGTGGAAACGGCCGTGTGAACACGACGCCTAGCATAACCACAATTTTGACAAACTTGAACACATGGTCATCGGGATAGTGGCAAGATGGGCACGCAACTGCTGGGACGAATAAGCGCGGAACAGGAGGAAGAGCCTAGAGAAAAGGAAGAATGGGTAGAGGGGTATCAGATAGGAGACAAAAAGAGACAGGAGGTGCCAAAAAACTGAATTTTAATTGTCACGTGTAACACATTCTCATTACAATAGCTTATGTCCCTATGAATAGCAAAAAGTCCAAGATGACGAACCAATGTAGAAAAATTATGTGAACAGACTAAACCGAAAATTAGAATATTCTGTTCAAGAATATTCTAAAGGAGATCAATACGAAACGCCTACAAATCCCAAGGGAGGGGCCAACGCGGAGAAAATCCTTCAGAGGCGGGGGGAAGAACCATTCCGAGAGTACCCTTGGGAGCGAGTTGGAAAGACGAATATGACTGCAAAAGAGGCCACCAGAATTTTCGAGGACGAATGTCAGGGGACAACAATGGTACAAGGAAAGGATTGACTTTTAACAGAACTCAAGATCTGGGGAATGAGATTAATAGGGGAGAAACATAGGGGTTGGAAAAAAGGTGGCCATGGTTGTAAGGACGCTAGGCAAACAAATTGACCCCTGAAGAACCAGGAACAGGATACGGAGAAAAGAAAGGGAGGGGAGAACCATCTAGAGCGCACTGCAGACTAGAAGGGAGAGCCATCAAATTTGCGGAGTGACCAGATTAGCCACCAAATCTGGCTTGAACTTGACCCCAGGCTAAAGGAGAAAGCTTAGAATCCTGCAACGACAAAACGCGGGAAGGAGGGTCCGCGGGATTAGCAGCGGAGGGAATGTAAAAGAGATTGAGATGAATAGTACAAGAGGAAATGATCCCAAAGACATGCTGTAAGGCGACGACCAGGTCGCGAGACTTTGCGCCTTGACGCCGCCAAGATTAGATAAGAACCTGGCTATCAGTATAAACATCCACCCAACTATCACGCAAGGAACCGGAAAGTGCATCCAGGGCATTGGCGAGGGCCCAAGCCTACTTAACATTAATGTGGAGATGACGTTGATCAACAGGCCAGTAATGCTGAATAGTGGCTGAGAAGGTATCAGGGCCAAGAACACAGCCCCAAGCAAAGGAGGAGGCATCTGAACATAACTTGATCTGATGATGGGTCTCCAAAAGCCAAGGAAGGTAGCCGGACCAAGACTCGAGAAACAACCACTGCTCAAGCTCGTGTTTCAATGGGAGTAATTAGAATAGGCTTAGAAGAACCGTGACGTTGGCTCTTCGCAATAGCATTATTGATATCATTGAGATAAAGACGAGCCCCGGGAACTGCCAAAGAGAAGGAAATACACTTTCTAGAGAGACGCTAAAGTGTCTTAAGATCTGTAGAAGGCGAACTAAGAACAGGACGTAAAAGAGAAACGAACTTTTGCTTCTTTTCCTCCATAAGCAAAAAGGCCTGATGAACAGAATCCACCAAAAAACCAAGGTAAGGGACTACCTGCTTAGAAACCAGGTGTGATTTCTTCAGACCAATAAAATAACCCAAATCAACTAGCGTATAACAAACCACGAAAATAGCGGAGCAAGTACGAGGAAAGTCCGCGTCTGAGGAAAGAGAGGCGTAACCCGAGGTCTTAGGGGAGAGCTGAATTTCACCTGTATGACGGTCGTCAATTTACAAGGAGCAAGTTATAAGGAGGGAACGAAAATAATGAGGAGCGAGAGGACCTATGGAATGGTAAATGTAGGCAGACGATTTCCATCCGAAGGGAATGGTGTTACTGGTGAAGTACCAGCCATCCCATTGGAAACCAAAATATGGACGGCTTTCAGGGGTAAGTGGGACGTGATCGTAGCTAGATTTATCGTTACAGACTGATTGGAAAGAAGAAGAGAAAACGTAACGCAAGAGCCCTAAAAGTGAATCAAGCTGGAATGGCATGTCCCTGATCCACAAATTGAGAAAACGGTTGTCATTACATAAACGGGGTTTGGACGGCTCAACTGTCAACGGCATAACCAAATGACGAGGGGGAACCTCACCAACCCTTCCCTACAGGGAGATAGCCCCAGTCCTTAACCGATCAAAAATGGTATCAGAAATGAATTGAGCAAACGGTTTACAAGACGGTGCGTTAGAAAAAATCTGTTGCGGGGGCAAAACCGAATCAAAGTTTTCTTCCCTATTTTGACCTTTAAAGGGTTGAAAGAAATCTTGCACGTCAACATAGTTCTTGATCCACAGCAAAATCTTGGGCGTAAGATCAAACGGAGCAATGTTGACGATGCGCTCCCAGGCTGGAAAATGATTGTATAGGTTACCAGCAACAAAAGAGTCGTGATCTTTGAAGGTAAGCATGGAAACATCCGCGCGAGCCTGCCCACTTATAACATCGTCTACGAACTGAGATGCAATATGCATGTTGCCTTCTGCCATCCCCTGAGCCACCTCAAGAGGCCAGCCATCAAAGCTGACTCAACGAAGTGAAGGACTGATAACACTTCTAGGGTCGAAATCCGCCGTAAATTCCCACTGTGGAATTGTAGGAGAGGCACCCTTAAAATGCTTGGAAGGGGGCTAAAAGAAAAGGAAAAAATGGAGGAGGTGGCTCCTGGGATGACAGTTTTGAGCCTCAAATGACTGAGAGGGAAATTGACTCCCTTTAAAAACTGCCACCGTAGGGTGGGTAAGGAAAAAAGGACACAGAAAACAACTAGCATTTAACAAAATTTTATTTGTGGCTAACGAGCTCATTCACAGGCAAACGAAAAGCGAGAAAGCTACTGATTAACAGAACGCCCACGCGAAGGCCTAGAATACGGAGAAAAAGGACTGCCAGGCTGCAAACACGAAAACATCTAGGAGCAGTATGGCCAGGCAGACCACAGTACAAACAGGCTACACGCCGCGATCTATTCGATCCTCTGCCAGAGGGACCCGGCATGTCCTGAAAATTAGCAACACGCTGGGTGGTTTCTGCACGGAAAGACTTGTCAACCTTCGAGATGCGATCCAGGATCTGCGAATACTCCTTGTCGGCAAATAAGGCGAGGAAATACGCCTGGAAAAGCTTAGTGGGCTTCTGAAGGTGACCACGCAGAGTCGTAGAGGCAACAGCTAAAAAGGATGCCTTAGGATGGTTGTGCTGCTTAGCGTCTGAAGCCAAGGATTCCGCCATGGAAAGAGCAGAGTACTTGTCAAAATCCGTTGCGTGTCTCAGGCCATAGGAAGAGAGACGGTCTATTTGCGCGTCAATGTCGGAGGCCCTCTGCTGACTTTCAAGAGTCTCAAGACGCCGGCGTAACTGAGCCACAGGATCAGGCTGAAAAGGGCAAAATAAAGAATGTAAGACAATGCCTCGACCGCACAGAGCACAGAACACGGGAAAAAAGGAAAAAAGGAAAAAACACCAAGAAGGCTAGCTCATGCGTTAAGAACGATGAGAGCGGAACCAAAGATCCGTGGAAATCAGGCACAAAAGCCTACACAAATGACGAAGGAACAGAAACGATATACAGAACAACAAAAGAAGATACCGTGCACGGAACTATGGAAACGAAAGATGGTAATTCTAATGTGGCGTTGAAATCCGTAACATGTGACAAGTAAATGGTGTTATAATCGCGGAACAGAAGGAAACAACAACTAAAAATATAACATAAAAATAAACGCAATTGCCGGAGAAGCAGATTGAATGAAAGATATGCGTCAAACGAAATAACAAACAAACAAGCGAACGTATCTTGCGGCAAATACTTAAACAACTGATTCTTGCAGTACAAAAGTGCAAGATCAAGTAAATGCAATGGAAGAAGACGCCGGTGACGAGGCAACTGACGAATATATAAAATTAAAATACCGATTGACTAAAATTCCATAACAGGACAATGAGTTACATGGGCCATGAGTTAACAAACAAATTAATAAAACTAGTCATGCCTGAAAGCAAACCAAGTAAAATGCCAACTCCATAAAGTGTAGCAACTATGCAAAGCTTAACAAACAAAATTAAGGAACTTCAAACGCCGACCAAAAAAAAAACAAAACAAACTAAAGCAAATTAAATTATCATCAGAAAGAGTAAAAACAAATAATACGACAAACACCAGTCGTAAGGAACAAAAACAATCAGATAAGAAACTAGATGCCGGCAAAAGAAAAGCGAAAAACTAAAGCTATTTTACCAAGCAAACTCTATTGTATATAAAAGTAACAAAAATGCAATGAATAACATCGGCCGTGAGAGAACAGACGAATAAAATAACTTCTCATGCCGAGAAAACAAATAAATTAAAATGCGTACGTGAATAACTGCAGCAACAAAGCAATAAATACATCGGCCATGAGGCAACAACAAAGTAAGAACTTCTCATGCCGGAAAAAACTAAAGCAAAGTTTCCGCTATACAAAAGTGTGATAGAAAAGCGATGGAAAAAACCGGTAATAAGGAACTAACAATAAACTACAAGCCGGCAAAAGCAAAGCGATGGGAAAAGCTAAAACTATTGTAGCAGGCAAAATTTTTTGTTTATAAAAGCAATAAAAGTGCAATGAAAAACATCGGCCATGAGGGAGCAAACGAATAAATGAACTGCTCATGGCGGGAAGACTGAAGCAAAATAAACGATAAAACGCCGATAATGAGGAACAAAACAAATTGACAAACTAAATATCTGCAAAACCGAAGCGAAATGCTAATTGCAAAAAAGCCAGAATAGTGCAATGAATTACATCGGCTATGACGTAACAACCAATAAAACTTCTCCAGCCGGAAACAAACCAAGCAAAATGCAATGGGAATACAATGAATAACATCGGTCATGAGGAAACAAACAAACAAACGAAAGAACTTCTCGTGCCGGAAAAACTAAAATGAAATGCATATGGCACAAAAAGCTGATAACAAGGCAATGAATAACTGAAACCAGGAGGAGAGAAACAAATTAATAAATGTAAATGGGGTAAGGCTAAAACAAAATATTTTGCAAAACGCAGTAGCGATAAAAAGGATAATATGAATAACGAGGAAACGACAAAATAGAAGCTTAAACGACAGAAAAAAGTAGGAAATGAGGAAATTGAACTGAAAAGAACAATACAAGGCCGCAAGGCAAAAAACTAGAAGGAAACGTTTGAAATGACAAAAGCGTTAGCAATAGGGTAAAACTTAGAGAATGCAACTAAAAAACACACAAAAAGGGGCCAAAGGAAGAAAGCAAGCTAGATGGAGTGTAGAACAAACACTACGCAGGTAAACGCAGGAAAGGGACAAATAAGAACATGCCGACACGTGCTCATGAAAAGCGGCAGCAGCGCTAGCGAAGTATGAAAAAATGGTAGACACATTACCTCAAGTCCGTTGGCGTCGAGAATTGTTTGTGCCGGAGTTTGTTCGGCTAGAATGTGCTACGTATGTGCTGGACCACATTGGCCTGTGGAGCACGAGGTACCTGAGGTCCTTGGGACTGGGCTTCGTTAACAGCTGGAGCAGCCATAACCGTTAGTAGTCGAAACTTCTATCGAAATGGTAATGAATGCATTTGTGCGATCCCTCTTGTACTCGCTTGGGTAAGACCGCTGTAAATAGTGCAATAGTCAGGTTTACATGAATAACATCCGCTTTGAATGTTTCGGCTGGTGCACGATATACCAAGGGAATAGCTGACCTCGTTCCCAGCAACACAATATATATATATATATATTTTTTTTTTCTTTTTTTTAATGCAATACTATTTTTGGGTGGTCTTGTTGACCTATTCAAATATCCGCGCCATCAGCCGATAATAAACCAGGCGGCAATCTCCTCTCGGGCCTTGACAGAGTAACTTTTGTCATAGCGACAGTTATTTACTCTTCTTCCCCTCCCTTGTTTTTGGCTCCCAGATTCTGGGAGCCACGTGACCAGCTGCAGCCAGGGTTCTTTCTCGAAGCAAGACAGAGGACCATGGGAACGAGGTTCGAGCTAACCTTAGCGTCAAACGTCTTATTTATGACGTCAACGTCTTTTATGTGTTCCTCCGAAAAGAATGTATTTTTTTCACAAACAACGAGAAAACAACAAGCAAACGAACAAAAAACCCTACGATATCCCTTTGCCAGCCTGCCTTTTGTAAATTAACTCTAAATGGTATCCGGTCAAAGGATAACTAGTACTTGTCTATATCTGCTGAAACTCTTATGTATTATGTACTAACCAGGGCCCAATTGTTCGAAGGCCGATTAGCGCTAACCCAGGGTTAAATTTCAACCCCGGTTTCTTTTTCTTTTGTTCAAAAGAATTGTCCCGGATTATTTTCTCTGTTCTTTTTAGGGCATCCAATCATCAAACTGTAGACAAAAACAATAAAACTGATTTTGCTTTTTGAGGTTTGAAATCTGAATTCAAATCTTTCGCACTAATCCTGGGTTATCTTAACGCTGCTTTGAACAACCTGGCCCGGATGTATTAATAAATGTACGACCCCTAATTTTTGCATTACCTCTCCAACTGATTAGGGGACTTGCACTTTCGAGGCGCCCCTCTTCGGGAACTTACTTCACCGCCAAAACATTTACCAAGCTAATCATACTTGTTTTAATGCTGGTTTTGTTCGCACCCTGTAGTACATCTAAATCCTCTATTTCGGTCTTTGAAGTAGCACCCAAGAAAAGATGAAGACGCTAAGGTCGTTAATAGGTATGACGTTTTGTTGATCCCTGATTCCCTGAAGAATTGCCTTCTTTTGGTTTTAGGAACCAAGACATTCTCAGTTATGGAAAGAAATGGAGAAGACAGGTTCCCTACACATGGAGCTAGTTGATCACGTGTTCTCCAAGTGCTGTCAGCAGCAAGGTCTGATCAAGGAAGATATCCTTAACATGATGGAGCAGTTTGGATTGATCGTCAAGTTTATCACCGCCCCAACAAATGAAATGTACTTTGTACCCTGTCAACTGAAGACGCCACCTGAAGACCTTTGTGAAATGGAGCCATCACTTTCAGATCCGTGTCCATTGTACCTGCACTTCTCGGGGGGGTTTGTTCCACACGGTTTCTTCTGGCAGCTTGTGTCACGAATCACCAAATGGTGCACTAAGAGTGGATTCAAGCAGCCGCCGAGATTTTTTCTTGCGGCATCCAGGTTTGTCATAGAGAAGAGTTCCATTCATCAGTTGATTCTTTTGCGCAAAAAAAGATTCATAAAGGTCACTTTGACGCATTCAGAGCCAGTCCACGGAGCATCATTCAACGAAGTAAGAGAGGTGGCGATTCTTGTGCGAACGTTATTGGAAGATACAGTACAAGACCTTAGACGTGAGCTCCCTTGGTTGAGTAACTTGAAGTGTGCTTTTTGTGTTGTATGTCCTGGCTGTCAGCAGAAGGAAGAAATGTGTTCAAATCACGATGCCGTTTCATGTGACCACGAGGATTGTCTGTGTCTTCTTAAACCTCTCGAAGAAGGGCAACTCAGACCCTGTTCAAATAGCCTCTGCGTTAAAGTACCGACAGTTATTGGACTGGAAAAATGGTTTGCACTCAAAGGTTAGATTACTTGATACCCAAGGATACATATGTACAAATGTAGAAAGGGAAATCAGCCTCTAGTCACAGGTGGAAGTGACAGTAAAAAGTTAGAAAAAATTGCTTTTTTCTATTTTTTTTGTTCCGTCAAGAAACGTTATGTTAACTTGATAACTCTGTCTTTTCTCACTTGCCAACCAGACCGTCACTAGGCACTCGACTGCCGTTCGTGTTAATTCAAGAGATACTTGTGGAGAACATTGCGAAACAACAAAAAGTGGCCGTTGGTCGTTATAACTTGTCGGTAGTGTTAACGAGTTTGTAGAATAAGGAAATAACCGGACTTGCTTGGGCCAGAAAAACGTAGTTTGTAGTGTAACGGGTCACGCTGTATATGTATAGATTCAGCCTGTTATCTAATATCTAGTCCAATATATGTTAAAGTCGTATTTGTTTAACTGAAATTCAGGTCAGCAATAGATAATACTGAGAGACATTTCAATTTTATCTTTCCCCTTTTTTGCACAGTTATCCGTCCTGGTTATCATCCTGGTACAGACGACGTTTACAACATGACAGCTCACCCAAGAGGAAGAACTCTGATCATTAATAATACTTCGTTTGGTGATCATGATCCTGTACTATCAGCTCGCCATGGCTCGGAGGAAGATGTTCGTCAAGTTGAAACGCTGTTTACTGCTCTTGATTTTACTGTACGACCGAAAGAGAACCTTACAAGACTAGAACTCTTAAACGAACTCGACAAAGTTGCTTGCGAGGATCACAGTGCTTATGATTGTTTTGTGTTGTGGCTCATGAGCCATGGTAGAAGTGGTGAGGTGTTCTGTTCTGACGGCAACACGATACCTATTCAGACTCTTCACGATATGTTCAGTAATTGCGATACCCTAAGCGGTAAGCCAAAACTGTTTTTCATCCAGGCGTGCAGAGGTGACGGAGAAGACGAGGGGGTGTCTGTTGCCGCTGAAACCGGTATTGTATCTTACGAACTGCTTAGTCCCAACCAAGTTGATTCCCCCATTGATGCAGTGAAGAAACCTGCATCCAAAGTACCCACACATGCAGATTTCTTGTACGCATTTTCCACAGTGGATGAGTATGTGTCGTACAGGAATGAGGATCTAGGAAGCCTCTATGTTCGCGGCCTCGTTAAGGCATTCCATGAATGTGCAGTTTGTGACCACCTTCTCGACATTTTAACAGTAGTCAACCAGAAAGTCAGTAACATGGAAGCCGAGCGACCATCAGGGAAGAATGGGAATGAAATCAAACTGTGTAAACAGATGCCTGAAGTGAAGCATACCCTGCGGAAAAAAATTCGTTTCTAGACGCATAACTTTGAGCATTTTTTTACCTGTTTTACCCGCCGTCTGCCGCGTGGTGCAACTCTAAGAGTGAAAACTGCAAGGAGGCTGTTTTTAAAAGACACTTTTGCATCATTTAAATATTTTTTTCCATCAGCTATTTGATGTTTTGTGTTGTTTCTTATTGCAAAGCACTGCGAAACAAATACAGCACGCTTTTAATGTAGACAAGAGCTAGATAAACCTCGCATTTTTTGTGTCAAAGTTTGTATAATTGGGCGTCGCGTTAGACGAATTGAAAATCTTTCTTGGATATAACATACTCAAATCCGCCAGTGGAAGGGTAATTATTATAAGTGACAAGCTGGGGCTGAAAGCCTTACAAGATGGTTATGGTCAAGTCCACACTTTCTGTGTGTGTTGAACTGGTGCTGTGGTCAGTATTGTGCTTTATAGCCTTCCAGAGAAAAAATGCGCACATGTATACTGTAGTTTAGTTTCACTTAAATTCTTGCGAGGATCGATATATTTTTCAATATTTTTGTACAAAACGGATCCCTGCGTGATTCTTGTATTAGAGGAAGAAATGTCCTTCAGCAGCTTAAGCCCATTAGCATTAAGTAGGGAAAAGAGATCGTTTGGAGGTTAAAGCGCAATATGTATCAATTCTTTACCAGATTGAAGGACCTGTGTCATGAGATGTATCAAAATTCAAGTAGTGAGAACTGCCACCAGTTTGCGTGAAACATAAATATAACTGTTCAATAAATAAAAGGAAGGTATAAATGACACAGAAATCATACAAAAGGAGACACGGATGGGCAAACGTAACGAAGACTGAAACGGATTGCAACTTTGATTTTTGAAAAATTGTTAGCCTCACAGTGTTTTGTTGTTGTTAGTATTCAATGTTTGATATATTGCTTTGGAGACGTATTTGTTCGGGAAGAAGCTTTGATGTTGTCATTCACAAGTATTTTCTCAAGGTCCATATATAGCGAATAAGGACGCGTAAACTGGTTTTACTGGGTGACTACTTGACTTCCGTGACACAGCCGCATAGCTATAATTTGAAAGAGTTTGTTGCTTGGACAGCTTAAAATCGGCATTATGATTTCGAATTTCAGTTGTTTCAATTTTGTATTTTAATCATTTTTCTTTCTCCTTGTATTTTTTGCAAATTTAACATCTCAGGACCCCAATTTATCATTAACGGTTGAATGGGCCAACCTGGTTCTTATAACGTTAGTTAACAGACAGTGTTTTTCTTCAACACTAAAATTTAATCGGTCGTCGAAGACTGTTAGTACGGTTACAGAGGAAAAGTAGGGAGCTTAAGCAACAACGACGGCGACCGATACGAAAACGTCAGTTCTATTCATCAGGGCCGAGTTGTTCAAAGCTAGGTTAAGATAACCCAGGGTTAGTGCGAAATTTGAATTCAGATTTGAAAGCTTAATAGTAAATTTAGATTAATTCTTTTTGTTAACAGGTTAATGATTGGGTACTCTTAAGAATAACAGAAAAAATTATCCTAGAAAATGCTTTTGAACAAAGAAAAAGAAAGCCGGGTTAAATTTAACCCTGGGTTAAGCGCTAATCGGCTTTCGAACAACTGGGCCCAGATGTTGGGGAATTTTTCTGGATTTGAATTCTAAAGGACTGTATTAAAGTTCAGGAAAAGAAAAAGAAGGTCGTTGTCTTCTGGCCCGTCCTCCACAAAACGTGAAATTGAAATTAGTGGTGCAACGACGGCTGAGAAATGCACAAAAAAGCGTGATACATGTGGAAAGTTGTTGTTTTGCCAATTTAACCTATTGCTTTTTTGCCGTTTTCGTTGTCGTCGCCGTCGTCGTTGCTTAAGCTCCCTATAGTGCCTGTATTACAAAGTAAACGGGTAATGTTATTTAAGTCAATAACACACTTTCTACTGGAACAAAATACCGAAGAGAAATAAAACAGACATCAAGACATTAGTATCGCGGTCAAACTATAGATTTCTAACTTGAACAAAACCATTATTGGAGAGGTTAAGCATCACGCTTACGTCAAACGCGAATTTGTACCACGTGACCAAGTTTCCCATTTACTTGTCGTTTACGGTTCATTATTTGTACGCATAATTTAGCAGTTTCACGCAATTTTTTATCCATAAAAATTGTTTTGAGCTGTTTTGTCTGCTTATTTTCCATTTTGAAAAATTCTGAACTTGGATTTGACGTTTGCCGTTTGCCGTTTGCCGTAGAAGCTTAAACTCTTTATTTTGTGCAAATGTCCTCAAAAACAATCAAAAGTAGGTTGTTTATACATAACTTAACCAATACAGTAATCGACAGAACTAATTTGTCGCCAAAGCGTGTAAACTTGATCATATTTACGTTACTTTGGGTTTGTTTTGTGTCCTGTTGAAGCCTCAAATGTAATAAATGACCCTAAATGTAATAAAGGTCCTAATTGTAATAACTTTTGGCCCTAAATGTAATTAAGGTCCTAATTGTAATAACTTTTGGCCCTAAATGTAATAAAGGTCCTAATTGTAATAACTTTTGGCCCTAAATGTAATTAAGGTCCTAAGTGTAATTCTTTCAGCTCTTTATATGCTTAGGGTCATAAGAAGATTTCATAGTGTTTGCTTTTAGCCTTATTACAGGTTAACTGAGCGCAAGAATGTGTCTAGGCAATATCAAACACTAAATACCCCAGGCAGATCCCCTATATAGCCATTTGAGTAACAACTTATTATTATTCATGTGTTGAAATCCTGGGAAAAAAAGTTAGCATAAAAATTTACTTCAAGAAGTACTCCTGATAGAAAGTAAAATCAAAGTCAGGAAGCCAGAAAAACTATCGAGATATACTGCCCTTAACATCTTGCTGTTTATATATAACTTCATGTTCACAGCATTCTGTTTGGACCGACCGCCAAACTCTTTTGGAAAATGATAAAAAAAAAAACATTTCTTTTTTTGGCGCAACATTGAAAAATCCCATAGGCAAAAGTAGTTAATTTACTACGATTGTTTCTAATGAACATTAATACTTCCTTCAATTACTAAATTACTACTGTATTTTGAAAACTGTTATGTAGATTCCATTTGTTTATAACTCGCGTTTTACGATGTAGGGATGTAGTAGGAAACACGATCGAGACGTAGTTAATTTATAAGTGTTTCTCCTACTTCTTGAGCGCTCAAGCCCCTTTCTAAGGTTATGAATATCTAAGAAGACTACAATACATGACTATAGAGAGATTAAGATTCACGTTTACCCCAAACGGCAAACGTGACTTTGTACCACGTGACCAAGTTTTTCCCCTTATTTTCCCTTTACTGTTTATTGTTTCTACACAAAAATAAGTAGTTTTATGCCAGCTTTATCCATAAGAATCGCTCTGGACTGTTTTTATCTGCTTATTTTCTATTCTGAGAAATTCTCAACTGACGTTTGCCGTTTGCCGTATGCCGTAAACGTGAATCTTAATCTCTCTAATAGGGCGAAGAACGCGAATCGCCAGCTGGCTATAAAATTAATATGGCATCAGACCGTCGCATGTTTCAGGTGGGGACTTATCAAGTTTCGGGTTGTTATACCACATACTAGCCTGCGTGCAGACGATAACTAAATTCTGATTAACCAGAGTTTAATTTCGTCTGCGCGCAGGCTAACTACATACATGCAGTATACTGTTCAGAGTTCCATTACATTTAGGGCTAAAACCTATTACACATATAATATTATTAGACCCTTTATTACATTTAGGGCCAAAAGTTATTACATTTAGGACCTTTATTACATTTAGGGCCAAACGTTATTACACTTAGGACCTTCATTACATTTAGGGTCATTTATTACATTTGAGGCCTCAACATCTATCCTCATATCTTAAGAGCGTAGACAGCCAATTTTACCTTTTAAGCGCGAGTAATATAGAAGTCGTTGTCGGGGGGCGGGGGGGTGGGGGAGGGATGAGGACATAAAAGCAAGCTAATTATACGTTGACGTAGAAACAATTTTTTTTACAGGAAAGTCGTTCTTTTTTCGCAAAAAATAAATGCTGTGTTAAATGAGTACCAAATTAGCAGTGAGTTGTTTATAACAATCCGCAACGGAACGGCTCTTTATGATAAAGAGCATACTGTGCATGGGAGACTATTCCACTGGAGCTTGAAATATAACATCTTTTATAGTGAAAGAGCCGAACAGTTTATCAGATCATAGTCCAATAATAACATGGCTTAAGGTTAACCGTCATTTAGATAATGATTCATCAAACGAGGCAATTATAAATTATTCTTTGACTCCTCTACCAAAACAGTTTTTTTTTGGGAAAACGATTCGTCACAAAAATTTAGAGCGACATTACAGTCTGAAGACATTCAAAGAATGATCCACGATTTTATGAATACTACAACAGTCACGAGAAATGTTGACATGAACCTTGATGCCGTAGAAAATATTCTTATTTCAACCACAAAACGCTGTTTGAAAATCAAAACAGCAAAAAAGCGACGTTGCAAAATATCTTCGAACAAAAAATGGTTCGACAAAGAATGCCGCTATAAAAGACATGAACTGCGGAAACTTTCTAATCAAAAACACAGAGATCCTCTAAACAATACCCTCAGGGAAGAGTATCACAACGCCTTAAAGCAATATAAAAACCTTTTGAAACATAAGAGAAACGAATACTATAGCAATAAGATCTGTGAACTTGAAAATACGGTCGAAAATTCGAACAATAAGTGCTTTTGGAACTGTCTGAAGTCAATGGACGACACTATGAAGGAAACCTACACCCCTCCAATTTCTGAAGAAAAATGGATGTCCCACTTTCAATCTTTGCACTCGAATGGACCCCTTAATGAACAGCAGGAGGCAATTATAGATGAGTTGCAGAATTCAAAGGATATTACGACACGATCTCACTCCTTGGATTACATGTACCTCATTACTGAAAGTGAAATTCGCACTTCAGCTGGAAAACTCAATAACAACAAATCTTCTTTTTCAGACAAAATCAAAAACGAAATGATCAAATCTAGCCTAAACGAATTAATGCCTGTTTATCTAAAACTATTTAACACGGTCCTCGACTTAGGGACTATGCCCCAAATGTGGTGTGATGGCCTCATTACACCAATTTTTAAATGTGGTACTAAAAGCGATCCATCAAACTACCGTGGAATTTGTATTTCTAGTTGTATTGGAAAACTATTTTGTTCAATTCTCAATCAGAGACTTCTAAAGCACGTTGACTTAAATAATATACTTCACAAGTCTCAAATTGGTTTTCTAGCAAATAATAGAAGAGCAGATCATGTCCTCACACTTCGAACATTAATAGACAAATATGTCCATTGTCACAAGGAGAAAATATATGCGTGTTTTGTTGACTTTAGGAAAGCCTTTGATTCGGTTTGGCATGATGGGCTTCTCTATAAGTTATCTATGATCAATGTCCAAGGAAAGTTTTATAGTCTAATTAAGAGTCTATACTCGAGGTGTACCTGCTCTATCAGGATTGGAAATAACAAAACGCGATCTTTTCAATACGCAAGAGGAGTGCGGCAAGGCTGCATTTTAAACCCTCTGCTCTTTAACTTATACCTTAACGATCTAGCGTTCTCATTTGACAATGTTTTATCAGACCCCTTCGTGTTACCAAGTGGCTCCAGACTTCTCTCTCTCCTTTACGCAGATGATTTGATAATATTATCGCGATCCAAACTTGGTCTACAAAACTGCCTTAACGTACTATCTTCATATTGCAACTCATGGATGCTTAGAATAAATCCTAAGAAAAGCAAAATAATGATTTTCAACGATGCACACGAAAATGTGAACATAACTTCCGCATAGGCAATGAAGTGATCGACGTTGTCCAAAACTATACTTACTTAGGAACTCGCATTACATCTTCCGGAACTTTTACACTTTCGCTTGAACATCTCCGACAAAAAGCTCTTCATGCGCTCTTCAGCCTCAGGCGGCACACGGATTTGAATAGTCTTAAGCCCTCACTTGCGTGTAAAATTTTTGACTCGATGATTTCACCAATTCTAACCTACAACAGTGAAGTTTGGGGTGCTTTTGTTAAATCAGATTTTAAGTCCTGGGACAGCTGTGCAATTGAAAAACCCATTTGCAATTCAGTAAACGTTATTTACAAGTACATAACAAGGCATCCAACATTGCTTGTAGAGCTGAACTCGGTAAATTCCCCGTGATCATTGATATAAATAAAAAGATTCTAAATTACTTAGACTATCTGAGAGGTAAAGATGAAGATTCTATAGTTAAACAGGCCTTACAAATTTCAATTGACCTTCATCATAACGGAAAAACTAGCTTTTACTCTAATCTCATGAAAATGGTTGACTACTATGATCTAAACTATGACTTCTCCTGTAATTCATTGAGTGACTCAATAGTTAATAGGTATATCGGCATAATAAAAAATAAATACGTCTCTTACTGGAATCAGACCCTTCAACAATCACAAAAACTCAGTTTTTATTGTACAATGAAAGACGACTATAGCCCCTCGCCGTACCTAGTTTTAACACCTGTTTTAACAAGAAAAAACCCTTCGAGAAAAGCATAGTTAGATTTAGAATAAGTAGTCATCAACTTAGAATTGAAACAGGTAGATACGAAAACATTCCTCGCAATGAAAGGATATGTCACTTTTGTACAAGTAACAAAATCGAGGATGAAAATCATTTCTTACTAGATTGTAAGGCTTATTCTCAGATCAGAGACATATTTTTCGCCAAACTAGAAACTAAAATACCTGACTTCAAATCACTTTCACACGATACTTTAATATCTCTTCTTATGAATTCTTCTGATTATTTAATTAACTGTCAATTAGTTTCATTTATCTCGCAATGCTTTGAATTAAGAACCAAATTAATATCAATGAATGAATGAATGAGAACTGTAACGTTTTGTAATGTTTTCCACGTACTAATTAGTTAAATTAGTACTTAGATTTAGACTAATAGCTTTTGCAATACTGTAATTCCTTTGTGGTCATGCAAATAAAGCATTTGGTGTTGTTGTTGATAGAGTGTGGTTTTTTAGGTACTCGGTCCAGTTGGTTGAAGATTTAAGTCTAGACTAGAGAAACCGGTAACTGCCACTCACAATTATGAAAAAAAATCAAATTGGCAAGTTTAAATTTACGCAACTCATCCTAAAAGCTACTCTAGGATTGGGGGGATTGGAGAGTTAAGTCTAGTATAGGGTAGCAAAATTCAGCTGATCCAGCTCAGGTATCAGGCTAAGGGTTCCAGGCTCCCAGCGGCTCATCCCCACTCAAAAATTCCTTAAGTACCCCCCCCCCCCCGAGTAAAGAACCAACACCATCGTACTCATTTAATTTAAATGACTCGGCAAATGTACATTGCCGTAAATGTTCATTATCATCCACGTATTCTTAGCTTTTGAGCTTTACAGGCAACAACAACAACGTACAACAACATAAGCTTTATTTGCACGACTATAATTATGTAGTTACAGTATTGCAAAAGCTTTAACATAAAGTTACAATTTATAACAAGGATAATGCAATGCAATGATCTACAGTCAATCAAGTGTCATCAGCATGATTTGATAACAAATTAGTACGTAAATCAGTACATAATGCGACAAATTTCAACGAATGTGAGTTTACGGAAAAATTCTGTGAATTCATCAATTTAATTATTCATTCTGTGTACGATAGCTGATTAAAGTCGACAAAAGTTTGTTGGATTTGATTGTAGAATTTCTCCCTTGGGATTGAATATTTTGCACAATGGAAGAGAAAATGAAATTCGTCTTCACTTATACCAGATTTACAAATAGGCCAGAAAAACATTTCCTATTGTAACCAGGTGCTGTCTGAGACATCATTCTTTTTGTCGATTCCCCAACCAGGAGGTCTGTAAATTTAAGCATGTAAGGTTCTCTCGATAACTCGAACCCTCGCTAACTCGAACCTCGTGTTAACTCGAACCAAAGTCGTTTTCCCCTAGTCTGCGAAAACATCCGTTTCTCCTCGCTCTTCGCCGCTAGGACGTTTCGCGCGAAACGTCCCCAACGGCGAAGAGCGAGGAGAAACGGATGTTTTTGCAGGCTAGTTTTCCCCCAATTCATACATAAACTGTAATTCTCATTTTTAAGAAAAATGTATGTTTGCGTGGCTTTGAGTTTAAGGTAACTCGCTTGATAATGATGTTCTCTCCATACTGTTTTCAACGACTTGGCAAAAATGTCAGCCATTTATAGTACATTCAAAAACTGGAATAAAAAAATGGGGTCACTGCTTGTTTTCACTCTGTGTGCCCGTAATTCTGAGTGTTTATTTCTAGTTGCTCGCGAAATGTTTGAAACTTGTAAACAATCGTCAAAAACTCTTATTTTATAGCAAAAAAACACTGCATCTCACTAAATAAAACCTGAAGCCCGCTTCTTTTTCTGGGCTTTATTTTTAAGTAACCTCAAATTACCCGATCTTGAAAAAATGTAGAGAAATTGATAGTTTTAACATTATCTCGTACTGTGGCTCTAAATACGGAAATTCGAGTCATTCATATGTAACTAAAAAAAGTTCAACTTCTACTATCCACAATTTTCCTCCTTAATATATATTTTTCGTGTAGTCATGACGAGTGAAAAACACAACTAAAAAAGAGGGGGTTACCGTTTTCGTTTCATCGCAAAACGACAATTAAAGGGACAATTTCGGCTTAAAATGATCATTTTGCGCGAGGGGACGTTTGCGAGTTTCAAGACAACACCTTTTTCACCGGGAAGAATTGTCCAAATCGCTATGAAAAACATTAGGACTACACAAGAGGCCATAATCACCTCTTATTCGCAGTGCAAAACCAGCTACTTACAAGCTAAGACAGAAATCTAATGAACTTGGTATACATTTTCGCTTTCTACTCTTCCCAGAAAAAATTGAAACCGACACACCCTCGTTCACTGGTGTTTCTTGCATTGTTGAAAAAGCCAATAGTTTTCGTACAAGCCACATGAAGCTACATGAGCTCAAATGATTTGCTGGCATTCAAAAAGGCGTTGTCTTAGATTAGCCTTCCTGGCGAATAAGTAACAACGCGTTTTTTGTACATAGTACGTGATCCGGGTAGAAGCAAGGTTTGGTGTCAGGCTGATTTGCTGGAGCATACCCTGCTAGCAGAGGCTAAATTTTCGCTAAGTGAGCTGGCGTGCGAAAAGTAGCCTCTGCCGACAACAGTTCAATTTTCTATCGTGCATGCGCGAAATTCGTCACGTGATTCGTAAGAAAAAATTTATCGTCAATTTGTCGTCAAATGGCGCGAGTTTCGTGGGAATAAAAAAATGGAATGCGACAACTTTGATCTGCTACGCAAGACTCACGCAGGACTCACGTAATGCTCTAAACCGGTCAAGAACAGGAAAAAAATCCGTTTTCTTAATTTATTCGTCCAGATTTCTGGACGGATTTGAACGGTTGTCGGCAGAGGCTGCTTTTCGCACGCCAGCTCACACTGCGAAAATGTAGCCTCTGCTCTCAGGGTAGCTGGAGCAGCATTATTGATGTGAAACCGCTCGCTTTTATTGGCGTTTTCCGACATTTCATTTAGCTTTATTTGCACCATTACCTCGAAATCTTCGGCACTTAGAGTATCGGGCTCGGGATTTTTTAGAAGTAATTAGTCTCGGTGTCGGATTTGATAAAAACGCTTAAGTATCGGTTAGGAATTTTAAATCCACGGTATCGCAGTCTCGCAAAGTCTCGAATATAACATTCTATACTCCTTATGGTGATGTATTTTTTTTAAGGATGCTGTGAGCCAAAACTGCTAGCCCGGGATTAAATTTTCAAGAAAGTTTGAGGACCTATATATATATGCCAGCTTTTTGTGAACAAGAACAAAATAAGTACACCACTAAGGTGCGCGAGTACTCTGTTTATGGTATGGTTAAGGTTAACTTAACGTACGTCGACAGTTGCCAGACCTGAGATGGCGGTCAGAATGAGTGTGATGATGTTGTGATGGTGTGATGATGTTGCAAAAACAGCTGCATTTGAATTACACAAGTCTTCTGTACAACATTCCACCGTGCATCGCGATCCAACTTCTTTGCATTGAGCGTCGGAACATTGTTGATGCTGGGCACAGTATTTCAGGTAGCGTGTGAGTACCTTGCCAGTCTTGGTTCCATTCTTTTTTTCCCATTCATTCAGTGTCATTGTAAGACAGGCGTCATCGAAACCGGGTGCACAATTAACCACCTTACTTTCCTTGTCACAGTGCTCCCAAGAATTTTCCGAATGGCACAAAAGGCAGCGCAATTTTGGTTTTGGTGTTGCCTTTGGTGTTGGAGCCGGTTTTCTTATTGGAGTTGGTGTTTCGGTTGGTGTTGCTGTTGCGGATGGTGTTGCTGTTAAGGTTGAGCTTAGTGCTGCTGTTTGTGTTGGGGTTGATGTAGGATCTGGTAGAAATGAATATAGAGCTCTTAAGCAACACAACGGCGAGAGTATAGAAAACGTCACTTATCTAGTGAATTATGCCTTTTGCAACACTACAGCGACAGAAGCGAAAACTTACTCAAGTTAAAATTGAAGTCAAGGCTGATCGGACAGCTAAGGGTTGATAATTTACAAATTTATTTGCCCAATATTTCGACTAGACAAAACTAGTCTTTATCAGGGGCTAGAAAAGCTAAGTGAGAATAGAATAAACGGTTACAGTATTTAAAGTAACACAAATATAAAAATAAAATGTGATTGGTGGAGAAATACAATAGACGAAAAGTTGTATAAAGAGGTTATTATAAAAATGTGTGTCAATAGATTAAATTTTATCTCGTCTGCTCATCCCATAGGGTTCAAGTGCTTTGCCTTTCGAAGTTAAAAATCCTTTGCGGGCCTGTCTGAATTAATTAGTTCTAACAGAATAAGTTCTATGTCCTTGATGGAATGATATGGAAGAGAGAGGCGGTCTGAAACGGCGGTAGGATGATTAAAGTGACGTTGAGTTAAGTCTGTGTTGAGTCTGCAAAAAAAACTAGTACGAAAAAAGTCCGGCAGTGCATTCCACTGCTTAGCTGAAAAGTAAGAGAAGGAGTTAAGACCATTGGTAGTTGTTTCAGGCTTACTAAGTGAAAGAATGTAGTTGCCACGAAGATCATAGGGGTTGAGCCCGGTTCATCTGCACGTGCAAGCAACTCCTTGACCACTGCATCACAGTGCCTCATATGTTTTGATAAATTAATTTTGTTGTATCAAAACCATTTACTATGTGACGTCACACTGGCAGGCAGACATAGGTTGAAAACAATAGAGCCACCTCCTCCCTGATCTAAGCTTTTCAAGGCCGTTATCCTTCGCTGATGGATTCGCTGCGAAGAATCAAGAAGCTTTTGTCCCATATCAAACAAAATTAAATAACCTACTGAGTTGTTGTGTTCGGCGATGGCTAATTAATAAGAAATAGCTCTTTTCCAATTTAACTTAGTACCGAGTTGTGTAGCTCGGCGGATATTATGTCAGGAGGTCATGATATCTAACTATAATTGAATATCAAAAGGAAAAAGAAGCTAGTCATCAAGCTCAAGCTACCAAAGCTTTCAATCACAAAGTTTGAGGAGTTGTTCGAAAACTTGCTTCCATTCTGGAACATTCTGGTTTGCCGCTCAACAGCGAAGGCTATGAGAGAGCGAAGAACATACTCAAGGGAGAATACGGCAAAACCAGCGAAATTATCAATGCGTATTTTCATAATATTTTGGAGCTCCCCATCTTGACAAGCTCCGATCCGAAGAGGGTGAACGCTTTTTACAAGACCTTATTACACAAAGTACAATCGCTGGAAACTCCCACTGGGCAAATTGGAGCGAGTGAATGGAATGTCAATGCGCGTCCTCAAAAAAACTAAAAGGGATTAAAGCCGATCCTGTGGAGGTGAAGCAGGGTGGCAAGACTGGTATTTACCTCGTCTGGTTTTAGCTCTAAAGAAATGGAGAGACATCAATTCAGTGGGAGAAAGAGCAACAACGTCCCTAAGGGCAAGTCTTGCTTTTACCACGCAGAGGAACGAAAATCTCGCGCGCGTGTTTACTGTAAGAATGGAGATCATGTTTCGTCTACGTGTACTCGCGCGACCACCTTGGAGGAAAGGAAGAAATTTCTGGCGCAAAAGGGAATGTGCTTCAATTGCACCGGAACTAAGCCGGCCCAGTATCCGGCCACAACAATAACAACGTAATTACTTTCGACAGGCAAGCGACTTACAAGCTTCTCTTGCACTTGCAAAGTAGTCTGGCAATCGATTCCAAAAATATAACTTAGCATCGTGGAATAAAACAAAAAATGACTGGGGTATGGTGGGGAACTCGAGAGGCTGTTAAATGGTACAATTCTTACTTCCTTGTCTGGGAACTTTTTCACTGATTTAAGGAAGGCATCCGTGGACATGCCGAAAGCATCCGTATTTTTGGAATAGATTGCCAGACTACTTTGCATGTGCAAGAGAAGCTTATAAGTCGCTTGCCTGTCGAAAGTAATTACGTTGTTAGTTGTGGCTGGATACTGGGCCGGCTGTCCGGATACTGGACAACATAGGAGCTCTGCAAAAACATAAATTTCGCGATGGAAACAAAGGCAAAAAAGTTAAATTGTCTTTCGTCATATTAAGGACTGAATAGATTTTCTCTGGGCCAAATTTCAGAATTCTTTCGACTAACATGTAACAAATCAACAGAGGGAAGTTATTGCAATGTTAAACTGAAGTGTCCGGATACTGGGCAACATACTGTAAATAAATGATTATTTTTAGTCAATAGAATAGTGTTAATGTAAGAAATAAGTTAATACCTACCCACAATTTCCCCGTTCAACGTGTTCGGTAGTTGGTGGGCGAGCATATAAACCAACAGGATCTTTCTCCACAGTGACATTTTTGTCTTGGGTGTAGGGAAGTTGTCTACGTGCGCTCTGTGAATGGGATGAACTTTTTAAATGTGCGTAAACCTTTGAATCCTTTATTCACCTTCCCTTGCCAATTTCACGAACAATCTGCTCAAACTTGTTGGCGGTGTTAAGTATTTGTTGGTATTTCGTGTGCCACACAATAGGCCCTTTGAGTTGAGGCCCTGCATGAGTTGATCACGTGATCAACTTCCGGTAAACACGGAAACAGTAGTAGCACGAGCTGAAAGAACAAACAGAGAGGATTGCATTTTCTTGGCGAAACATCAACTTCACACTTGGACAACTTGCCCTCCAGGATACATGTGATATGGCGTGATTCTTTGGGTGTTGTAGCCTCCTCGCAGTCGCCCTTTGGGGTTCGTTCGTCACGCATTCATTTCTCCCCCAAAAGACGTCTGCGGGGAGGCTATGGGTGTTGGGAATTCAATTGGGAGTTCTAAGTTAGGGCTTACATCGGAGTGCGCGGGTTATTTTATAGCAGATCTCCTCTCTGCTTGTTACGCCATGCTGATGGGCTACAATAATAGCGAAAAAGCTGTCCATGGCTACAATTCTGCTCTGTGCGATACGTGGGCCAGCTGCACCGCAGGCAATGAAGCTGACACCGGACTGAATTAACAATAGTAGTATGATTGGATTACTTCCTTGAAATACGTACTGTGGACACCTCTATTAAGCGGACGCGGCCACTAAAATAAATCGTATTTGGCTAATTTCTATTGTTAAAAACCTCTATTATTAAAGCGGACACCGGACTGAATTTCCCGGGGGGGACTCCGCATATGAAAGGGGTGGGGATGCTCGTCGGGAATTTTGAATTAAACCCCTAAAGGAGACCGATCTGGGCGTGGCCCAAGCTTTTCTTGACCCCTAAAAGAGACCATGTTAAAACACAGACAAATGAGAAAACTTAAAAATATACATATCAAATATATATTTTCAGGAGCCCATGATATTTTTATATTTTTTCGCGTGCAACCCTAAACGAGACCTTAACGGCTAAATTTGATGGCGTTTTGCCCAGAACACCCTACCGTATTTATTCGAATAAGCGCCCAACCTCGAATTAGCGCCCACCTCGAATAAGCGCCCATCCCAAAGGCAGAAAAAGTTAATAAGCGCCCAGCCTCGAATAAGCGCCCACCCCACCCCACTCCCTCCCACACAAACTCAAATAAGATATAATAAGAGACCCTCCCGAAGACGGAGTTTTCTTCAGAGTATTTTACAGATTGGGCTGTAACCTTGCTTTGTTACTTCTTCGCTTTTTGTTATTACCATTTATTATTTTGTAGCAAAATAAACATACTACACTTGCTGAGAATGGCGAAAATTTAATAAGCGCCCATCCTCGAATAAGTGCCCACCTCGAATAAGCGCCAACTATCAAGGTCCAAAAATTTAATAAGCGCCAAGGGCGGTTAATCGAATAAATACGGTAAGTGAGACCAAAATCCGAAATCTACACCCCTAAGCGAGACGACGAGCATCCCCACCCCTTTCATATTCGGAGTCCCCCCCCGGGCTGAATTTACAATAGTAGTACTGGATTACTTCCTTGAAATACGCACTGTAGGCCATTAATACATTTAGCTGTCAATAAACTGTAGTTTCGACCCAGATATCCGGCAGTATCATTGTCATCCGCGATCAAAGTTCACCTAAAAGTCTTGCGCAAAGTCATGCAAAGTACAGCACAGCTTCCTAGTTTTCTCAACAACATGGAACTTAATTACAGTACAGAGTAACCTTTGAATGTTAATCGTTAACAAACATTGGGCAATTTTTACAAACCTCTATTAAGCGGACACCCTTGCAAGGTCCCGAATGTGTCCGCTTAATAGAGGTTTTGTTGTATCTCAAAAGTAGCGATTGCAACGGCCGCCGAAAATTAGAAGGATTTGTAGGAGAAAACCAGCCACCCAGTCACCGGGTTTTCCATACAGATCCTTGTAAATTCTAAAATTTTTAAACTGTCGTCAAATCTTTCCCATACGCATTTACGGGCTCAAATTGCCTGTTATGAATAGCGCTTTAATAGGTTTTGTCTCCTTAGACCCCCCGCGTGACTCAGACAACTCAAAGGCTTTGTATGAGCAACTAGCCTGCGAGCAAGCTCTCCTGTTTGGGCGAGTGAAACGGGTCTCGCGAGAACGCGCGAGCGAGCGGCCAAGCTTGCTCGCAGGCAAGAGACTATAAAGGGGTACAGAGAGGGCATCCCCCATATACACCCTATTCCATAGGTAATTCGTCTCGAGTTATTTTTAACTCCACAGATCTCAAGGGGGATTAGACAACAGCCAATCACATAGCGCGAATGTGTTCCGCGCGGATGACCCACGCTGAGAGCCACGCGTCCTTCACGAAATGACGCAGAACAAAATGGGGGAAGACGCGGAGAGCGATTTTGCTATTCCTTTTGTCGACGAAAACGACTACAGCGAGATTTCTGCGAAAGCTGTGTCAGCGAAACCGAAATTAAAAAAGAATCGCCCTTCCTCTATTGTATAGAGCTAACAGTAGAGCAGGGAAATCCTTAACACACTGAATAATCTCTCAGGATCATTTATAATTTACAGTTTAAAGAGAGCAATTTCTGGTTTGATGTTTATTTTTTTCAGTCTTTATAGCGATTATTCCTACCCACTTACTTTGTCAATTGTAGGCGAACCCTCCTAAAGCTGAATTTCAAGGGACCATATTTAAGCTCAGAAAGAGAAATAAAATTTCGTCGTTGCTTATTTACGTCCTCCATAAAACGCGAAATTAGGCATTTTCTCGTCGTAGTTGTGCAAAAACGGGAAAGAAATGAACAAAAAAGTGTGTTGCACGTGCGAAGTTGTTGTTTTGCTAATTAAACCTATTGTTTTTTTGACGTTCTAGTTGTCGTCCGCGTCGTTGGATCTTAAACTCCCTAAATAGGCCATTTTACAGTTGTGTATGGAAGCGAGGCTGAGGGTGACCTTGTTTTGATACAAACCCTCATGCTTTATTATGTAAATCAAGTTATTCTTATGCTAACCAGTATTTTTCAAGAACAATTTCCATAACAAAGCAAAGAAGGTTTGTATCAAAACAAGGTCACCCTCAGCCTCGCTTCCATCCATAACTGTAAAATGGCCTGTTGTACAAACGACCGGTTACAATAGACCGGCGAAATTTCTCATTTTATTAAAGCACTGAGGTTACGACAACTTCGAGTTAAACTGATTTCATGGGTTGTCAAAGAGTCCAGCGATTCCTTTTTCCCAGGTGAGCGCCGACTCATTTCGCTTCAATATTCAGGAATGCTCTCGATCTTTTTAAGCTTTCATTGCCTCTCACCCGACATGTTTTGCACGGCGTTTGGTCATGCGAAACCTCCACGAAACCTCCACGCCTCGCGCGAGGTAACTTTATCCCGATTCTAAAAATAACTCGAGACGAATTACCTATGGAATAGGGTGTATATGGGGGATGCCCTCTCTGTCCCCTTTATAGTCTCTTGTCGCAGGCGAATGAGCAACATGCGTTTCCGACATGAAAATTGTTCTTAAAATTGGGAATAAGGGCTTTTAATTTATTTTTTTGAGCTTTATTCTAATATGTAAAAGGCATTACTGCTATAGGGAGCAAAACCTGATCCAAGTAACTCAAATAAACGGTTAAAATTAGAAAATAGAGCGACCTGATCAAAGTAGGCTACTGAACATGACTGAAATCGGATCCCCAGCTCTGTCTTAGGCCTGGGGCAAACGTCGAGTGTTAGTCGTCTGTTCGAACCTATTAATTTTGAAATAGGCGCATGAATGGTGCGACGTTTGCCGCAATTGAGTTCGACTCAAATTAATTGATTCGACTCCAGCATAAGTTCGACTTGCCAAAACGCATAATGAGACAATGATTCGGCGTTTCAGCAAACGCCGTTCTAAACACGCGCTGAACTCAGTTCATAAATCATGCAAATTACTAGCCTGCGTAGCAGGCACTTGCAAGAAAGAACGGACGCGAGAGAGGGAGACAAATCCAGTCAGACACACATACATACAAACATACACCCATACATACCCTACTGTCTCTCTGTCATCTGGGTGAAAAACTGTCGCTCAAAAAGAGGTATTAAACAGTGCCTAGGAGGTCTGAAATGCAGTCATAACGCAAAGAAAAACAAGAAAAGGCACAGGGTCCAGAGGAGTTTCGTGTGAATAAATGAATTACTTATTTAACTCAGGTACTCCTTCAATGTCCAGATTATGTGTGGCGTGAAATTGAACCTTAAGAAATACTATCTACACGACAAGCTGCCCAATGAGTCAATAATTTTAATGCTTAGTACTGCCAAAATGCTTACCGAAATGACAATGATAATAGTTAAAAGCATGACAATTTTTTGCGATTTTTTCCACGATGAAAGCGTTTCCTTTACGGTCCGCAACTATTTGTGAAGCTGCGATCTCAGCAATCCAAGCAATCTTGTGATAGTTTTCTTCTTGTTTGTTCCACAAATAAAAGCCTCGGACTCTCAATAAAAGGGACATCTGTATGTACTCGAACGCTTTAAGTCTATCTTCTGGTGAATAATTACATAAAATCTTACAAAATTAAAGAAATATTCGGGATAGCCGCTTAGCCGATAAAACGCGAAGGACGCGAGTGAAAGGTAAGCTTGCAGTTTTGGAAGATATGGAATTTATCTTCTCGTGTTCACATTCGATATCTCACTCGTTCGCTGCGCTCACTCGTTCGATATCGATGTGAACACTCGAAGATAAATTCCATATCTCCGCGCGACCATGTATTATTCTCTATCTATTTACCTTGTCAGTTCTTTGAAAACCGAAGAAGTATGCGCATGTTGCTGTTTTCTTTTATAATCAAACAAAAGTCAATCCTAAAACATCAAAAGTTATTGCTTCGAGACGTTACGCTTGGAGCTTGGGTATTAAACAATCCCTTGATGAGCAAGGATCAGTAAATGAGAAGGAAAATAGCTCTAAGTCCTCCGCTTAATCGAGAAACTGCAAGCTTACCTTTCACTCGCGTCCTTCGCGTTTTATCGGCAAACAAGAATCAGCCATTCCATAGACCAAAACCATGCCATATAGTCGAGAACCCGATAAATGTAATTCATTGTTTAAAATACTCCAGTGTAAAGTCGGAGCTCTACAAAGTACAGTAAAAAATAAATACAAATATTAAAAATGTCCGGTATCTTGTTCAAAATATAAAAGACAAGATAAATGGTTAAAATGTTCTCAAACTATCAAATATCAATAATTTCACATGTAAAAATATCGTATTTTTACGTGTGTTCAGATACCACATTTCTCGGTGGTAGAAATCCTTGTAAAACACTGCAGTTTATATAATAAAAATTATTTTTCATCTGTTGAAAAACGACGCATCTTTTCCACAAGAAATAACTAGAACCTCCCAGACTTAGAGGAGACAAAACCAGTCCGCGTGTCCTGCGTGTTGCACATTTCTTTCGCGTCGCGCGCGACTACCTTGGCATGCGCAGAAAATGTGCACAGTAGGAATAATAGGCACCGTCCTTAAGGGTGGACAAAGTTGCCGACGTAAGCAACCCCTTGGTAGGAGTGATTTAAGGTATCCAGCGTCCAGGAACACCAACTTGATGGCGTGTACTATGGAAGCTGCAACTCCACAGTGAAAAGCTGTTCAATTTCATCATCTGAAACAATCTGAAATATCCAATAGAAGTTAAAACTTGATCAATTAGTACAGAAATGAACACATTAAAAAGCTAGAGCTATGTATCAAATACGAGCAAATCAACTATTAAACGTGTGTTCGACAAATCATTATGCTACTGCTGTAAGAGATATGAAACCCTTTAAACCTGAGAAATGAAGCTCATTGAAGAGAAGATAACTCTCCAATCTGCTGGCCTCTAAATATTTTCTCTTTGAAAAAACAATGCTTAATTGAACATATGTATCCATGAAAATTATGGACACGACCAGTAAGTATCAGAGTCTTGTTTGCTAAACAAATTCTTTCCAACTGTATGGAGAATATGCTTGCAAACATAAAGAGATTGCGTGCAGGCTAATAGCCAGAGAAAACAGTCGACATCTCGTAACGCCACTGGGGAAGTTCCCCATGAATATGACCTGGGGCACCCAACGTCAATTTTCAGAAAATATCTGTTAGGAAGACGATTTGAGATCTAGAATTTTCCGAACATTTGTTGTAAAATTTCTTGCTTGCCTGCCTCTCCTTGGATTTACGAACATCTAAAAAATGGTATAATTGCCCATTTTTTAACGGATTTTTACCCTAAAAAGGTCACCTAGAATTTTAGGGGGCCTTTTTTCTGGCTGAAATTTTCGAAAAGGTAAGTTTTGATCCCTATAATTTTCACTAGACTTTCAGCTAGGAAATCCGAACAGATGAAAAATTTCAAGGGGATTAAAATATGCCTATATCTACCGTTTAAATACTAAAATACATTCAGCAATGCTATGTTTAAGTGGTTTTGAACTATGTTCTCGTTGGGTGCCCCTGATATGACGTCTGATGAACGAACGCAGAAATACCATACTGATGACGGATAAATACCCAGATCTCGGTAGTGCTTCTGATTGGTCGTGCTGCTTGGAAGATTTGCTTCAATCAATCAGAAACCCTATCCTGTGACACGTCATCAGTATGGAATTTCTGCGCTCGTTCCTCAGACGTTAACCAGTAGTGGCGTCGCGAATTGTCGACTGTTTTTCTCAAGCTTCGTGCAGGTTGTCGGTGTTCGATTCAGATTTCCTCTTTCTATTCAAGTTGGCTTAGAATGAAAATGATCAAATCCCTTACATTAGTGAATTCCTCAAATGACACTTTGGAATCTTGCTGCAGGTTGCTCCTGCTGAGAATTCCTGCTATTAGTTCCACCACTTGGTCATCTGTCAGTACCGGTCCTGTCACCATTCTAAACAAACTGAATAACTCATGGTAAGATAACTGTCCATTGCCATCAGTGTCCAGAACTTGAAATGCAACTGCAGTTAACAAACCATAAACAATCATCACATCATGAGATAAAGAAGTCATCAGCATCTACTTATGCTAAGGTAGGCCCTGAATCTCACAGAATGACTGGGGCAAGTTTTAAGACCTACACCATTTTAGCAGGGAAAAGTTATCATAATCGCTATTAAAACTATTTAGACTATAAAAGGGGCTTTTGTTAATTATCCTTTAAGGCAACCGGTAAATATCACCGCCAACTTTGATGTCGCAATGTTATGTGCAGTGGGTGATGCACAGTGCAAAACCAGGAAATTACTTTAAATAAACATATGCACTGAAACGTGAATAATTTGACATTAAATTATGTCTATCTCTTATACAGTGAGGTTGGAAAATATAGCAGTGGAGAGATTTATACAACTTGCACATTAGACAGACAAAACATGAATGACTGATTAAATGACGCATTAGCTACAATAATAACTCACATTCCTTCCTGTCATCAAGTGAGTTGCGTGGACTCAGTCTAGACAGCATGTTGATAAATGACCTGTATGTTATCTTGCGTGATCTTGAATCAAGGTGCACAGAGGCCACTTTAGGCATTATTGGATTGGTTGATATTTCTGGTATGTCCAAAAACTGTTTCAATGTTATACCACCATTTCTGCCATCTGGATCATAGCGAGCAAATCTCTTCATCAGCTTGGGTATCTCTTTTGCACTGACTGCAATAAATATTCAGCCGGATTCTGTTATGACTATACTTAAGCTACGGTAAATTAGGCAATGAAATACGTTAAACTTGTTTTGCAGCATTGCTGCAAAAGGAGTTGAAAAGCAATGTTGCACATTTTACCACCCATGTTCAAACCTGTCCGGCAAAAAAATCAGGTTGTTGCAAGTTGCATGAATACTGTCTCCTGACTGGATAAAATTATGCGGATATCATGCCATACACAGGAGTTATGTCACTTGTTGCATAACAAGTTTGCCATGTGCCAGTAAAATGCACAATTATTCTGGTTTGTTTTTCTAAAAGTAGAACAACTCTCTGCTTTCTGCAACAACTTTGCAACCTGCAACAACCTGATATGTTGCAAGACAGGTTTGTCCCGTGGGTTGTAAAAAGTGTAGCATTGCTATTCAGCTCGTTTTGCAGGAATGCTGCAAAACAAGTTGCACGGTTTTGCTACTTGTTTTACTGTAACCATATGCGCCCCTTACGCCCTAACAGAGATGTCAAGCTCTGGAGATCTAAACTTTGAGGCTGTTTCTTTTTAAGAACCCCCTTCCAATATCAACCCAACCCCAGCACCAGGGGTCAATTTAATAAAAACTTTTACACATGTAATTTACAAGTGTAGCTATTGTTCTCAGACTCTAAAACAATGGCTACACTTGTAAATTACACATGTAAAAGTTCTATTAAATTGATCCTAGTCCCCAAATCGTAACATCCTCATAACCTGTGCCTTTTAAGGAAAGAGAGAAGAACAGAGGAAAATAAAACAAAGACAAAAACAAAAATGATGAAACTGACTCAAAGTTAATTTGTCAAAGTATTTTGAAGAGATTAAAGAGGTACTACAGGTTATTTCGGCTGCAAAGTGTCTGTTCTTTTACACATAAGAGGTATTGTGGACCTACTTTGAGATGCAAAGACATTTCTTTCACCTTTTACAAGAGACATTTGCATCTTATTTATGATACCTCTTCTATAAGACACATCATATTTTTCCATATTTCTAATAATCACCCTATGATGTTTTCTCATGCTGTACACATACAGTTTGAATTAGCTTCCAGTTCTCTCACGTCCTCCTCACTGGCAAGAGATGCTCCAGTTCCCTAATCATAAACAAACAAAAAACGAAAAATAAACAATCATATAATCAGGAATAAATGGAAATAGTTATAGAAATACCAACAACACCAGTCTTCTAGAGTCTGTTAATTACGAGATAATTGCCTGTTAAGTGCCCTCTTGAAGTCACCCTTTCCATGGGTTAAATATCTGCTGATGTCCAATGGTCGCAGAGCAGCCCATCAGACGTGTTGTTGTCTGACTGGTAAGCAACACTTGCCAATATGAAGTCAATCTTAGTAAAAGGGGGGATGTAATGGTAGGCCTGCACAACTGCTCTGGAACAGTAAAGTTCACATGCATTTGCTTGCAAGCCCGAAAGGTAAGAGAAGTGGTAGCCTGCAAAAACAGCTGTTTCTCCTCGCTTGTTGCCACTGGGATGTTTTGCGAGGAGGAAACGAAATGCAGAATGTCCCCAGCGGCCATGAGTGAGGAGAAACAGCTGTTTTCACAGGCCACAATCTTCCTAGTAGAACTATTTTCAGTAGGGATAATGGGTGATCAAAGAAATTTTTCTTTTTAAAGTAGAAAAGATCTCCTTCATCACTGCGTATTCAAACAATTGCTGGGGTTCATGAGCGATTCATGTTTCTTTTAACATTGGCCACAGCAAGTTACAGTAGGCTGAAGAATACAAACATTGCACCAAGTTGGTAATTCAAGTGTTTGCTATCTAACTTGGAAACAAACCCTACAGATGTCGCCAAAGGTTTTTTGAGTGTGAATTTCAGAGAACGTGTGAGAAATCAATCAGTTATCAGCTCATGAGAGCATGAGACAAGAGGGAAATCGTGAGACAAGCAAAAAAGTTGTCTCACTTGCCAAGTCTGCATGAGGTACATCGTCTCTAGCTGCAAGGCATTAATGAATCATTGTACTTTTTACAGTGGGAAGGAGCATAACATCAAACCTAACTGACTCCTACTTCAAGTTTAACTCTTTTTTTTTCTGTTGTGATAGTCAAAAAAGTGCCGAACTCTTTACACTTTCATGTTGAAAGTGTATTTTAAAAAATATATATGTAAAATTCAGATGTGAAATGCAAAGAAGATCCTCGCAGTTAACAGCAAAACTTATGCAGTTGTAAAAAAAAAGGCCTAACAAAATTTAGGCTTGCCAAGATTCGAACCCTGACCTCTGCAATACCAGTGCAGTGCTCTAACCAATGTTATTGAGCTAGCAAGCCAACTGGGAGCTGGTCATTAAATTGGGTTGCAACATATACGTATGGTTGAAACTGCGGAATGAAGAAATAAATGCAAAGAAGATCCTTCTTTACCTTTATTTCTCCATGCCGCAGTTCCAATACATGAAATTTATTCATTAAGATGTGAGAAAATCAAGTGTTCAACCATACAGTAAACATACAGTAATTATCACAACTCTCTCAGGGGTACTCCATACCCCTGGGAGAGCTTGCTCGCAGGCTAACAATCTATTGAAACAATGCATAATAGGAAATAACACAAATGGTTTACTTCTTTTATAATATTTAAAAATATATTGGGTAATCTAGGCTAAAAGTGGTAATCTCACAACTAAACAACAAACAACCATTAAACAGTCACAGATGACAAAAAGTTTATAATATCATGGGCTCTGCTGCCAGAACAACACTGTGATTTTTTGCTTATTCTTGAAAGGCCTTCAAAGTTACTGAATTTTTGTATGTGACTTTGATTTAGTGTAAAAACTGTTCTGAACTTTTTTTGCTAGTTTGAGTTTCGTTTTTGAGAAATAAAGTAGGCAAAAAAAAAAACACGTCGGAGAGCTTTGTATTTTTTGGGGTTAAAATCAGAAACATTTGACTCCACACAATACACATTAAGTTGCTATGACAACTTCATAGCCAAGAGAATGGTTTCAATGTTATTTTGTTTAATATTGAATCACAGCTTTTCCTGGTTATAAAAACAACAATGACCAGCAGGTTGGAAGGAAATTTAGAACTTCATTGAAGCTCATGATGAACTTTTAGATTTCTTTATAAAACAGAGATAGCAAAAGTAATTTCCTGAACTCCTAATGCAAAGCAGTGTTTTCTGTTCAGACAAAGAAACAGATGACAGGTTTTATCCTAAAAAAATCCCTTTAAACAAAGTATTAATGCATTATCCAGAAACAGCTCTAAAATCATCTTGGATCTTAAGTAAAATCTCTTAATTTCCTTTTGAGGCTAAGTTGTTAAGTACTTTCTAAAATTTTAAATGACCAAGAAAATTTGGTACTTATGAATTGGAATAAAACTATCAGATGATATAATACTTTTTTCAGTCCAAAATCATAATAACTTATGAAAAATGGTGGGTAATATATGGTGCTGTCATTTGAAAGTGAATAATTTATGCTATGCAAAGCTTGAAACCAGTGAACTAATGGCTTGTCTGTGAAAATCTGTTGTTATTCTCAACTAGCCTTTCTAAGGAATACTCGTTTGAGCTGTGTCGGGGCTAAAAAAGCAAAATGATTAAAGGTTTTGTGAATTTTGTATGTTAATTGGTTAGTTCTAATGGGCTTCTGTTTTTATGAGGGACATTCTTTTTCCAGGGTAAAATCCTACAGATTTTACCATAGATTTTGTTGATTTAATGTTACCTATTTTAGATGTTACAAACAAGAGAAAAAGTTCTATTATTGACATCCTCTGCATAGTCAACAAACGCTAACACAGTTTAACAACTTTCCTTTAATTTTCAGCACATATTTGTTCGCTGGATTCCCGGGCCTGAAAATAGTCCAGTCCGGTAATGCAAGATAGATAGATTCTCTTACTGAACAAGTACATTTTAAAGCTTACTTGCCCCAATGGCCCATGGGCAAGGCCAGGTCTTAGTGAGTCATCTTCTAACTACCAGTAAATCATTAACTAAGACGAGTAAGAAGTCTCTCCAGGGAAGCAAAAGCTGAGAGCTGCTTGCCCAAAGGACAAGCTGGAATTCAAGTTAATTTCTAGCCCTGTATTCATCATGTTCATTTTTCACACAGTTTTTAAATGTTGAATACAATGTACTGCATTGTTATGACAGGAGACCATAGTAAGCTCTAATATTTTCCCCCTTTTTATTAATTTTTTTTTAGAAATTGGGTCAGGTTGTGTCATTGTTGGCAACTGGAACAATTCATCAATTTGTCCACGCAGTTATGTTGTCAAGGCAGTTAAATCACAAATAGGTAATGGCCTCACTTGGCCACTTGACAGGCCAACCTAACCCATTTGGATACAAAAAAACTATTTCAGCTGAACAAATAAATATATTTTAATTATAAGATGGACAATCTCCATTAGTTTCGGTGCCTTTTCACTTCTTTTAAGATATAGGGCTTTCAGCTTTTATGTGCGAGAAAACTACTCAAGCTTCTTCAGGGGCTTTATAAGCAGTGAGATTTCATTTATCACGGTTGACAAAGGTACCGCCAGGAAAATTTTGTAATTATATCTCAAAATCCATTATCAGAGAAAATTATCCCGCTAGAATCACCTGCAATGTTCTATTGTTCAAATAGTCCATTAACTTGTAGCATTAGTGGCCGGTAAAAGCACTAGATTTCTTTAATAACGCAGTATTTTTAGGCGCTTTAATATCTAACTTCACCACCGAGTTGAGCAGACGCCTCCAGTACGCAGAGTACGCAAAGCTCGCTACCACTGATAATTTCGCCGAATAATTGGGTAAACCAAAGGCAAATTGTTGTCAAATCTTACACCTATCGCTAATCCAAAAACAATAGAAATAGCACTTCTTACCATAGTTGAATTGGGAAAAATATTTCTTTTGCCAAGACGCGAAAACCATGGCGGACTACATCTTTGCTATCTGGTGCCCTATAAGACCCCACCGGGACTGGGTCGGTGTGAAAATATCAGAAATACATTCTTCCTTGCGTGTTTTGCGGTAGACAATTAAAATTTTAGCGAAAAGTTTAAAGTGTGTCTCATGAATCGTGAATTCTGCGTTTTTTATCCAGCAATTTGAAACCTTTACACAAAGCTATTGCTGCTTGCCTTTGTCTTACCCTACCCTACTGAAACCGAAAAAGCTCACGAATTTGCTAAAGGACAATGGGGCCAGCTCACAGCTTTTTGTCAAATGCCATCTTAAGAGGTTTTAAAATGTACATTATTCCTTGCAAATGCAAGAAAGAAAAAAATCGAAAAAGGCTCTATGGAAAAATTTACATTTTAAGTTTCGCGAAACAAAGGAAAAAGCTTCAGATTGTTTTGCGTGACCAATGAGTGAGTTGATATCCGGCCATGTTCCATGTGTCTCAGTGAAACATGCACAAGCTCAATTATTCTCTCGCCCTTGCGACAATTGATCACATGTCGCTAGGGCTCTTGCTTGTATTGATTTTAGCGCCTGAAAAAAACTAATTTGGGTTTCCATGTTGAATGATTTCAAAATGAGGTGAGGAAAGCTTCACACGCAAGACAGAAGCCCTTTGACGGCCCAAAACAAAGAGTCTTCCTGCGCAGCGCGAGCGATTGGCCGAATGGACAGCTGAGGTGTGAAAATAAACGAGGTCCGGTGGACACCCGAAACACGTCTAGACTGATTTTGGCGCTGCTCAAACATTTTGTAAAGGTTTCACGCGTTCCTGTGATATCTAGCTTTGGAAAAGATTGGAGGTGTAGTTCATATATATAAATCATAAATTCAGCCGTTCGTGACTTTCGCATCGTGGACAAACTGTTCATGAAACATGCGAGAGTGACTGACTTGAAATTCGCCAGCAGTTTCTCCATTAACACCTTTCTGAGCCCATTGCTTCATTGGTGTACAAGTCCAGCTTTCCTTGGAAAACCAGTACTGAGAGGTTTTAAGAGGAGGAGGAAATCTTTGCCGCACTGCGGGGACAATTAAGGTAAAGTTTACGACACACGGCAACGTAACATTGCGATTTCGCGATTTCGTGACTCGAAGTTAGCTCATTAATTCTTGAAATTATAATGTATATAAATGACATCGCTCTTTTCTCCAGTAGCATTAATTCAGGTACACAGAGAGAGGAAGCCAAGAAGTAAAAGAAAAAGGCTAATAGGACCTTTGATGCATACGGGAACCAAAGTCATGAAGTAAGTACCTTGTTATAAACAATGCCAACGCTGTATGATGCCACCTTGGAACTTAAAAGTGACCAACATGAACAGTATTCGTGTTGCAGAGAACGGCGTTCGGTGCTAAGGTGGAATTTCACGAACCACTGTGTCAATATTCACTGTTGTGTTAAAGTTTCAATGATGAAAAGACACGAGAGCTGAAACTATGCTCACTGCGGCAAAATGTTGTATAACCGTGTTTTCGACGTTTAATCATTTCACGTGCACGATTCAACTCATGCTTTGAACACGGTGAATTACCCGCGCAACACAAAAACAATTACTGGCACAGCGAATGAATGAATTTCCACTTGTACAACATACATGTCGACCTTGTAAGCTTTGTCGTCTTAACAATGAAGTTTTTCCTCGAGCTCAACACGTGTTCCACTAACCACTACTTTTTCTCTTCGTTCGTTTCAGCAAAATTTGGCGACCGTGGGTTGATACACCTGAGCACGATGATAGAAAAACTCGACGACAAAGATGCATGGTTAGTTCGCCGTTTAAATTCAGTTCTGACAATTTTCTAAAAATTATGCAGCTCTTAGCCATTTCAGTAACACAGTGGCTTAGTCATCAAAATTTCGTCACTTCATGAAATGGAGCTGCGACAAATTCATCCAACGGGCGGCAAAAAGCAAGTTTAGAAAAAAACCTTGGAATTTAGTGGTGTTAATGGATTTGCAGCCTTTCTTACCGAAGACCGCGAAAGAAAAAAACAAAACAGTGTGATGCTTCTTTGCATATATCTACAAAGCTGTATATTTTAGGGGCAAAAAATTTAAAGAAGTAGTGTTTAATATTGCCTCATCTATAGCATCCTGTTTCACTTCGTAACTGACCATAGATACTTTCGTAGGTTGCTACTTTAACAGAATCTTTTTTCAGCCCTTCGAATACTAGTTTAATTTTTTTTTAACTCTTGCGATTCAAAAATTTTTTTTTTTGGTTTTATCAAAGAGAAAACTAGTTCTTAGCCTAATTACCGACAAATTTTCAAGATGAATATGGCCTTACTTTTGCACCAATCGCCGCCATTTGGAACAGAAGTCCGATGCCAGGTAGCTTTTTTCATTTATTTACTTCCTTGTTTTTTCGGCTTTGAATGAACTCTCAGTAAACCGCTACTGTGTAGAAGTGAGAAAAAAATACGTGGATTCTGTTCTAGTTTGGATTTTCTCACGGCTTTTTTACAGATCCATGAAATAGCTTGAACGTTACTTGCTTAGTAGCTTTCACCTGTTCGGAGCGGAGAGGTTTTGTCGGCACGGCTTCAAAAATTGCATTTACTCAAACAAAGAGAAATCAAAATTTATTGCTGTCCTTCATATCTATGCTTTTAGAATTGGAATCAGTAAGGCCTCTTTCAGCGTCTAGTTTCAAGTTATATATATGAAAAAACTCGCGAAAATAACCAATCAATGCGTTAACTGTTAGCACACTTCTGCAGTTCTGAGGCGGTACCTCAAAGAATCTGCCCTGGGAGATGCTACCGAAAATTTCATTATCTTTCGGACCAAAAATATCAAAACGTAATATGTTTACAGAAACAAAAGCTTCCATTGGGTCCCAAGAATGAAAAACGCCAATAATGACTTGAATCCAGAAAGATTTAATGAACTCCTCTTCGAGCTGTGCTTGGGTCCACCCTTTTCATGAAATCCTATCGGTCTAAACAACGCTAATTGAAAATATGGCCCAGCTCGACAAGTCTCTACCTATCGGTGAGATTCTTATCAATTTAATATTGGAAAAGTTATCATTTTTACTGCCTATCTTATTTTAACCAAAATTCGGTGACAAACGAAACCTTGTTGTTCATTAGTTTGAAGGTTTTTTATGGTAAATTATTCGTGCGTTATAATTATCAGGTTTAATTTCTCACCTGTAGCCCGTTGACAGATTTGTCAAAAATGTTATTCAGGGAACAAGTACTACCAGTCACTCAAGATTTGTCTTTTCATTTGACCGATTTTCAGAATTACCTCTGTCACGTCACTTGTCAGCTTTATAAAGAATGTCATGTCCCAGTTCATCGTTTTTGCTTATCGTGTTTTTTTCTATGTCATATCCTTAGGAGCGCATTTTAGAGAAACTTGGCCGTAACAGTGAGGGTAAAGAACTGCACCAATAAGTGTGATGCACGCTTTGTTTCATGCATGCTGAAATTTGCCTTTTCAAAGTTGCGAAACACGTTCAATCCTGACCTGATAACAGCAATGTTTTCTCAAACTGCGAAGTTCTCAAAATCCAGGAAGGGACGACGGTACTTTTAAAACTGAAAAAGACTTACAAAATCTGTAAAGTCAAAAAAATACGTATCTACTAAAACGCCTTGCGTTTTTGTGACGATTCCATCACAATTGAAACGATCCCCAGTGTATGGAAACCCCAGCTTGAGGAACCTTGCATAACTACGACATCGAAGCCAGCTGGAAAAGACAATTTGAGAAGAAAGTAGTCCGTTCCAAGTGTTCAGAGTTGTGATCGATAGTCCGGGGGGAGGTACTTTAGGAATTTTTGGGTGGGGATGTGCCGCGGCCGGGACCCTGGAATCCTTGGCCTATACCAGAGCTACAATAGTGCAAGTGAACTTTGCTACCGTCTAGACTTTTTAAAACTCCCCAAATCCCCCCTATCCTACAGGAGCTGTTTTCCAGAAACTACTGAGGTCACTAGCACAGTCCAGCCAAACCAAAACCGATTTGATTTTTTTACAGTTTCGAGTGGCAATTACCGGTTTCCCTATAGGCTAGTCTAGACTAAAATCTTCAACCAATTGATCAGTCCCCAGAGAATGATACCCTACTCTAGACCAAAACTCTCTGATTTATATACCCTATCCCAGAGTAAACTGCTTGAAAACCATACCCTTCACAGCAGCACATACTTATATATCCCATTTATGGTAGTACCTCCCCCCCCCCCGGTCGATAGTAGAGCACCTGGAAAAGTCTTGATCTGCACGTGCGTTTCACATTTTCATTGATGCCTTTTTGATTCCGTTGTCTTCATCAACGTCAGCCGATTTTGTGGAAAACGTGAGCTCACAATACTAGGAAATTAAAGTAACTTTTACCATTCAAAACGATATAGTAAACAATATAAGAGAAATTACTATTCTTTAAAAGAAAAAAATGTGAAATTAGGTGTCGCGGTGTTTTATAGGCCATCAAAACTATCGGATCCTTCTTGAAGTACTACGCCCCTGCAGGCGTTATGGTTGCCATTAACGTGGGCTTCGATTCTTGTTTCAACGAAATTAAGTTTAATTTTGTCTCTTATTTCCGAGGATAAAGTCTGGTTTAACCTTTTTGGAAACTAAATATCTCACATATCTGGCATTTGCACAAGTACAGCGATGATCGACATGTGTGAAATCCACACGCGTGCGCGTGAGGCTAATCAAAAATATTTATCTACTAGATATTATTTCCTCTCGATCAAAGCGCTGTTGAAAACGGCTATACATATACTTCCGTTGTGCCATTAGGCAAGACCTAATTAAGACAGGTTTTGAGCTATTTTGAAAAAATAGCTAATACGTCAGTAGTTTGAGCGTATGTATCTTTGTGGCTTTGTATGTTCGGATGTCTGTTGCAGGGGCCAATAAGGTTGAAGGTACTATGAGTTGATGCGTAGGAACCAATGAGATTTTGGCATCTAACATGACTGCTTTGAAAAGTCAAGCAAGGGCACTTTGAGAACGCCATCTTGATCTTCGCAATTTTTTCGTCTTTTATTACGGCTGAAAGTGTTTAGAAGCACAAAATTGAAATATCTTTATGATTCAAACCCTGAGCAGGGGCGTAGCCAGGATTTTTCAAAGGGGGGGTCACAGAGGCTACTCACCAGATTGTCAGTCGTATTATCGCGGCATGAAGGCCCATATTAACTAAAGACAAGAGCCGTTGACGAAAATACTTTACAAAAAAACAAATTTTAAAAAAAGTGTGCTTTTCAACAATGGCTTTTACGGCCAAGATATTGTCATGCCGTTTTTGCCACCTGAATATTGTAGGTTGTTTGCTCAAAAGAAGGCCTACCAAGGGGGGTCACGGGCACCCCAGGACCCCCCCCCCCCTTGCCCAGCTACGCCCCTGCTGAGTACAGTGATGCAGCTTTTTAGGGGTCCATACTTTAGTGTGGGTGCTGCTTCAAGACATTTCTGACCTAATTCGGCTATCACGAACAGTACAACACACGTATTTCATAATTTATGAGTTCTGTTTCACCTGCTTCAAGGTTAAACAGGAGTGTAAAAGATCATATATTTTTCAAAGTTCTTCCAAATTTAGATATGGACTTTAATTCTGAAGTATGCGGCCTATAAATTGTGGTTTTAGAAGTTTGAAAGGCGAGGCGAGTATTGTTAATCCTGTAAACAAGCTCAGTCTCATTCATTAATTGTTAAATAACTTATAGCACTTTTAGAATCAAGTCGTCACAGTTAGAGACTGTTTCATTAAGTAGAATTGCACGTGACAACCTCGTGAATCATGAATGATGATGCAACCATCGACAACAATGATGAAAATCGTGGCATTTCTTAGCTGTTCGGTACGGTATTCGATGAGCTTCGTTATATTAAGAATCCACAAAGAAACCTTGAAACCTTCGAGTCTTCCCTCTCAGCAACTAAATTTCGCCCAGGAATCGCTTTTACCATTTGTACAAATCTCGACAAATCGGTTCCATTTACCGAAAAATGGCGCGAAAAATATACCTGAAACTGGTATCAACACGAATTTCCGTTTGGAACATTCCGTCCGGGAAAACAGGACTACCTTTTCAGATGTTCTGTTGCTCCCGGAAATCTTCCGCTGGAACGACCCCTAAAGTGTTTTTACTTTCCAACTGGATTTTCCGGAAACTTAAAAGGTAAACAACCACAGAGTTGAGCTAAATGGGGTGCGAAACTGCGTAATGTTTCGCGTTTTGCCAGCGTAGAGGATCTCAAAGAGCAACTCCTGGACAAATGGTGTTCCAGCGAAGATCGTTACTGTAAGGTCCTGGCATCATGAACAGTTTTCGTGTGTTTGTTTTTTGCCAAAGTAAAAATTGCGTTTCTCTAATAATCCCATAATTCCTTTGGGTCAAAAGATACAAAGAGCGCTTGTTACCATGCAACAACAGTGCACATGCATCACACCTTTTGTACATTTCTTTGCCGTCATGTAAGTAGGCCCTTGCCCGCGCCCAGTCCTTAGGCCTCATTATTCCGCGTAGCCAATGCGTTTCGGGTCACGTGGTTCGTTCGCCTCAGATACGCCACCGAAGTGAATTGACCGAGAAGGCCTGGGAATACGCCTTACAGGGAGTAAACAAAGTAGGCCCGAATTGCTTACTTACAAAATGAGGCCAAGTGCAAACCTTTCAAAGGAATAGAAACCTTTTTACTTATCGTACCCCATGACCTATTTCGTGCAACCCTGAAGACCTTTTCCCTTTTCTCCTTTTTTGTTAGTCTTACGGACAGCAGGATAACGGCCAAGGAAATAACCTACAAAACCTGCAATTCAAACATCCAGTCAGGTATGTCAGAGGCGGATCCAGGATTTTTCGTAGGAGGGGGTGCACTACTAAGGAATGGCGTAATTGACTGGTGACGTAAACAAATTTTAATAGCGAATACGAAGAAGAAGGCTTTCGACTAGGCAATAACATAATGTGAACTGCTGAGAATACATATCAAATGATAAAGCAGATTTTGTATAACTGTGAAGCAGACTGCACAGTGTTAATTAGAAAGCCGCAGGTCATTTCAGGGGGGTGGGGGGTGCGCCACCCCTGCACCCTCCCCCTAGATGCGCCCCTGTATGTTCAGTAATAACGTGTGCGCTTTCTTCATTTCACAGCGTTTATTTCTTCCGGGCTTTGACAAAAAATTGTCACCTCATAGGTTCTAAGGGTGGTGTAGAACGAGCGGCCTCTCATTTTTTCTTAGTCCGTCAAGCGAAAGCCGTGAGAAACGGAAATGACCGAGCTTGCCACTCGCGCGCGTTAACTGACTTTCCACTAACTTTGAGGAAAAATAAGAGAATGCTCGCATGGTGTGAAAGTTCCGGGCCTCGAAAGCAGTTCAAGGTTTGGGTTTATGTTTTATTGGGAAAATGTGAACGCCTGATACATGTTCTTTAGGTAGATTACCACGAACGGGACCAGTCTTTTCTTCTATGTATACTAGATCTTTGACTTTTTTCACGTGACATGTCACGTGGTCATCTTTTTTTCCAAAAAAGTACGCCCATTCACCCACTCTTTTGTACGCCGTAAGAACTTAATTTTAATGATTCTTCTCTTAAATGTTGTGCAACTTGCTTCGTAGGTTAGTTTGGACCAAAGCTGTGTATGATTATATGTACGCTTCAGGAGAAACACTTCTCCGGAATTTTCCAGTTCAGGCCACCATTCAGGTGGTAGATTGGGATAACGAAAGCAGTGACGAAGAAGACGAAGAAGAATTTGAATCAGACGATCAAGATATAATAAAACAATGCACACAGTGTAAAGAGATGCTGAATCAGTGTCAGAAATGCAGGAACTGCGAACAACAAGAAAACACAAAGTAATTTCATACTACTAATATTTATAATAAATATATTGTAAATAATATTACTCCTCACACGAGGAAAAAAGGAACCTGTTTGAAACAGTTATTTTAGGCACTGTTATTTTGAGGTTTCTGCGAAACACTTGGTGAAAGAAAAATAGTGATAGCCAGACATAATTAATTATTTAAATGAAAATAAATAGGTAAGATTTAATCATAAGTTTCATAGATCGACAGGATCGATTACATTAAAGAGGCTGTTTCTTTAAATCCATCTCGTTCAGCCGTTAAAAAAGACGCAAACGAATACCAGTATTCAAAGCTTTCACTGAAGCTCTCTGTGGTTTGTAAATGAAATATACGTAACACTCGGGGTCGCGACTTACGCCCTGTCCACACTAATGCGTTTTCAAAAGTGTGCGTTTTCGCACCGATCTATTCGCGTTCACATTACCGTTTTGAGGCGTTTTCTACTGTCCAAATTAAAACGTTCGAAAACTATAGAACTGCATGTTGTGACGTTAAGTTGAACTCTCTGCGCATGCTACTAACACACGCATTTGCGATGGACCCTTTTCGACCGTCCACACGAATACGATATGTATGCGTTTTCGTTTGAGTCCACTTTCAAGAGCGTTTTCTAATCGACGCGCTTTCGATGAAAACGCTCAGCGCACTAGTGTGAACGGAAGCCCTTAATTCATCGAAAGGTATACGTTTTCATACAAAAATGCATTGGTGTTGACAGGGCCTTATTTGTTCGTCAGCTGTGATTGTCATTTACAAGTCCTAATTTCTTCGTTAATGTCAAGCTCCACAGAGAGGAAGGCTGCGTATTTGGAAAAGCTACCCAAATGGACTGGACTGCTTTCACATAGCCTCTTTAATTTATATAGTATTGTAATTTTATTATTTTTGATTGTTTTCATTGCTGATTATTTAAATCTTAAATATGCTTGTTAAGTAATATTTATAACTTGTTGAAAGAGCTTTTGAGTAGCAGGTATTTTGCCGGCCTGTAACGTCATTTTATGCGCCGTTTGGTGTCTTAAAAGTTTCTCTTAAAGTCCTTAAAGAGTAGACATTTTGCTGAAAAAAGCCTTTTAACAGGGGCTTAAAAATGGTCTGGTTTGAGATCAAGTATAACTTTAATGTAGCAACACAATCAGACGATGAGTGTTGGTCCCCAGTCTTACCCGGTTCGGTATACAGAAAATAAATGAATTGAAACTTGAGAAAGAAAACGTAGCATTAGATTTTCGTCTCAAAAAACGGAAAAGTAAACAACCTCTTGATCCTCGTTCAGTAACGTTCCGATTTCTTTCCATAAGCTCTTACTAAAAAATTACTTTGTAAAAAGGAGCATTTTCAAAGATAGGTTTGACCTAGAAGGTCTAAAAATTCCAGTTACAAAACACATTCGAGTTCAACAAATGTTTCAGATTGTGCTACTTGAGTCGTTGAGTGATTTTACGAAACCCGTGAAACAATATGTAACAATTCAGTAGTGCTAAATAGTGACAAGTAAACAAAAGAGTGGAATTAGTGAGTAATAGTTCGTAGTAGTATACTATCTATTTCGTGGGTTAACTAAAGGCCTGTTTACATGGAGGTGGGGGACCCCAGGTGGGTGAGGTAACCCGCTTTGGTGGGTAACCCGCCTGTCCACATAATTTCTCATTTTAATTTGATCACGTTTACATGATAGGTGGGGTGACCCACCGCATGTTACCCCACCTACCTGGGGTCCCCCACCTCCATGTAAACAGGCCCTAAAAGCACTCTGAGGCCCCGTCAACACGCGCACGCATCCGCTTTTGTTTTGTCTTCCGTCCACACGTATTCGGTGAAAACGTTCACCGAAACGCATCTTTTCAAAACGCTCTCCAGAGTGAAGGTTTTTAAAAACGATATCTATTCGTTTAAATGTGGATGGACGAAAACGGAGGTTTCCAAATACGATGATGTCACACACAACATTTACTAGTAGAATAACGCATGTTCTGTGAGGGATGCTATAATATTTCTATTGTTTAACGCTTTCGTAAGTGTGGACGTGTATTTTCGCATCCTCGGAGACCCAGGGGCAGTCAGTCGGGTCGAGAGAAAAGGCGCGACGAAAGTTTTCAACTGTATTTTGTACTGTGTTTTCAACTTTCAATGGTGTTTTCGGAAAACGGATGGAAAACAATCTTCGTTTTCAAAAATATCCGGATACGTGTGAACGGGGCCTAAGAAGCAAAGAAGCGAAGCGATGCTGTATATAATTATTCGTCTCATCACGCATGTGATTGCGAAGTAATGTCAAGCACGTATTTCAAGTCATCCTTATGAATACAGTTCAGATTCGCCGTCATGTAACGTTACAGGAAATATCTCAACCCAACTCCCACACCATATGTGGCACCATATAGTCTTGTTTTTTAAGTCGTAGTCCCACGTAACACAGCTCCTGCGGGACTCAATATCTATATCTGGCAGAGGCAAAAATGTACTTTTCTTATGAAACAAAAAGCTGCACTTTATACTGTTCATACTTTATTTGACTTTTTAGCCCAAAATTCCTTGCCATGGAAGAATGAGTTCTTTAGAACATTACAATAAGAAAAATTATATCATTAACTTACTGTAAATACCTTCCTTTGTACAAATATTTATACTTTGATAAATATGAAAATAAATCTTTAAGAATCACAGGTGTGCTGTGTGATTCAATCTTGAAACTCAACAACCCACTTTAGACGCGTCCTGTTGCGAAAAAGCGCGAACTTCTAAACTGAAAACAAGCAAAATCTCCGAAACATTGGGCGCCTTCCATTTACCAAAATGCACATGGAACACGAGTTTACGGATCGTTCCAGTGTAAAATTTCCGGGAGCAACGAAACATCTGAAAATGTAGTCCTGTTGTTCCGTACGGAATATTCCAAACAGAAATTCGTGTTCTAGTTTTTCAAACCTATCTTTGATACCAGTTTCAGGCTTTCGCGGCCGTTTTTCGGTTAATGGAACAGATTTGTGCAAATGATAAACGCGATTCCGCGATAAAAATTTACTAGTCCTGAATTTTGGTTTTCTTTTGCTTAAACCGTGAACGATTTGGCCAAGGAAATGGAAAGCGCCCATTCCGTACAGTATAATGACCACTAACGTGGCCGCCTTTAAACGTGAGTGAGCCAAGATTCACACGGCACGAAAAGAATTTTCGACCGGTTGAAAATTCGTTTGTTTAGGTGTTCCGTTCGGACATAAGCACCATAGGAGAATTTAGACGCCCAGTTATTCCAATTTCCGAGTGAACAGAGCGAAAATAGAGCGATTTTCGTATAACCTTGAAAATGGTTTCGTTAAGTGTTCGTTATTTATTTTATCAGCCAATGGATTAAGAGATGAAAACATGGACTCTTCGTTTTCCCGCCAAACCCTAATATGGAGAAGGCATTGTTCGATTGGCCAATTGTGTTGCAGTATGAAGTCAAAGCGAAGTATCAACAGATTTCTAGAAAGTTCTGGGCATGAAGTTGTTTCACCCAAACGTTCGCTTAACCAACCAAAAGCCACGCGCGTTTGTATCCGTTCGATAAACCAATCAAATCGCTCTATTTCCGTTCGTTTGTTGTTTCTGTTTTGTTCGCGCGTTTGACGGTCCCTTATGAACAAAGTATCTTGTCAAAATTTTCAACCGGTCAAAAATTCGTCCGGTGCAATGTGAACGTAGCCTTAATTAGTAAAACATTCTTTTGGTAACGTGCTTTTTATAGTTTGGTACATTTTCTCTGCTCTTCTATGCAAAACAGTGACAACAAATGTTCAACGTGAAGCCACAACGGTTATAGTGACCATAAAACTTCACGAACGAATTCAAACCATGGACATGGAAATCTTATAAGACCAACTTTCAATGGTTTTAACGTGAAGTTAGGCGTAAGGAAGCTTAACGTAACCACAAGGAAGTGAAAACGTCACTACACTTTGCGTTCATTCAAACTTTATCGCGTTTGTTTAGCATCTCTAACTTTGTCAAATGTGGGCGAATTTTCCTGGAGTTAAATTCTTGAGGGTTGTTTACCGGTCCTCCACGTTGCATTAGGAAGTTTCACGTAGTAGTTATTCAGGCCCCGTCCACACGTATCCATTTTTGTCAGAAAACTGTTATTTTCCCGCCAGTTTGAAACAGAAAAACTTAAGTTGTAACTCTAGCCAATCACACTGCGACCTGACAATCAAATTAACCAATCACATTTCGAGGTGAATACTCGCAGCTAGCGCTAATTTCAGCGCGGGAAAACGCGCAAGTGATGTCACGAGTGACTTAGGTTTTACTTTTGATTGGCTGAGAAAGTTGCGCGAGATTTTTCAGCCGTTCAAAGCCAATCACAAATTGCGGCAAATCACAATGTCCTCTTTGTGTACCAGTTCTAATCATAACCTTTCTACGCACATAGCAATACCCATGCCACCGCCAATACACAGTGCAGCTACCCCTCTTCTCCCACCTGTCCGTTTTAGGCCATGCAACAGAGTAACAAGAATTCTACATCCAGACGCTCCTATTGGGTGTCCAAGAGCTATAGCACCACCACTGACATTGACCTGAAAATACAATATTAAAATAATAATAAGTCACATTGTTGTTAGTGCTGATAACTATGCTTAGTGATTTTTTCGGCGATGTTCTTCAGTAATTGTGTAGGGAATCACTACTAGTTTTCGTCACTACAGACAATACTGAGGTACAAAAAGAATTTGCTCAGAAAACGTTTGCATAAAAGGCGTGGCTTCTATTTTCATCTACACCAGTTTTAGATTATGCGCTGCAAAGAAGAGTAATAAATCCAAGAGAAAAGACAAAGTGCTGATAAATTAAGGATAATCCGTCTTTTTAAATCCGACAAAATGGACGGATAAACGGACACACCGTTGGTCCAATGTGTGAAAACCGTCCGTTTGATCTCATTAAGACGGATCAGTATCCAGCTGACACGGATTATCCGACGGGATAACCCGTCTGAGGTGGATAATTCATCTCTATTGTGCGGGAAAAGGCCGGTGTCCGTGATTCTGTAATAAAAGGATAAGGATTACTGTCACTCAAACTTCTGTAATCTTGCGAGATAACGAGGGGTCCACAGGCAAGAGTTTCATGTATATATTTATTCAAAGCACCTTTTGCGGATCGAGTCCCAGATCTTTAATAACAGCACATGACTGAGCTGCAAAGGCCTCATTTAGCTCAAACAAGTCAACATCTTCAGTTTTCCAGTTGGCCTTTTGAAGCTGCAGATGAAAGAAAAGGAGACAAAATATCTTTAATATGATTCTTGAAAGATCGCTTTAAATGTGAAAGAAATGCGGTCCGGGCGTTGGAACTAAAAGCTATTCTTGATTGCTGCCGAAAATGGCTATCAACGAAAAATAAAGTTATTGGAAATACAACTTTGACAACTGAAATATATGTCTGGTGAAATACCGATCAGAGAAACATGCGAAGCGAAAACTTTACCCACGCGACTTCCGACACTTCTACCGCTGATGCCAAACATTCCCCCATAAAATCAAAATCTTCTTTGTGCAGTGACCCAATGAGACAAAGCAGTTAATGTTCATATTTTTACAGACGTTTGTATGTAGGGGGGGGGTACAAACTTGACCCCCAACATACAAACGTCTATAAATTTTCGCAACTTTGCGAAGCTCTATCTTTGCTCGGTTAAGACGTATCACTTTCAAATGTGGCAATTTTACTAATATTAAGGCGCTCTTTCAGTGGTGTCGACGGTTTCCCCTAACTTGTCCGTGTCAAAAGTTGAAAAACCGTGAAAAGGTCTATACTATTTATGCTCACTAGCAACCCCCAAACAATAACTGTCATACCAACTTACAGCTTTCCGAGTGGCAGGAATGGGCCCTGTACCCATCACAGATGGGTCTACACCCGCTTGAGCCCAGGAGACAATACGAGCCAGGGGTGCCACATCACTTTTGGTTGCCTCTGCATATGTCATGAGCACAACTGCCGCAGAGCCATCATTGATTCCTGAGGCATTCCCAGCAGTCACAGTACCTGTGCCATCTTGGAGAAAGCAAGGCTTGAGACGAGCGAGGCCCTCCATTGTGGTACCATGACGTGGGAATTCATCTTCTTTGACTTCTATTGTACCTGTAAGTGAACACAGTCTATTTGACAATATTGCAAGTAGTTAAAATAATCTTTGTATTGAATACACTTTTCACTTTGTCTCTTTTTTTGTTTGCTTTTTCATGTGTTTCTGTCCTTTTTTCTTTATCTTAGCAGAAGAGACCTAAACTGCATTAAATAAGCAAATTTCATTGTAGCTGAAAGGGAAAGCTCCTGTATCAACCAAAAGTCAGTCTCTCCTTAGTACCACACTCCATTTTCAAACTTGCTTGAAAATAAAGACTTTTGCTTGACTGCTTGCGTGTTCTAGACCTGCGAAAAGTACAGGCTGTTTTGCAGTCTAATTCTACGCATGCTAAATTCTTGAAAAAATGCATTTACAGTGAATTATTCATAAACAGGTTGTTATCTACAAGCAACGAAAGAATATGTAGAACTCGGCTACTATTTTTAACATCAGTTCAAGCTAGTGTCTTACAACTGAGAAATCTCTGCTCTACTCTACAAGAAATCTAAAAAGTTTGTCTCTTAGCTGTTTTCTTACCTTTTCTTATTTTCACAGGAATGGTGATAATCTCTTGATTAAAGTGGCCATCCTTCTGTGCCCTCTCTACTCTGTTTTGAGACATGACAGCAAACTGATCTTGTTCATGCCTGCTGACTTTCCACTGCTTTGCAACATTCTCAGCTGAAAAAATGTATTTGAAAAATCTCTCATGAACTAATGTTTTGGGAGTTTGTGTGATGTTATGCTTCTTTGGTCATTTGTAACTTTTTTTTTTTTTAATTTTAATTTCTATTTTCAATTGCAAGGTACTTACTTACAATACTTACTTACAGACAATGTAATATATAGATTTAGCCAGGGCTAAAAGCGAGGCTCCCATTAGTAAATTTATAATTTAAATTAAACAATAAACTTGTATTCGAATTCCACAATTCAGTTAACTTTAGAGCACATTTATGTGACTTTTGAGGGAAAGGCTACCTGATTTTAGAGAAAAATAATTTGCAAACAGCCCAAGAGTGAACCAAATCTTACATCGAGTTGATAGCCTCATATGTACACTCAAAAACTGGTAATCATCTTTTATCACATTTAAGAGCCGTAATGGCTATTGATCACCGTAGATCAATTAGGCTTAGAAAAAAACCAGGCCAACGTTTTTGGCGTTCGACAAGTTTACTTTGCAAAATCTTGCCAACAAATCTGGGTGCGTGTAAACCAACCTTTTATACCATGGACAGAAAGCAGTATTTCACAATACAAATTGCTCTCATTCAATATTCATAAACTGTTAAAAAAAATTTCCAAAATCACCTATACGGCCATCTGGTTCTCACTTTTGTAAAGCGAGCTGTAGCGAGTGTTTGAATGAACATTAACAGAGTTACGCCCAAGATAATAAAGAATTTATCATGTTTATTTTTTATTTGATGGTTTAACGCTGCATTTTGAGAACTCCTGCAAGCGATGTTCACTGAACGACTGAAAACAATCGGCATAGCGATTAAAATTGCGAGAGACTACTAACAATCAATAAAAGAAATATAATTCGGTGAAACATAAACAGAGACTACAATTTTCATTCAGGAAGACAAGTATTAAAGTGTTCCTAAATATCCTGAATCTTCAAGCTTCAAGCTTAAGTTTGCTGAAGTTTATGTTTTAAGCCAGCTTCCCGGTGTTTGTTTTTTCAAAGACGAACTCGAGGCAAGAAAATCGCTCAAAGCTTTCTTTTCCGGCTGGAATTATAACTAAAGATTCTTTTTGGAACATTTTCTTTCTATTTGCGGTGAGAAACTGTCTAAAGGCTTTTTAAAGTTCTGTAAGATTATATCAAACCAGATACTCGGTGAGATCGTTGTCTCAAATCTTACAAACGTGCATAAACTAAATTCCCGCATAAACTACGCCCACTTCATTAAATTAGATACAAAAACAAACATGAAATACAATAATTTCTCTGGCTTACCATTCGAGATGCAGCTCCTGAAAGTTATCAGGTAAAGCCAGTATCGCTTCAGACTTTGCAATCCTCTTATGCATCAAGCAAGGTGAAAACGAAAACGATGCCATCCGAAATCGGTTCCGACTTTGACAAGCGACGTTTTCTCAACCAAAACCCAATAAACAAACTAGCCATGAGTAACAGAAGACTCCTGATAGCAGCTGAACTTCATTTTGTACATCCAGTGGAAAAAGACAGTTAAAAACATCACAAGTTGACACAAAACTCTGTCAGCTTCAGCTGTTATAGTAAACAAGATTCAAGATGCTGCATAAATTTTATGCATGAACTCACCTGTCAAATTTTGACCAATCAGAGCATAAAATTGGACGTGAGCGTGACCAACAACGTGACCATTGTGAGAAAAAACAAAAGCAACTGTCTTCCCTGCCTGTAACAGCTGGCTGAATTTTCACGTCCGAGGTCAGTTTGCAATCAAAATTTTAATTGTGCAGCACATAAACACAACATATTTCATATGAATTAAGAAAAAAAAATTGAACTTGAGCCTGCGATCACTTGAAAACTAGTTTACTTGTCAGCGGATAACTTCAAAAATACTTGACCTCGACGGGTCGACACCTGAGCCCGCGATACGGTCAAGTGATACTGGTCAGCGGGTACTCTGTTTTGACAGCTGTCAATTGATCAAAACATTGATGTCCAATATGTGTGCATTATCAGTTTTCCTGTGCTCCTAAACTAGTAAAAGTATGAGATTGAACGTTGTTCGCGATCTAGTAAAACAGTTAACTGGTCAGCGGACAGCTTCCAAATAAATCACGTCACCTCGATGAGTTGACACATGAGCCCGCGATATGGTCATGGGATACTGGTCAGTGGCTATCCTGTTTGGACAGCTGTCAATTGACCATATTGTTAATGTCCTATATTAAAGATGTGGACTTGCCAAGACATGCCTGAGACACCCCTCCCTTCCTTTTGATAGTCTCCCCTACCCCACCCATACAATCTGTAGACGCGTACGTACGTACGTACGTACGTACGCTCGGTCAATCACGTGACAACCAAACGAAAAGAGGTTGACCATATTCCATGGGTATGGGGCTCTGTCCCACGCGCGCTTCGCGCGTGCGGGAGCCCCGCTATGATACTTACGCTACTAACAGAACTATACTCTACTTACAAAAAATACTTATTTACAATGTGAGATACTTACACTACTAACAATACTATACTCTAGTTACAATACAAAACTTGCAATACTTACTTACAATGAGATACTTACACTACTAACAGTGCTACACTTCACGCTTTACATATATTAAAAAAAAAATAAATTAAAAAAATAAATAAAAAAAAAATCCCAGCTACTTGCACTACTTACATTACGGATTACATACGCTACAAAAACAGAAAAAAAAAGGGGGGTGGGGAAGTATGGTAAATTTTAGTTAACTGTAGTTCTAACTCAAAGGAGAAAAAAGAGATTAAAGATATTTTCTCTGCTGATTCACTGAAATTAGCTTTATATACTTTGAAAGGAGGTTTTAGATGGAAAGTTTTTAAGCCACTTGTCTCTCAGCAATTCCAACAAGAGTTTGATTTAATTAGTAAGCTTTCAGCAACCTGTGGTTTTGTTTTTGAAGAACAAAATGCAAACGCAAATATTATTGTCTTCCATATGAAATATTTTGATGTCTCATTTATAGCGCTGACCATTTTTCTTACCTGTAATTCCCATGTGATAGTCATGAAATGCATCAATAAGACCATCTAACATCATGGAGTCCACAAGTTTAACATCACCCATCTTTAATGGTGATCTCATATGACAACAGTGTGGGGCCTGAAAATGTGACAGTAACAGTATAATATATTTATTAGAAATTAGCCGATAGTTTTATGGGTCCTGGGTCTAAACTCCCAAAGTTCCAGCCAAATTAACTTACGTGACTATTTGCTGATTTTTCATTAACCTGTCTCACATTGCTTTCTGATCTGCCAATTTCATTAAATAAATGGACAGTTCAAAAATAGAGTTGTCACTTTTATTGAACCTTCTTAGTTTTGGTATCTCATTTCCACACTTTTGAACACTAAAATTGCCATCGAATTCTTAGGATCTTCAGTTTTCTAGTTACACAACAATCTTATACTTGCAAAAACAAGTCCCTAAACTGGTATCCTGCACAGGTGCAGCTGTACACATTAGATTGCAACATTAAACATTTATGTGTAAAGAACTGCCAAAATTCCAGCATTTATTATTTCAAGAAGAAAACATAATTATTTTCAAGAAACTTACTTTTCAAGGACTTTCAAGACATTTTCCCAGGCGTATTAGTAAAACTTGTTCACCTGGACTCAGGTGGCACAATATTGGACAATTGAGGTGCCTGCATGGTCTAACCTGACCTTGCATGCATTTGAAAGAAAATTTTAATTATTTCATTTTGTTAAATAGTTAAATTGTGTATTTAACTACCCTGGAAAACAGTCAACATTTTGCAATGCCACTGGTTTCCCCGTGAAATGATGTCTGAGGAATGAGCACAGCAATTTCTTACTGATGACATGTCACTAACAGATCTGGGTAGGGCTCCTGATTGGTTGAAGCAAAGCAAAATGTTGGCCATTTTCTCAGGTTAATATTTACCTGACTCATGCTTTCTTGACCACCAGCAACAACAATAGAAGTTTTGTCACTGGATACAGATTGATAACCAAGTGCCACAGCCTTTAATCCTGACCCACATAACATATTCACACCATATGCTGGTACGGATGATGGGATCCCAGCATGCAGTGCTGCCTGACGTGCAGGTCCCTGGCCTTGGCCTGAAATTCATAATTTATTATGTTTAATCATTATAGTACATGTCTGTCAGTTTCCACTGTTAACTATAAAATGGCTTATAAGTTATTCTTCCTAAGAAACCACTTTTATGCGTACGAGGAAGAGGAGAAAAAGGATTTTTTTAGCCTTTCAGGCAGCTGCTACCTCCTCTTGAGTTTCTCTTACAACCCAATATTTTCTTATGGGTATGTTATACATGCTCTCTAACAGAACTCAGTAATGATTATCTGTGAACTATGAGAGGCACTGGTAGAAGTAATTTGCAAGCTTACAGATAAAAATACTTGCTATTAAAGTTTTAGCTCCAGGGGACTCAGGAAACAGGGGATGAGAAAACCTCACATAAGATATACCACCTTCCAAAGGCAACCATCTATCCAAAAAGGTTAATGCACCTTTCTATAGCTGGAACTTCTCATAAATGACCGCCTCTTACAAGTTACTGTGACGATGGCTGGGGATGTCAGTTTTAGAATTTTCTATTGTTTTTACCTGCTGTAAGAGACTCCTTAATATAAAGTCTGATATTTGTGTTTGTTATACTGTACCACAAAGATGCCAACCTCTGAAGATCTAAAATCTGGAGGCTCTCTTTTTTTTCACTACTCTCCCCACTGAATTTCAATGGACCTCCTCCCCCACCCCCCCACCCCGAATGGGAATGACTTAGGACATGCATTATATGAAGTCTTACATGAATTACATACTATCAAAATTTGAAATCATTGTTTTAATGCCAGAAATAATCTTAGACAGTGACTAAATACGTGCAAAAATTTCCCAGAAACCATACTGCAAATAAGAAAAATTCAGGTTTTGGGCTAAAAATGGGCTGAATCTCAACCTAATGCACCGAAAGGCTCAAAAGATGATTTTATCTGAGAGATATGGTGACCCATACGGGAGAGCGGGAGATCCGTGCTGTATTTGGGAGACTCCCGGATAATTCTGGAGAGTTGGCATGTATGGTACTATGCTACTTTTTCGAGTGCATTCCTTTGGGGATCAGTGATCAGTGATCATTTGATTTGAATCATGTTGTACCAAAGGAATGATGAATCCACTATGGGCAGGGATTCATAAGGTCCTTTGATATGTCATGATCCGAGGGTTCTTGAAACACTGATCCTGATCCAGATCATCCTGGGAATGCACTCTTGGAGTGTACCAAAGAGGAACATTTAGCCTCATGTCACTGCTTATCTTGTAGTTTTGAAATTGTATTTAATTCAGTTCAGTATCAGTACATGTGTTTGACATTAGTGACCATCTCCTATAAGAGACCACTCTACCTTCGCATTTAGAGTGGTCGCTTAGGGAATTTTCCCTGGGGAGGGGGGTACTTCCTTAAAAGAGGCTAAAGGGGATGTGTCACTGGATGGGGTCACATTTTCACGACTGGATTGACTATAATAAGGTCGCATTTTCAATAGAGCTACTAAAATGGAGTCACACATTTTCTGATTTTTAGGGTAATACAGTTCTTCATTACGGTTAGAAAACGTACCAGAATGTTTCAACTGTAGGTGAAAAGTAAAGTGTTCTTCAGTCAATTTAAAAAATGGGCCAATTCATTTTAGGATGACCTATTTAAAGGATTGATAAGGAAGATATTAACAGAAAGTGACTAAGCTGCGATCGTGAAAATTACATATTTGCCCAAAAGTGACTAAGATGGGGTCTATAATTGGCCACAGAATAGACTATAACATTGGGGAAGGGGCTCTGAGAAGCCAGTGGCACATACCCAGCAAAAATTAACCCTAGTAACCCCCTCCCCCCCGGGGGAATTTTCTACTAAAACCCTTACCCAACACACCACGACCCACCAACACTACTATGGTTTCCACTAAAAAATTCGAACCCTCTGGATAAAGCATATAAAGGATCAGGAAACTGGAAAAAAATGTGGGATATCCCGCGAACTTAACCTGAATTATCTAAACCTCACCGCTGCGTCAATATTTATTTTAGTAGTCTGTTAAAACACTTTTAAAACAAAAAAATCTAAAATTTAAAAGTTTGGTACAAAAAACAAATAAGTAATTAAAGTAATGAGTTTTTTCGAGTAGTTGGGCTTATTAACCCACACCTTAGAAACAAGAGGAGATTACTTCTGAAAGATCGACGGGAAAAAAAAATATTGTATATGTGGACAATATCAGAAACTTTCCTGACCTGCGGTGCAAACTTGTCCCATGATCACTTCTGACACGTCAGAAGGCGAGACCTTTGCACGAGATAAAACATCTCGAATAACTATGGATCCCAGTTCATGAGCTTTCAGAGAACTAAGACAACCATTTAAGTTCCCAATTGGCGTTCTTCCCGCTGCTACGATGACAATATCCGAATCATTATAACCCGAACTTGCCGCCATTGCTTCAAATAAGAAGGATTCTATGTGCTCAGTTACATACACGCTTTATTTCTAATTTTGAAATCCACTGACCGATGCACCCACAGGCTCAAGAACGAGAAAGAAAAACATGGCGTCACAAGTCGTAGAAGTGAGTCGCGGATTTGATACGTGAATGACTTATTTTTAGTTATTTTGAAGTTATTTTGCAAGAAAAGGCTTTTATGACCGAAAAAAAGGTTCAGCCGCTAGTTTTATTGCCTTTTCCAACGTTTACGTACTTGTTTTGTAGAATGATAACTTGGCGATGAAGGGCCAAAGCAGCAAAGAGGCGAGCAGCAACGCCATCGTCAGAGAAAAAGATGTTGCGGGCCCGTCTTCTTCATCATCGTCCACGGCTGAGGAAAAAAGAGCAGAGAGGATGAAGAGATTGCGAGAGCTTCATCTAAGAAGGGTGAGGCATGTTTTTGAAAGAGAGTAATTGATCATGAAAAAACTAAAACGAAGGCTAGGAAATGCACGTTAGCTTACCGTCTGCATTTCAGTTAAGATCTCAAATCAAAACACGAGTAGTGAGTAAAATTTAACAAATTTTGCCAGAAATACATGTATTGATGATGAGGTAAATTTTGCTTTGGAAAAGAAAACTGTTGAATCAGAATATGAAACGTTTATTTACCGAGAACATTCATTCAAGTCACTCTAGATATTCTTGTTTCCCTGGCCACTTATACTTTCATTTGTATGCTCTTGAGCAAGAAAGGATCCTTTGCTTTCTGTACTTTGCACCAAAAATTCATATTAGTGGCCAGAAATTCTAGTAATAAATTGACATCACATCTCTTGCATGTGTGTATTAAAACAGACCAGAGAGATGTGGAGTGATTATTTATTCCTTAGCATTACCTCTCACTGGTCTGTTGTTGCTGTTTTTTGAGCTAACGTCATATCTGCAAAAAAGTGTCAATGTAAATATATGGAAGTGCCCGCAAAAATAATTTATTGATATGAGGTTATACTTACAAGGCTGGTTTTTACTAACAGCAGGGTTTGTTCAGGTCATGGGAAACCTGCAAAGTCATGGAATTTAAGAATTTCATTTTCAAGGCCTGGAAAGTCATGAAATTTAATAATTATTTTTGAACCTTGAAAGTCATGGAAAATTAAAGTTTTGTTTGGTAGCTTAGTTACTACAGATGATAAAGCAAGGATAATGATTTAAAAGATAAAGAGGAGTAATTAAACAGTTCGAACGCCAGTGACGCATTTTGGTGAATACCACGGTTTGTTTCTGTTGAACTGTGTAACGTAAAAAAATATGCTAAAGCAAGTAAAGTTTTGAAAATTTTTGAAAGTGACAGCTAAACCTATGGTCATGGAAAACTAGAAAAGGTTATGGAAAAAGTCATGGAAAGTCATGGAATTTGAAGAACTCAAAAGAGTACAAACCCTGTACAATGGAATTGTAGTTGTAGCTGCAACAAGAAACACAGATTGTAAATATGATCCATTGAAAAAGGTTTCTGATTCCTTTTATGGGTGTATGACTAGTGTGAACAAGAACTGAAGAATGACAAGAACTAGACCAATCTCGATAAGCATTGAGATTGATTTAGAATGTCAGAAGAAGAGGAAAATGGTCTGATTCTTTCTACCAGCTCTTTTGATGAGGCATGTGGTTCTGAAGTTTGATTTCACAGGATCAATATCAATATATTAAATCTATAGTTACATTGGGTGTATATCACAACTTAAATCAAGTCCATCGCTAGTGAACACCAGCCTCCCATCTCAAATAATCGGCTTCTTACTTTTTTCCCAATAATGTCAATATTTTTACGTTAAACTGGAGCTTTCATCACCACTGCTGTTATGATTATTGTGTTTACTTAAGACCTAAGTTAAGAAACAGTTAAGTTTTGTTAAAAGTATAATTATGTAGAAGTTAAATTATTAACCTTTTTTTCTAGAATGAAGCTCGGAAATTAAATCACCAAGAAGTTGTTGAGGAAGATAGACGGAAAAAGTTGCCTGCAAACTGGGATGCAATGCAAAGGAAGACTGAATGGGAGAACAAGGAAGAAGACGCCAGAAAGGTACATTATTAATGACGTAATTTACATGTATTATAACGTCACTAAAGTTGCTGGTATGTAATGTACTCACTGGTAAGCAGATTTCAAAAATCCAAGGTTCATGTAATTAAGGTTGTTGTGTGAGGCTTCATCCAGTCATTGATATTATTGGTAATAGCACTGAAAGATAGCTGCACATCATTGTTGATATACCGTAAAATTCTGAAAATAAGCCCCTCCAGGTATAATCCCGTCCAAATATAAGCCCCCCAAACTCGTAATGCAAAAAACCCTCTGTTAAATCGCTCCTCCAAATATAAGCTGCCGCCCCTGCCCCCTCCCAGTGGCTTGTACTTGGAAATTGCCCTCAAATACAAAGTAAAACAAAGCAAAAACGGTAAATTTCCTTCCAACTATGAGGCTAGCCCAATCGATTTTGAAACGCAAGTTTCCCTCCATAGATTAAGCCGCTCCGAATATTAACCCTTCCAAAAATAAGCCCCTCAAAAAGGGCCTTTGAAAAATATAAGCCCCCGGGGTTGCGGAATTTTACGGTATGGAGTGTGTCAGTCAATCTTTGTTTTTTGTGAAAGTGAGTCATTTGATTTTATGTTTAAAACTGCATTATTTAGGAAGCTGAAGCCCGTGGAGAAAATTATGACAGGGTTAAGTTGTTAGAAGTAACAGCAGAGGATGCAGATAGACTTGAGAGGAAGAGGAAAAAGAAGAATCCTGATCAAGGCTTTTCAGGTATCTACATGTATGTTAACAGAAAAACATTACAAGTTACACACACACAATGACTTTCTCCTTCAATAATTTATTATTATTATTATTATTATTATTATTATTAGCAGTCTTAAGCTAGCTATGGGGCCACATAAGGTGCCTTATTTGTGAATTTTAATTTAGACGAAAAGTGCTTACTAATTATCCCCTGGTCTCCCTCCCACTCACCCGGAGACATCAACCACCAGTGAATCCGTTTGGGCATCTTTATTGAACGAGCGAGAGGACCCGAGGCCTCGAGAGGAGACCCCAGGGAGGGAGGGAGGGTGCTAAAATTGATGTTACAGCGAACAAGCGAACTGACAAGGACATCAAATGACAACTAGCGCCGTGAAGAAAACAGCTGACGAGCCGCGAGGGCCTGGGTCTAATTAAGTTATTCTTAAGAATATAAACAATTATCCCCTGGTCTCCCTCCCACTCACCCGGAGACATCAACCACCAGTGAATCCGTTTGGGCATCTTTATTGAACGAGCGAGAGGACCCGAGGCCTCGAGAGGAGACCCCAAACCAAGAAAGAGGCCCAAAGGATTCACAGGGGGGGGCGAAGTCAGAGGGGAAGCAGAGGGGAGAGAAAATAGATAACATGGCACGATATGAATAAAAGGCACAAAAGGTATAGAAAGACATAAGCAAAGCGAATTGTGAACAAAACCATAACAATGAAATCTGTGCCAAAAGAAAGAAATAAATGTGGGGAACTGACAAAACGATGTCTGAACCGTAACAACTTAACGTGCTGAGGACAAAACGAGCCTGTCCGCCAAAGAGGCAGTGTCAAAAACTATGAAGGCTACTAAAAGTAGACTAAACTATAACAGCTGAATGTGCTGAGAAATAACATGAGACAGCACAAGTCTGTCTGCCAAAGGCAGTGTCAAATAAAGCATGTAGGCGTCGGATCTCCAATCACCCTGGACTTTGATGAGCTCGGAGGGAATCCCGCACTGGAAGGCGGGTGGCACCTCCACGCGCAGGCTGTGACCAGAGAAACTCTGAGGATTGAGAGAAACCAAAGACGCCAAATACTTGATACTAGCGTTTAAAGAAGAGGCTGTGATACAGTCATGGTGATGAGAAGCGGTGGTGTATGTGAAGAGCGGGAAGCCAGCCGGGGCTGAAACCGAGTCGAGTAACAATCGCAGGGCAGCGGTGGGGCAAAGGGGAGATCCAGGAATACAAGGAACTGGTACCACGAGTGCTGTATCGCCGGCCTGCCGTGTTTTTGTCCGGGTGACTGTGAGGAGAGCACCTGAGGTGGCAAAAGTGATGCTGCCCCTGGACAATGTATGATGAGAGGAGAACTTGTCAAAGGACTGCGGGACGAGGTTGGCAGTTCTGAAGAAGGAGAAGAATCCGACAAGCAGGGTACACCACACAGCTAGATGGGCGGAGTCGCGAACATTAAGATGGTGGTAAAATTGTAGCAAGATGGCTAGGGTCAGAGGTGCTTTCCGATGAGGAAGGTGAACCATAGACTTCTCCAAACCTTTCTGGGTAAGCTTGACATGGATGTCATCGAAGGCTGAAGTCTTGAAATGGCAAAACACGTGTAAACGCCGTAGGGCACTCAAGTAGTTGTTGACTGTGCGATGTGACTTAACGGAGAAGCCAAGCAGGGTGATAAACGCAGCGATGGTTGATGAGGAGGCTGGAAAGGGAGTGATGGAGTAAAATTGGCAGAATTTTAAGTAAGTGTTCCAGACGGAATGATAATTTCGCTTGGTAGAATCAGACAGAGCGAAGGCTTGAATCCTGGTGACGCAGGAGTGAAGGTCATCAAGGTGAAAACCTGCAACCAAATAGAGAGGTGATTACCATTGACAGTCAAAATGGAATAGGTCTGAATGACAAGTGTACTCTGTGAGGGTGTCATAGTGAAGAGAAGCGGCCTCGTAGAAGGTGTCTCGAAACTCAGGATGACTGTCCCAACGACTGAGAGCATCAGCAATGATGTTGGCATAACCGAATATGGAGTGCTTGCAGCTCAAAATCGTGAAGGGAGGCGTAGAACCATAAGTCGCGTAGGCACGACTGAATAAAAGGCACACGGGAACGGCCAGTGTTGATAGCCAGCTCAGTGTTGAGGTTGTCAGTGCGAACCAAGATGCGTAGACCGCGCAAATCCTCAGACCACAGCTTGATGCTGACGGTGACGGCCAACATTTCGAGACTGAAGGTCGGACTTAGTGGACCGTGGAGCGGCTAGCCAAGCACGTATGAGATCGGCGGTGTCTTGAAGTTTATCGGGAGGCACTGCGATGGTCAGTGTGACGGTGTCGTAAGTGAGGCCGAGAAAAACCATTCTCGTGGAAGGTGGACAGTCCTTGGACGGAGACGACTGAAGGCCTAAATCAGTGAACAGACGCTCCAGGTCAGAGAAGGCAAGTGAAGCGTCTTGAAGGTGGATTCGCCCGCCCAAGTCATCAATGTAATTGATACAGTCATGGCCAAAGAAAGAGTGAAAGATGTGAGCAATCGCGTTGGTAGTCCGCTGACAGGCAAGGGTTGCAGAACGAAGACCAAATGGGAGGACAACGTCAAAATAAAAGGAGTCGCACCAGTGATAGGCAAGAAAGATGTAGTCTCTAGGATCCACTGGAATCTGTCTGTAAGCGCATTTCAAATCTTTCTTGTAAAGGTAACACCCAGCGCCCTTGGAGAGAATAAGGTCAACAAAATCGGCAGAACGAGGCAGTGAAAGATGGAAAGGCTGATCAAGGTAAGAGTCTTTGGGAATTCCGTCATTAACAGAGGAGCCAAGAGGAAAACTGAGGTCCAGTACGACGCGCCTTTGGGTGCCATCCTTTGGGACAGTTAGCAGAGGAGACGTGCGGAGGGGGGCTGGGAAAGGATTGCACCTGAATGGCCCAGCAGTAGCAGAATGTTCGATCTCGGTAGATAAGAAGGCGTCAATAACATCCGGAAAATTGGTGGCTGAAGCATGGTTCGGGGGCTGAGATGAAACAGAAACGACGGAGTGACAGTTAATAGGCCATCCAAAGGCTAGGAAATTGGCAACAACAGAATCAGAGTAATGTTCGAGGTATGATTTCCAAACAGGAATGTTCAGCTCGACGCAACAGGATTTCGAAAGTGCCAAACGCTCTCGAGCGGTGACTTGGAGCAAAGAATGTGACTAATAACTGCGGCGCGGCGAAAGTGTTCACGAGAGAGTAAAAGTTGGCTAGAAAATGCGGTAGAGGGAGCGGAACAAGGTTGGGCCAAGTAAGGAGGCGACGATAAGGCTGTTGAGGCGGAGCAGGCTAAGAAATGGCGGGCGAAAACGCGTGTTCGACGGAGAGATGGGAGCTGGAGAAGATAGTCAATCGGGCTGTGGTGGGCGGCGGAGGGCGAGTCGGGCAAGAGCCAATGGTGTAGTCTTTGAGCTTGCAATATGCACAATGTGCTCGACGCCTTCCTGTGCGAAGGGTTACTGCACGTATCGCGCGGTTCCATTCGCCATAATAGGGTACGAGCTCGCCATTGTTGTTTCGAAAGCCAGCCGCGCGGAAAGGCGGGCGGTAGCCGTTTGATTGCAAGTTTATTGATTCTGTGATGTTGAAGCGCCGATTTCGCTGAAATCGCCGCCCCAGCTTGCGAGGCCCGATTCGATGCGATCCAACACGGCAGCATGAAAGGACAGCACTGCTTCCCAGTCGTATTTGGACGCCAAACGCATTAAAGACATGAGGTGGTGCGTCATGAGCGCTTGCTGAGGGAAGGCTGAGCAGACAAGATATCGAGATAGCCATACACCCAATTCTGCCGCCGATAAATCCTTAAACTTCTTTGACAGACCGAAGGAACGTGAAGATGAGGCCATTCTTGGGGGTCAACGATGCGTGTATTGTGGTCGAGTTGACCTTGGGACTTACGAGTTAACTCCTCCACGAACGGTCTCCAAAGAAGGAATGTTTCGAGGCTTGTTGGCGGCCGGGCTGGATGAAACCAATTCCCGAGCTCTTGATTGAGCTTCGAGCTCAAGGAGGCGAAGCTCCAGCTGTTGCTTTTCAATCTGTAGGTTCAGCAAATGTAAGGAGGGGGAATTGCCAGGCGCAGAAGTAGAAGAACCCGGAGCTGTGGTCTCAACACGTGGCGTTGTGTGAACCTCATGCGAAGGAGATTGGTCTAGCGATGGAGTGCCATTCGTAGCGCTGTTTTGCGGTCTTGCGAGGGAAGGCAAATCGTAAACGAACCCTGCAGGCAGCACAGGTACTTGAGTGCGACGTGTTCCGGCGGCTTGAGACATAATAAGAGGCTAAAAGACTGAAGAAACTGAAGCGAAATGCTAAAATTGATGTTACAGCGAACGAGCGAACGAGCGAACTGACAAGGACATCAAATGACAACTAGCGCCGTGAAGAAAGCAGCTGACGAGCCGCGAGGGCCTGGGTCTAATTAAGTTATTCTTAAGAATATAAACCTGAAAAGTAGCAGTTCAAAATTATGACTGGTTTATTAACCCAAGACCTGTCTATGCTCTCGCCTCTTTTTAAACAATATTTTTGGTTCCTCTGTGCGTATCTCCCTTTTCAATTCACCCAGAAAGGATAAACAGATACAAGACCAGTGCTGACCTAGCATCAGTACCTAATGGTATGATAATCCAAACTAAAACAAGGTCGTAATCTCATCTAGTATGTTCTAACCAGTCTGTACTTTATGACCTTGATACATGTGGTAAAATGTAGTTTTGTCTGGGTTTCATGTAGAACCTGTAGTTCTGTCCTTGGGAAAATAGAGCTGTACCAAGTCATCTTTCACCAGACTGCCGTCAGGGGCGTTGCCAGCTTTTCGACTTCTCGTAGCCCTGCTTATAATTCTGTTGATTGCACTCATGAATAGAATGCACTGACCTCACCATCATTTTAAGCTCTTGAGCTCTTTAGTTCACCCCAAAATGCATAATTTACTACATGTGGTAGAGCGATTAATCGCTCATGCCTACCAGTCTACTGACTGGCTATGTTATAATTACAGGTCAAAATTAAATTCAGGTTAAAACTTTTTAACCTAGGTTGATTCTCAACCCTAATTATTCATCAGTTAGGGCTTGGAGACAAAGGAAATTGAGAAACAATCTACAGCTGTAGATTAAAGATATTTAACCTGAATTTAATTTTGACTTGTAACAGCTATGCTACTGACTATCTACTGTATGAGCCAAATTCTATTACCATAAATGGAGAAAATATACTGGAAGTGACCAGAGTTTTAACCTAGTACAGGTAATCTCTAGCTACATGTAAACAGTGGAGAGATGACTACATGAAAAGCCACACAACATTCACATGCGGGAAGGATGCATGTCACTAAAGTTAATTTCAAGCTTTACCATGCATTTTTTTTTTGCGTGTGTCATACAGGCTATGCTGCAGCTCAATACAGACAGTACCAGCGGCTGACCAAACAGATGAAACCTTCTGTTGATGAATACTCAAGAGAAAAAGACCAAAAGTAAGTGTAGCATCTCAGATTGTGAACGGCTTATGTTGGTGCTGAGAAACTGAGTGCATGCAAGATTTGTGTTAGTTTGGGGAGTGAAGAAAAAGATTTGTCCATGCTTTGAATGACTGAAAAGTACAAAAATTGGGAAATTGAACGTAGTGTACTTAGTCGATGTTGACAACAAGAAAAACATGATTTTTGTTTTGACATGAGAAAAACTGAATAAACACATCTAAATTCATTTGGTTATGTTAAATGCATTACACATTTGCAGATTTTGTTTGGCTTGTCATGAAATCATCCCTATTGCTTAACTAGGTGTTATTAGGTAAATTTAAGACACAGGTGTACTTGTATTACCATGTCCAGTGCCAAAAATGAAATAAACTCTTTGCTTTAAGTTTATAATTGCTGTGTGAATTTTGGGTACCTTAAAGTCATTTTAGAATACCATTAAAGATAAGTCATGATAAATTGAATTTGCAAATTTGTTAACAATCATCTTGTTACAATTTCATGGAGAATTGCTTTTGGCACTGGACTTCTGATTTTATTTTAGACTGGACATGAATGAACACATGTTATTTTTGTAGAGGAGAGGCAATGTACCCAAGTGTAGATGATGTGACTTATGGAGGACAGGGTAAAGTGCCTGAAGCTGCTGTGGACAGAATGGTTGCAGACTTGGAAAAGCAGTAAGTAAATTGAACCTCTCCTTTATCCATTGGTTTCTTGTTTCCAAAGTACATTCAGTGCCGTAGCCAGACAAAACGGCCAACCGAGGCAGGCGGGAGTTGCTGGGGGGTTCGGGGGCAAATTTTGAACTTTAGTCTCTCGGAAATGCGATTTGCAGCATTTTCTGGGCCTTTCGGTAACTTTTTTTCGAGTTAATTTAAGTGGAATTTAAAAAGCAATAATCAGAAACAAGCTACATAATCTGGGTGACCGTTAACCTCGCCAATGGTTTTGATCAGTATTTGTTCTCAAAAAATTTGAATTAACGTACGTAGCCCCTTGAGATCGATGATATGGTAATTTTTTCATAGTATATTGACTGAATTGCTGAATTCTTTGTAATATCATGATGCGTTAAAAATATCCGATGATCGCTTATGTAAAATAAAAATGATTGGCGAAATTCGTCAAAATTTTACCGAGGCGAGTGCCTCGGTTGGCCTCATACTAGCTACGGCGCTGAGATTATTAGGCAAGGAATAGAAAAGAGGGGGCACAGGAGCTAAACAGACTGTACATTTTACCATATTAATGTAATGCTGTTATTAGAAATTTAAAAAAATCATCGTGGTGAATTATTTGACCAACAATGACACAACCTTATGAATTTGCCAGCTTAATCATACATGTACTTGTTATCATAACCATTAACAAACAGAGTACTAAAGTGAGGATGTCATAAAGATGAAATCTCTGAAATTGTGGGATTTGTAAGGATATTCTGAAAGAACAACGTCCAAGAGGCCTACTTGCCAAAAGTGAGCATTTTGGGGCAAACTAATTATTGTCTCTGAGATCGTAGCCCAGTTATACTCAGAAATCTCCATACAAACCCTTCTAATTTTTTTTTGGGTCGACCCAAAAAAATTTAGAAGGGTTTGTATGAAGTTTTCTAAGCATAACTGGGCTATGATCTCAGAGACAATTTGCCCCGAAATGCTCATTTCTGGCAAGTAGGCCTCTTGGACATTGTTGTTTCATATTATGCTGACAAATCACGTCACACTTTTGTACTCCATTACATGTAGGTTATGTGCATCACAATTGTTATACAAGTCAAGAGCTAGATTCTTTCCCACAAAACCCTGTCACCTGTTGATTCAATTAATTTGAAACATTGGATTGCAGACAGGGATTAAAGGCTAGAAAGCATCAAGTACAGTATATGTTTTGCTTTACCAGGATCTATGCCTGGTTATATTATACTGGAACAGCAGAAGGGCAGATCGGAGACCTTTCCCTGCTTTTCTTTCAAGACACGAGTAAAAAATGCCAAGTCTGTGCATTTAATGGTTCTTGAAATCTGAAAGAAACATGGGGACCAAGTGAGGTTGGCTATGTTGTGAATCAATTGACCTGCTCCCAGCGTCAGTGGCTTCATAGCTCAGTTGGTAGAGCATCACACCGGTATCGCAAGGTCACGGGGTTCAAACCCCGTTGAAGCCCTGAATTTTTTTCCAGGCTACTTTACGCAATTGCATAAATTGCGTTCACTGTGACAATCATTTCTTCATTAAATTTTCATTTCATTTCCGCAGTTCATATATGATTTATTTCATATATCATTTGCACAACTGTACTTACAGACTTTCAAGAAAGCCAACCTTTGAGAAAGCAAAGTAGTTTATGATCTCCAGGTTTATCGAAAGTTACTTATTTTAGCTTTCTCTTCTTTAGAATTCAAAAGAGAGAGAAGTACAGCCGTAGACGAGCTCACTTGGATGAAGAAGACATCGATTATATTAATGAGCGTAACATGAAGTTCAACCAGAAACTGGCCAGGTTTTATGATCCATTTACTGCTGAAATCAAGCAGAACTTGGAAAGAGGGACTGCTATATAGACCATATCAGAGATGGAATTTTCTAGTCCTGTGCATATTACTACTCTGTACAACAACAGCTATAGTTCTTGCTGTTAAATACATTAACACTACTAATTGTTCTAGATTACAATCCATGGAGATACTTTCAAGCTATTGAGTGCAGTGTGATTAAAATACATCGACTCCAAGATTAAACAGTGATGTGATGGACAGGCATGATATTAATAAGCAGGGCTGTCACTAAGAGCCAGGGGCTGGGGATTTTCCCCGGCTACTTTCATAGGAAGCAGAAGGTAAAAAGAACCAAAAGTACTTCCTTGCTTTATGATTCCTCTCCTACTAATCGCATATACCCGACAACTTGAAATGTTAGCGACAGCCCTGCATGAGACACTATTAATTTAACCACTACTTTATTACTACTGGGAAAATACCCATGCACTCATTAAGGCAGCACCTAAAAGAAGAACCAATTCATGAAAAAATAATATTGATTCAGAAAGGAAATGAGCTCAGCTTTTTAATTTTGATAGGACTCTCAGGAGTGTGATAATATCAATGACCTTTTTAATGTTTTAATACATAAATCACTCACAACTGAGATTGCACTTATACGTAGCAAAATGGTAACTGGTTCAACTAGCTTGTACTATTTGTTTATGGTTGCATGCAGGAGGTTGCTTAGCACAAAAAAGTGTAAGAATCCGGTGAAGCAACAGCAGAATGCAGGGGCAGATCCAGGATTTTTTTTTAGGAGGGGGTGCACTTGTCTCTTGCTCTACTTCAACACCAATAAACCACATAGTTTTTTTTTTGTTTTTTGCAGAATACCAGTTGTATTAGAAAACCGCGGGTCATCTCACGGGGGGGTGCACACCCCCTGCACCCTCCCCCTAGATCCGCCCCTGGAATGTGACTCCAGCTTCTTTTGGACAGATTGCTAGTGCCTCCCTTTATTTCATTCTGTACCTTTTTAAATTCCCACATTGTATGGTCAAACCCCACCCACTTAATACAGACACCTCACTATTACGGACAGTTTGCTTTGTCCCTGGGGAAAGAAAGCCCTTACATTTTCTCTAAATTTAACCTGCCTTATGCGCACCCCATTGATACGGACCTTTTTATGGCCCCCGCGGTGTTTGACTGTACATCCAGTAGAGTTGTAAATAGGCTCAATAAGCTCTGGCTTATGGTACTTGGTGAATATAAATTAAAATAAATGGAATGAAATAAAATAGAACTAAACGGAGTGAAGCAAAGTAAAGGTTCTTGCAGACACACCCCTCTTTGGTCACATTTTAACCCAGAGTTAACATAAACTTCAACTTTGTTCTGGTCTCAAAGATACTCCATATTTGTCCTTGTTTTGTAATAGTACAAAATGTATGCTTTGGGTCTGTAACTTTGATGACTTTACGATTATTTTAGCAGATGATTATTTTCCAAGAATCTTATAGTAGTCAGTTAGATAGAACTACAACCCAGGCTCCTTTCTCAACAAACCTGAGTTTTTTATCAAAAGCAAGTATGCTTCCGTCGTAGTTTTGGGTAGATAGCTGGTAGGGAAAATCAGCCCTCAAGTAGCACCAGAACCCATTGTAGTTGTTTATTTTTGTTTCCTAGTGTCAGCAGGGTGTTTCAATAGTTCGTTCCGATTGTAAATTGTATTTTTCGCAAAGCATTTGATGCTTCTTTAGGCCAATGTAAACTGATTTAGGTGCGCAATGTTTCTAAATTACAGTTCAAAGCAATTTCAAACTAAAATTTCAAGAAAATATAATATTTTTTCATTTTTGCCCCAAATGTGCACATACGCAAGTTTTTTCCCACCATGTTTTTCCTGCCATTGTGTAGGTTTTCTATTTTTGTATTTTTGATGTTTTCTCTACTCTTTCACCAAAATGAAGGCGTACACTGTTTGTGCTACAGCTCAAGCATCTATTTTCACGGTATTCTGGCCATTTACCGGTAGTCAAAGAAATTGCCAAATTGTTGAAGACGTCTGAACGATGATTGAACAGGTGGTCGAAAGTAAAGATGTTAGAAGACAAACCAGGAAACTCCAAGGAGTAGATGGCCATTTTTTTATTAACTGAGTGAGAAATGTTATCGAAAAAGCTGTGAGTATATGGGTAATAATTCAACAAGATTGAAAGGTAAAAAAAACTTCAACTTAACAATATCAAAGTTTCGAGCACAACGTTAGAAAGATATGTGACTAACAAAGGTTGGAAAGCCTTGAAGAGAAAAAACGCGGTGTACATTTCATGCAGGCATGGCATCAGAAGAATTTGCAAACTTTATACTAAAGGACGACCGGCTGGCAAACTCTCGTGATATGAACACTCTAGAGACCATCTGGATTATCGTTGATGAGACAACATACAACATACATCGGCAGAAATACAAGTTTTATTTTCATAGTATAACTGGATTACGTTAATCAAATCCAAATCGGCTTTGAATGACCTTTTTTAGGTTGATGACACTTATGAGGTAACAAAAGATCATCTTAGTCTCGTGATCAAATAGTCAGGAGTTGATTAACAATTGCTTCAGTTCATAAAGAGTAGAAATGACTGAAAGAATTCCAATATAAAACATGCCTGCTCTTACCAAATGCAATCGGCCCTGGTTCTTCGAGAAGAAGGAACAGTTTAACTGTTTTTTGGCTTTACAGGAACAAGATATTTACCACCTTGTCACCAGGCTACATAGGACATGTTCCAGAGCACGTACCAGAAGACTTCCATGACAGTTGCCTTGGCGATATCTTCAAATATGGCGTCTTTCCTTTATAAATTTCATAGCCTTGAACAGTATCCACCGAAATTTAGGTTAGCACATGAATTCCCGAGATTTGAGAAAAAATCAAGGTAAAATGTTGGTATACCTTGGTCCCAGGGGTTTTTACTCAAAAGAAACGTCTTGCCGAAAATAAACTGACCCCACAAAATCGACCGGGCATTTCTGTGCAAGACGAAGGCCGAAAGCGGAAATGTGTGATCTTCACCCTGCTTCAGCGTCTGATATTTCCAACAGTTTCAAGAAGGAAATCAGTTTCTTGAATAACATGTTATCTCATCGATGCTCAAACTAAAAATGTGGAAAACAAAAGGCTTGATATTGCGTTTGTCTTGTCTCGTCAAATCGTCAACCGCTCCTTGATTGTTTTCCCGCCGAAACAGAGTTGTCCTCATCCCAAGAGCACTTACGCTTCCTCGCAGCTCCACTTGAGGATTCTTGTACAAGATTGTAGTTTAATCCATATGCACCATCTAACTCATTGAATATCTGACATTCTTCCATGTACGAGGAGAAAACAGCCTCTTGAATCCAACGAGACAATTCGTCCTCCATGTTCCCCTTGTTTGAAATTTTTGAACAGCATTTCCGCTGACAAACCGGAAGTTAGTTGTTATTGAAAAATTAAGTGCGCTGACATTGCTGAATTGCTCTGATAGCGATTATGAAGTAAACAGCGTTCCGGTTTTTCCCAGAAATAGGATTGACCGGATGTAAGAAACTTCATTCCATTTCTTCAATTTTTAGTTTATTTTTCTATCCCACCTTTTAGCTCTCTTGCCGCCTTTCCGGTGGAGTAGGCATGAATGACAGCTGTTTTTATTGTCACACGGGAAGGGAAGAGAATCTTCGGGGAAATTTGAAAATTCCAGATTTAAATCGTTGCTCTTTCATTTTTAATAAGGCTAGTTGTTTAAAATGTGTTCCCATAAAAGAATTTCCCTTCCACACGTCAAGTTTCATTTTTAAATTATTTTTTTTCAACAACAACAAATAAGAAGTTTCACTTCCCACCCTACCCCCAGTAACTCCTCTTGATCGCTGCGCCTTCGATAGCATATCCTTACTTGGTAGCAAAGAGGTGATCTACCCATCGAATCTTACGATTCAGTGGGTTGGCTTCATGCTTAAAATGTCGTCTGACGCCCAGAAGTTAACATGAATATATTCTTAAGTCATGTTTAATTTTTTGGACGTTGAGATATTTTCGTGAAGCAAAAAAGTGTGGTCAACACGGCTTGCCGGCGTTACAAAATGAATCACCATCGAGAAACGTCTATACAAATAGCTTGAGTGAAATTGAGGTAAGAACATCATTTTCTGCCTTTTCTATTGCTCTCATTATAAGAAGAAAGGCATTTTCAATACCATAAACTCTAATATTGTCGGTTCAGGGCAATCCAGTGGCCAAACTGCCCGGTCTTCTATCCTGTCTGTCACGAGTTTGTAAACAAACTTCGCACTCGAGCGATTCAAATTATCCAGCAAGGACAAAAAAGCTTATAGACTGCATGCGGAAATCTCCAGGATAAACTATGCAAAGTTGTATTCGAGGTACTTCATTTGATCTGGCTACATCCATTTAAGCAGAGAACGATCCTGGTTGCGCTGTCGAAGGTGTCGAAGACCACTGCATGCATACAAACTGCGAAATACCTCTTCGATAAAAATGGTGCCGTTTTGCGTTATTTGTGATCTGGAGCTTCATTTCGAAATTGTTCTCTCAAAGTTTCCCTCGAAGTGGAGGAATTTTTGATGAATATGTTTTTCTAGGTTAAGGGGTCAAAGCTTGCTAAATTACAGCGTAACTGAAATGTAATTTCTGCTTTTAAAACTTGTGCACGTTTAATTTTATTGCATGCGAGTTGAATTTGATGAATTGATCATAGCATGCCAAAATATAATGAAATTGAGAGGAATATAACTTATATTATTGCTTTATTTTTTAATCGACAAATCTGGACCGGAAACATGTAATCAAGCTTGTAGGTTCCGTACTTTTTTCCATGAAAGATATTCGCTTGAAGACTATATAGTGTGATACTTTTGGCAGTATTATTTTAAAAATACGATCGTTTAGTCTTGCAGGCGATCACGCCATTATATCTGGCCTCTTTTAATAAATATTTAATAACCAGCAAATGAAATCGTTAACTGAGTGGTCTGCCTAATTTGAAAGTGGTAAGCTGAAAATTATCCTGATATATACATATTAAAATTACTTGCAAGTGCAACAGTATCAGTCAAAATTGTTGGGACACTGTCTTATCACCCTCCCAATGTTGGTGTACACAACTTTGTGAGTTAACTGCGATAAACAACATTGCGAGGGAGAGGAGAAAGAGGTGTCCTGGTACTTATAGTTTTCCCTTGCCTGATTTCCTTTGGGAAATACAGCTTCCTTTTTACTTGAGGGATCTCCAAAAAAAACTTAAAAAAAAAAAAGTTAACAGGAATTCATTTGTACCTCGTATATGGTTTTGGAACCGTCAGTTTCTTGAACATTCTGATAATAATTCAAACTGCAATTTGTTTTGCTCTCCAGTCTCAATCCGTAATTTAACAAGATTTCAAACTCTCTGATCGTTTAAACCAATTTCCTTTCCCCCAGGTGGTTAAAAAAATTGGGATTCCACTGTAGGTGATCAACAGTAGCGTACATGATTGTACATTTAGAGAGTATGTTTATAGGATTGGTACTGTTTTTGTATATGCCGCTAAATCCCAAATTATTGGCATTAGATTGGTCACAGTATGTACAATCAAAACTCTACTAACAGCAACTTCTCCTTAATGGCTTCATGTACCTCAATCTCCACCTGTCCATATTTATGTCTTGCCAGATACATTTCTCCTGCTTTAATGTCTCTACAATTTTGTATTCATAGGTGAATTTAGTAATGGTCTGAGGGGTCTGCCCCCCTTTTTCTGTGGAATTCTGTATTAGCTCTTAATGATACTTACTAGTAAAATGAAATAATATCTATAACTGGCGAGTATTTTGCTCCCCCCTCCCCTCTTTTTAATTTTCTGGATCACTAATATAACTGTGTTAATTTATAAAGCAACCAATCAGTTTTGATTGAAGGCTTTTTCAATAACATGAATGGCATGTGACAAACTGGTGAATTAAAATCATGCAACTTTGCAATTATAAAAATGGTAACATTTCTTAGTATAATATTTTTGCTATGCCGAGGGGAGTTTGTACAAAGAATTCGTACCTGGAGGAGTGTGATTCTTCCAGTGGAAGCAACATTTGTTAAGTTTATATAATTCGTTCTACTATTTTAATTTGTTGATTTATCCTGTCTGAAGGTAAGACAAAAGTAAATATCTAGTGGTCAAGGTTTGTGCAGCTTTCATAATTTCAGCCACCATTTTGTGATTTACATCATTTTTATGTGCAGCAATTTCCCATGTCTAGACAATTTCAAATAATAATCCAGTCTAAAATTTTGGCATTAAGGGTAGAGTTCTGGCACAGCAAAGTATTCAAAATAGCTCATGCACACAGTACATGCCTATATTTGAATTGTGTTGGGTAATGTTTTCACTGTGAATCTTTGAAAAGCACATTAATTTTGAATGAACTCAATTGTTAAATTCACAAAGTGCTTTTCTTGCTTGTAATGGTGTTGCCACTTTATTTTCTTACTCATGATCAGGCCTCGGATGGCGGCACCAGTGTTTGTGTTTACTGGAGAACTGTTGCACCAAGCAGCCATCTATGATCAGTGTGATCTGCTTCGATCACTGCTTGAAGCTGGAGTCCATGGGGAAGCCAACAGCCGTGATCCTCGCGGATTGACACCTCTGCACACTGCAGCCCTTCATGACAGCGTAGAATGCTTAGCAGAATTATTGGAGTGGAATGGTAATATTGCCCATCAAGCAAATCTTTATGGCTGAAATTAGCTGTTTGTTGGTTTTAACTTTATTATTTGACCATACAGTGAGATAAAAGTTTGATACTTATGATCAATTATATATTTATAATATAAATCTATACATGTGACGATGGCTTATTGATATAAGATCAACCCATTGAAAGTCATCAGACAGACCTAGCATATGACAGCAGATTTCTTTTCGAAATTATATAACTTCCTTATTTAGATTGTAAAAAGCTCAGAGATCCCAAAGTTTTCCCTCCTTTTCTTGCTTTAACACCAAGGGACAACTGTTGATACTTTTGTGCCATCTGTTTGTTCGTTTTTTGGTTTGTTTTTGTCATAACTGTTAACCATTTCTGTGATTCTTAACTCTGTTTTTTAGGAGATACAAACATACAGTCTGCTCCTGAGGATAATTGCTCTGTAAGTTTTTAGTTTTCTTTTTTTGAAATATTTAATTTTTATTAATAAAAATGATGATCATTGCTTATACTAATTGAACATATACCCAGCAAATTGAAATCCTAGGGACAGCCCTGTATGGTGATCCAGAAGGCTCAAACACAAACAAAAAAGAAACCACAAATAAAAAAAACGGACAGGCAAATAAAAAACTAGAAAATGTAAATGAAAAAAAGAAAACGCAAATAAAATTAAGCACAACACAAACAAAAATGCAAAAAGCAAATAAAAAACACGGAAGTAAACAGGAAATGCGAAGGGCCTTAGTTCTCGCAAGCCACCATGGCCCAGTTGTTCGAACACTGGTTAGCGCTAACCCAGGGTTAAATTTTAACCTGGGTTTCTTTTTTTATATATATCAAAAGCGCTCTCTTGGATAATTTTGTCTATTTTTTTAGCATATCCAATCATCAAATTGTGGGCAAAGAGAATTCAACTGAATTGGCTTTTTAAGCTCTCATATCTGAGTTTAAAATTTGCACTAACCCTGGGTTATCTTAACCCAGCTTCAAACAACCCGGCCCATGTTTAGTGTATTTGATACAGTTGTAATGGACAGCAGAGAAGTAAGGCGATTAATTGAACACTATTTTCACTGTAGATTTCAAAACCAAGTTAGAGTTGATTTCCTTAATAATCAACATGCAGTCACAATGAGTCTTTCAACTTTGAAACGACTGCTTCGTGACTATGGTCTAGGCAGACGTGGCATGGACATTAGCGATCACAAAGTTAAGGAAATCGTGCAAAGTGAAATATCTGGCTCCGGCGAACTTCGAGGTTACAGAGCAGTGTGGCACTCGCTAAGATTGAATCATCACATCCATGTGCCAGGAGAAAGGGCTGCCAATATTCTTTGCGAGCTAAATCCAGCTAAAACAAGAGAGAGAAGACAAAGAAGGTTGGCAAGGCCGAGATACATGTGTACCAGTTAGGGTCCACATTTCTCATTGTCAAAGGAAACTGTGTCTTGTGGGTTTGATTGAATCGCCAGATACATTTCAGTTCAGTGAACATGACCTGGAATGACCTGTTACGCAAGGATGCTGAAAATTTCTTCCGGTGTCTTTTTATTGTATTCATTGCCCTAAAAAAGCCATATAATGAATAATTTATTAACCTTGTCCATTCGGTCATTACAGGTGAATCTCAGACCTCGGCCTTGATGTATATATTGACCATCAAGGCCTTGGTCTGAGATTTCCCTGTTATAATGACCTCGCTCTCGGTTAATACATGTAAATAGTATATAATGAAGTCCTCAGTGTCACAAATGAAATTCTTCACCCAGTAATAGTAAAATATATGGAAAGAACCTTGATATAAACAAAATCTTGTTGTAGCCAACATATTTTGCTAGTTCCCTGGTCCCTTATGTTAAGGTGACTCAACCCAGTTTTTTTGAGGGGTACCATCCTACTTTGAAGCTCTCTGGTATCCCCACCTTAACTTGTATCATAAGTCTAACACATAGAATGGATAACATATCGATCAATCTACAATATAACATAAAATTTTTGGTGATCGGAGTAAATGTCACATGGTTATAATGCCACGCCCCTTTGAGGTCTGAGTCGAAAATCTGCTGTTGCTGGCATTTTTTCATGAAAATCTCTCGGCTACACATAGTGCGCATTAGTGCCTTGCCCTGAACAGAGTTTCACCAAAATCACAAAGACCCAATTCGAGAAATTCAGCAGTTCCAAATTTAGGTCATAATTTATGCAAAAATGATAAGCAAACTTTACACGATTATACCTAATAAACTATGAGATTCATCCCTTTATTTTTGGCATCATTATAACAGATGGGTGCTTGCAAGTCAGCAAAATGCTTTAGGGCCTTGTAAATGTGTGCGATTTCGAGCAAAGCAAACATATAGAAATTATGGTTTTCGCTATTTGTTGACGTTTGTCAGCGTTTAAGAGTCCTTCTCACAAAAAAAGCATTTTCTTAAAAATTCGTAGTTTTTTTTTCTTTCAAATTTTTTCAGGGCCACAATTGATTAACTAACTTCCCAGACTCTGAATTTCATGGTCATTGAAAAACTATGACATTATCTTCTATAAGCCCAAACTTGAGTAAATATTGAAGATTTTTAGCGTTTTGGCGGAGTTTGTGCTTTGGGAGTTGTCTATTGTTTCTAGTCTGTCATGATACAGCATTCTTGTTCAGCACGCGTGCAATAACCGCGCTTGGCTGACTTCCGAATGCTCACTGAGATATGATAATTTTGGTACAGTGAGACAGGCCATCGCGTGATACATAGAGGTTTCACTCACAATTTTTAAACTATTCTCGTGCCTCTTGTGCCTTTGGAAAAAAATCAAGAAGTGCTACACACTAAATCTACTTACTATTAAAAAAATATCGTTTTTTCATAGGTTTAATGCAAGCCAATAATTAAACCAACTCGTGATGGGAATCCCTTCTATTTTCTCATACTAAATTATCATATCTTGGTGAGCATTCGGAAGTCAGCCAAGCGTGGTCGTTGCACGCGTGCTGAACAAGAATGCTGTATCATGACAGACTAGAAACAATAGACAACTCCCAAAGCACAAACTCAGCCAAAATGCTAAAAATCTTCAATGTTTACTCAAGTTTGGGCTTATAGAAGATAATGTTACAGTTTTTCAATGACCATGAAATTCAGATTCCGGGTAGTTAGTTAATCAATTGTGGCCCTGAAAAAACTTGAAGGAAAAAAAACTACGAATTTTTAAGAAAATGCTTTTTTTGTGAGAAGGACTCTTAAACGCTGACAAACGTCAACAAATAGTGAAAACTATAATTCCTATATGTTTGCTTTGCTCAAAATCGCGTGCATTTACAAGGCCCTAAAGCGTTTTGCTGACTTGCAAGGACCCATCTGTTATAACGATGCCCAAAATAAAGGGATGAATCTCATAGTTTATTAGATACAATCGTGTAAAGTTTGCTTATCATTTTCGCATAAATTATGACCTAAATTTGGAAACCACTGAATTTCTCGAATTGGGTCTTTGCGATTTTGGTGAAACTCTGTTCAGCGCAAGGCACTAATGCGCGGTATGTGTAGCCGAGAGATTTTCACGAAAAAATGCCTGCAACAGCAGATTTTCACCTCAGACCTCAAAGGGGCATGGCATTATAACCACGTGACATTTACTCCGATCACCAAAAATTTTATGTTACATTGTAGATTGATCGATATGTTATCCATTCTATGTGTTAGACTTACAATAAAAGTAAAGGTGGGGATACCAGAGAGCTTCAAAGTAGGATGGTACCCCCCAAAAAAATTCGGTCGACTCACCTTAAATCAAGTTTCCAGTGTAATCTGAATTACATCTTGACTCATCAACCTTCCTTCCTATATTAGAGCTTCATGTATTTTATATTTATTTGAGAAATAATTATTTCAGCACTTTTTGCTCTCTGCTCACAACTGACATCAGTGTAATGACTGGTTTGATATTATTGTTGATTCACAGACTGCCCTCCACCATGCTGCTCGTAATGGTCACCTGCGTTGTCTAAAAGTTCTCCTTGATCATGGAGCTATAGTTGATGTGAAGAATAATGAAGGCAAAACTGCAATGCAGATTGCATTGGATAAGGGAGAATATGACTGTGCTAGATACTTAAAGACTGTGCAAGGTATTGAACATTATTTTCTTAGTGATTCTGGGACCTACTGTGTCTACTAATACTTACCTGCCATATAAAGGAAGTGCCTTGCCTCCTCTGTTTACTGCCACCCCCCTCCCCACCCTCATCTCCTATGGACAAACACCACCTCCATTCTATTTTCATATTATTTATCTGTTTCTTGATCCTTACCTCATCATGAATCACCAAAATCATCCTGTGGACTGTGGGCCTTCCCTCCTTCCCTCATCCTCGGAGACCCAGGGGCAGATAGTGGGGGCGAGGGAAAGTCTAAAAGGGCGCAAAATAAGGCACGTAGAAAATTAAAGAACGGTGAGAAGAGCCCCTGGGGACAATGTCTTACCGGACCAGTTCCAAATGGTCGCCACCGTTCTGGCTTCTGATTGGCGCCAGAAAACTTGTGTTTTTCGGGCACCAATCAGAAGCCAGAACGGTGGCGACCGTTTGGAACTGGTCTGGTAAGACATTGTTCCCAGGGGCTCTTCTCACCGTTCTTTGCTTTTCTTCGTGCCTTATTTTTCCGCTCGTTTAGACTTTCCCTCGCCCCCACTATCTGCCCCTGGGTCTCCGAGGATGTCCTTCCCTCCGTCCATCCATCCTACCCCCCTATCTTTCTTTCTTCTCTCCACGAAGATGCTAGTGCTAGCTGGGCCAAGTACCTTTTGAGTGTGAACTAAAACTGGACAAAATCTGGTGCTTGGACAAGGTGCAAAGAAAATCATTTTTACAGCAAGCTGAAGCTAGCATTTACTAGCCCAGACGTCATTTCAACTAGCGCCAAAAACGTTTTGTTCTTCTGTTATTCAAATTCCTCATAAAACATCACTTGCCCGTCGGGCAAGTTAAAAACAGAATTCACTAGCCCGATAGCAAAATCCACTAGCCCCGGGCTATCGGACAGTACTTTCTTTGCAGGCTGCTTGGATGATGCACCTTCAACTATCTTCCCTGCATCATCCCCAGCCCTTACCTGTCCTTCCACCTGGTAGTCGCATTCACAAATTGAACTAGGTTATATTTATTTTCTGTAACATCCCCAGTGGTTAGTTAATATTCAACCCATTGAAGCTAAAATGGTTTAAAAAGCTTGGCCCTGGAGGTGTGAAGATATTATCATCAGTTGTTGCATAGTATGTGTTAAGAAATTAAAAAACTCACATAACGTTCTTACCAGGGTGCAAAGAAAGTCAGTTTTACCTCTTTGCCATTTGTGCAAGCTGTAGCTAGCATGTACTAGCCCAAGAGTCATTTAAATTAGCCAGAAAATTAATTTTTATGAGCAGGATTGATTGCAGTTCTTCTGTAATTTGAAGTCCCTAAAAAACTTCAATTGTTAAGAAGAGAATTCACTAGCCTGGTAGCAAAATCCACTAGTTCCAGGCTATTGAACATCTATTATTTTTAAACATGTTTGTAATGAACATGCCCTCAAACCCTTCATGATATGGTGCTGGTGTTGTTTCTTATCAGTAGGGTCTGTAAGTACTTACAGTACTTTTAAACCTCTTCTGCAATTTTTTTTTGTCATCATGTAGAGATCAGAAGACAAGCACGTGAAGAAGAAGTATCACAAGGTCAGTAAGATATATTATTATGGCTTTGTCTGCAAGCAGATTCTGTATTCTGATTGGCTACTCAAGTGGGCAAGGTGGACTCATCTTGCCCTTTCGAGATCTCCCACATTATTCCCGCAAGAAAAAGTTCTCTTTATGGCCACAAAATAAATCTTTTATTAACCAAGCTTGTTCATTGAAAATGGCTGGGTATTGGCCTCATTCTTTTTTGCTTATTATGACGTCAATTTTGTTTAATTTAGTGTTCTTTTTAAAAGTTAAAGATTAACAGTGACTGTAATTTTGTTCATTTGTTTGCAGAACTCCTTGCCAGTTGCACCTTGGGTGATTTGCCAAAGGTCCAGGAGCTTTTAAAAGAAGCAAGTGCTACAGCAGTCAACAAGCGTTACCAAGGAGGCAGTACACTCCTGTATAAGTAAGTAGTATGCTTGAATAAACAAATTCTGTTTATTCAAACTCAGTATTTACAAGGAAGTGGGGACTGTTTAAAGTGCCACATTTGCCAATCAGCCAGTGGCAGGCTAGCCTCCCACGCAGGCATTTTTAGGGAAGCTTGTGTTTCATCCCTCCCCACAAACGCCTGCTCAACTGAGAACAACATTCCATTCCCAAGCTTAGCCAATCACATTGTACTTTCCAAATTCTGGAAAGTTGACCTCGACCACCGGGTAACCCAACAATTACTCGGTCTGCATGAAACACAAGGAGAGCTTTATGACCTCTAATAAAATGTTGGACTCAGAGTGGCAAAAGTACGATTTAGAGTACTATGTGCATTGCATAACGTTAGTGAAGGAAAGAAAAAAAGGGAAAAGGTAACTCTGGCGTCATGTTTTTACACTACCACGAGCTTATGAGTCTTGTTTAGCCTGTGAACACTTTTTTTCACAGCTGTTGATTGGTCACGTACCACGTGAATAAAACAGTGGGAAAGAAATATTGTTCTCCGTTGAGCAGGCGTTTGTGGGGAGGGACGAAACACGAGCTCCCCTAAAAATGCCTGCATGGGAGGCTAGTGGCAGGCAAGTTCTTTCCAAGACTCTACCTCTGCATCCTTCATGAAATTCCATATTGATGACAATACCTGTCACTACCCAGATCTGGGTAATTCTTCTGATTGGTCCTGCCGTGAGGAAAATTTCCTTCAACCAATCAGAAGCACTATGCAGAGCTTGGTAGTGACACGTCATCAGTATGGAATTTCTGTGCTTGTTCCTCAGGTTTTATTTCGCGAGGAAACCAGTGGTGGCATCACAAAATGCCAGCTGTTTTCTTAGTCTATTGTGCTACAAGATTTCTCCTGTTTCTCCCCCACCCAGTGCACATACAGTATTGACCATGATTTTCCCTTCGTTTTAATAACTCAGGGCTTGTCATGGTGGCCATCTAGAAGTGGCAAGACTTCTCTTGAAGGTAGGTGCTGATGGCTCTCCAAACATGTTCACGGGAATCACACCACTCTATGCTGCCTGTCTGAGTGGTAATGCTGATTTGGTCAGTCTCATGGTTCAAGCTGTGCCGCAGACAATTAACCTTGCTAGTAAAATGGACAAAGCCACACCTCTTCATGTGGCAGCCGGAGAAGGCAGCGAGGAAATTATTAAAATTCTCCTGCAAGTTCCTGAGTAAGTACTTATGCCAACTTTGCTTTCTTTTTGTTCAAAAGGTTTCTTACATTTAATAATAATTATTATTCATTCATTCTCGGAGGGTGTTATCCGCCTCGGCCTAGGGCCTCGACGGATAACACCCTCCTCGATCTCCATAATTCTTCATAAGATACTCAGCCGCCAGGCGGTGTGCACACTACGATCGCTAAGCATCATGGGCGGTATTCAAAATCTGATCATTTGTGTCAAGATGGCGTGGAGTGAACATCTCGACTGCGGAGTGAATATTCGTTAATTACGCTGTAGATATATACGATTTTGCTTTGAATGTCCTCCGGAAGCCCTTGAAAAAGAAAGTCTGTCCAATTCTCAAGGAAAAAACAGTCTCATTCCGTTGATAAGTGTATTCTGGTGTATTTTGTTCGTAATCACTTGCATCCTGTTTGCAACTGACCGAGAAAAGTCGGCACAGAAACGCTTTGTTCAATACTTCAATCATGAAAAGCACTGGAGGTAAGACCCGCGGTTCGCCGAAAATTTTTTAATTCACCGTGAAATCAGTGCAACTAGTGCTAAGAGGTACTGATGTGCATAGCTGTGATATACTCATAAAATACTAGGAGCTTCTTCAGAATACCCGGCAACGGTATTTAAACACAGTGAGCTTATTTTGTTTTGTCATTCAGCATTGCAAGATGTTCACTTACTAGCTGTAATAAGAGAATCGAAGTTGAGGGGGTCATCGTTTCGAGGACTTGCTTCTCTGTTGGCACCAAGTCTGCATTTCGTTTTGCTTAACATCTGTATTTATCATCACATGAAGACAAGTAAATAAAGTAGAGAGTATTTGTGAACAGTGAACTTGTGTCCTCTTTATAGATAATATAATATTGAGCATCTTTATTTGCCATATTTTTCTATTGGTATGAGTCATAGAATGTCTTATAACTGGATTGAAACTGAAAATGGCATATTTGTGATTACAAAGCCTGATGCAGTCAATAGATTTTAAAAGCTGCAGCCAATATTTGTTTAATGATTGTGTCAGTATGTACAAACACATGTTATCACATATTTTTTTGGATTATAAAAACTCTTCAAAATGTGAAATTCGTAAATGTTTACAAATCTCCTGTAATCAGGGCTGGGGCAACATAGCTTGAGACCCCTTTCCTTTCTCCTCACCCCAATTTTATAATTTAAATATGGTGTCATAGGTCTCATCATACTCACAGTCAACTCTGTTATACAGACACTGAGGGGACTGTAGAAATTAACCATCTTAATTTAGAGAAAATTTTAGGGCTTTTTTCCAGGGAACAAAGCAAGCTATCTGTAATGATGAGCAAGGCTGTGCTCTAAGGAACATTGAAAGGAGCCTAGTTCTCTGAACCTGTAAAATCTAGGCTGTCCAGCATATGATTTGTATGAAAAGTCTGAGATTTTCTAGTCACCCAAAAGCAAAAGTTAGGTGCCAGGGGCCACAGGGCTCTGCTAGAGCACAGCCTTGATCAAGTGTCTGTATGAAGCAGTTGTCCGTAAAGAGGGCTTTTGGGTTACCAGTTATTGCAGAGGTGGATCCTAGTGGTACAGTAAAACCCCCTGACTTAGAACCTGAATTTCAAGAACCTGTTCAGCTAAAATAAAATTATGCCAGATGAGCCCCCTCTATATAAAAACCTGTTTAGCCTAAAATTTGAAACAGGTTCTTATTTTTGAAATCTATGAAAAAATTCTGTACACTTGAGCAGAGATAAATCAACATTTAGAATCTTCTTTGGAGACAAAGCTGTCTTATCACTCCAACTGCAATGTAAATGCCAATGTTTAAATTTAAATACATTCCTCTTTTTATGTCCATTCTCACATAACTTCTAATTTGGTATGCAGACTTTATATGAGGAATAAGGTGAAACACAAATACTCTTAGCTACATTTTTACTTCGGAAATTTTAAAAACCTAAATAGCCTAAAATTGCGCTAACTACTATTTATATAAGAATCTGTTTAGGCTTACTTAGTTAATTCAGGTTCTTAGTCTCATGATTTTACTGCCCCATTGTTCCACTTTTTCTATTTCCTTTCCCTGTCACCATTTTTTCAGCCTTGGTTTTCCAATATCAAAAGCACATTCAATGATTAAGCAATTTATATTTTAACTAAAGCCACCAAAATATGCAAATTGTTTGATATATATTAAACAGTGTAAACGGGTAAACAGATTGAATGACATCACTTAGCCTGTGTGGCAGGCATTTCAAAGAAAAGGGAAAGTGGGTCTTGGTGCAAGAGAAATGTGAGGGAAGGAGGGAGGGAAATGCCTGCCATACAGGAGACTAATTGTTTTTTGCATTATAAACATCAACCAGGTGAATGTTCAAATCACTCCCTCCTTCCTCGTGCACTCTTCGCATTTCTCTTGTGCCCAAAGCCCCTCTCCCTTTCCTTTTAAATGCCTACTATGGAGGCTAATCACCACTGAATAAAACAGGGACTAGGCAAGAAACTGACAAAGTCATAACATCCACACAACAACACACACCAATCTTGGAAGTAGATTGTTGGTTTCAAAATGCACAGGGCTTAACTGTATAATCAAACTTATCTTTTAATTTAATACCTGTAATTCTAATCCTACTGATTTTATACCTGCATAAAGAGAGTCACATGTATGACTGCAATTTTATTATGCTTTTTTAGTCCTATTACAAAAACAGACATATTTCCTACATCAGAGTACTCATCAGCATATTTATATACCAGTTTCAAACATTTTATGCTCACCTAATGCTATTGTTTGGAGGAACCAGTCGCTGCTGTCTCGCTATTTTGTGATCAGCTTGTGATTACAACAGTAACACTTCCAGTAACATGTCACATTGGTCTTCGCGAGGCTACATTTTCCCATGAAAACATGCTGGTTTCAATTCGGAAAAAGTATCACAAAACGTGGGGCGCGTTGGGGAGCGATAAAAAATTAGCGTAGAACAAGGTTTGTAGAAACACTTACAACTATCTTCTACTTTCGACGGGCAATATAATGGAAACTAGAACCACTACATGGAATTACCGGGGCCCAGTGGGACACGGGATTGCATAGATATAGTTTACCTCTCGCACCCCTCCCCCCTCCTCTGTGGAGGCTAATACTTAGTCTGAATTTACTCATGCAGAAGAAAAGCAACAAAATGCATGAGAAAGGAGGATGTTGTTGGAAGTTTGTTCAATGTTATTACAGCTAACAGTCTGTGTTATAGTAGTGTTTTTAGTAACACTGTGATGTCAATAAGTGTGATCTGTATAAGGTTTTCATTTGTTTTTAAGTTGAGTGAAAAAGCAAAAATCACTGACAGTTTTGGGTTGAATGGTAATGACAAAGTTTGCAAAGAAGTTTGTTACAGAATTATCACAATTTCACATTTTCTCAAGTACGTTATCATCAGGTTTATCATTGAGATTTATTAATCACATTTATCTATTTTTTGCGAAAACACTGTGAATTTGAAATGATAACAGACATAAGACATTTTTGAAATAGATCTTTGTGGTCATGGATTGTTGTCTTGTACTGTAAAAAATGCCATCCAGTGTTATATATAGACATAATAAAATGCTTATTTATTGATGACTGAGTATCATTTGTTAATTCATTGCACATTGAAATGGAGGCACTTGATTGTAAGGCAGTGGTTGATACATAGTAGCATTCATCAATATGACCTATAATAATTGTAGAGGAAGTATTTCTTTCCTGAACTGGGTAAACAGTAGCATATCTGCAACTGCTTGAATGATAAGTGCATCAGCCCATGTACCTTGAATACACATATTACTCAGATATCTTAGCCATGAATTTTCGGTATTGCTCTCAATAAATCTCTCTGGATTGTCTCTCATAAATTGAACCCCAGCAGTACGTATATGCATATGATGGTTGCTATTGCCATATAATTGATGTGATACAGATCTAAAGAAACAATCACCTGCACCGCCAACATCTATTGATTGTAAACAAAGTGCACCTAATCTAGACTTCATCAAATTCTCAGAGGAAATAGGAGAGTTCAACTGCATTGTTGAGCTGTGATTTTGCATAGAAGGTCTAATTATTACTTCATGATGATCAGTGTTGTATTGAGTAGGTCCTGAATTCTTCTCAACATCTTTACTTAGTTTGAAATTCACATAATTGGTCATATGACTCACACAATTGCAAGAAAACAATGATAAGTATCGACGTGCTTTACATTTTAGTTTCATTATCCTGTGATAATGCCTGCTAAAAAAGACAACAAATAAGCTTTCTTGGGTATAGCCATTTTATTTAAGTTAATTATCTTTGGATCGCGTTTGTTATTACATTTATATCGTGCATGATAAAGTTTTCTCACCTTACTAACATAGCGATGGAGCTTTGAAGACTTCGGTATGTCAATCATTGAAATCTTTTTGAAGACAAATTTTGATAAGTGTTCGCTTTGATTCTCGATAAATTTCACGATGGAAGGTTCACTCAATTTCTCGATAAGTTTCACGATGGAAGGTTCACTCTTAAGTGATCGCTCGTAAATTTGTCTCTCCAAATATTCACTCTTAAATTTTCGCTCATAAACTAGTGCATCGTAAAGGTTGGGGAACGTGTCGTTCCCCAAAAAGCTATAATCTTTCTCTTGACTCTCCTCCATTCCTCGTTCTTTTCAAAATGGCGGATAAGATTTCAATGAGCCCGCGATATATCTCAATCAGCGATATATCCCTAACAATGTAACGTTCGTAACGTTGAAAAAACGGACCGTCTGCATTCTAAGACTATAGCCTCTTAAAAACCGGGTTCAAATTTCATGCTCTTACAGGAGGAATCTTCGGGCTCCACGTTTTAGATTGAAATGAAGAATATTGATTTGTTTTTCTTCACAGAAAAAATCTAAACAAATATTAGCTTGTGAAACCGAGAAAAACTATCTAAGGAAAGAACTGTATCTATTGAAAAATAAAGCATATAACCTGCGAAATTTCTCGACCTTCGCCGCCATCTTGAAAATTTTGAATCCACAATGCATCGCAGTCGTAGTGCGCACACCGCCTGCTCAGCCGCATTCATTAATTGCTAATTATATAGATTTAGCCAAGGCTAAGGTGAAGCTCTCCGACAGTGGTAACTTACTTTCTGAAGTAAAGTTTTCTGAGCCTGCGATCACTTGAATACCATAACTCGCCAGCGGATGACTTGAAAAAACACGTTACCTCAATGAGTTGTACAAGTGAGCCCACGATACAGTCAGGCGACACTGGTCAGCGAAGGGGCGGGTGTACGTACGGTCGATTTTGTTAGGAACTGTGGATGCATAGATAACCAGTTTTCTTACATATGTTGCTGCGCTGCGCGAGCTCCGCTGTTAATAGCTTGTTTTAAAGTTAAACATCGCTAGAACAGTGCACCTTTAACAGACCAATACTCAATTTTATTTCTTTTAAGGTGCAAAATACGTTCACCTTTGAGATTACTGTTTGGATTCTGTTCTAATATTTAAAAGGAAGTATTTCAAATATAACCCTAACTATGACAAAATTCTTATTTGGTTATGATTAAATGGTAACACAACTCTGTGACATCCATTTCGGCCAAGTGTGTGAGTGAAGGGTCTGTTTGCAGATCGTAAGAACAGTTCATTTTTTCATTATCGTTAACTTGGAAAGGCTGATTTCTTGAACGAGAGAAGGAGTGAAATAGTTTGAGTGTCTTGCTGTTGCTAGTCATATGCTGTGTTCAGGTTATTTAAAAAAAGAACGGTTTTGAGATCCTAAAAAGAGTATATGCAGCCACTGTTTCCAGAAGTGCAACAGCGCCGATTTTCAGAAGTCTAGCTATCCCTTGTGATAAAGTATTTTGGCTTCCCTCGGTGTTCGCATTAGTCATTCGCCAATATTGTGATGCTGTGTTCTCATGCAGTCTCTTCGAGTTGACCAGTTTCTCCACTTCTGCGACTTTTTTCAAGGTTCGATGTTGTCTTGCTGAGTCCTTCTTGAGGAACTGACCATTCCTATCAGCCCTGGACTGAGCTAATTCAATGTCCTCTTTTGTTTCTTCAAACATATTTTCCGTACGGGCGAGGTCATCTTTAAAATCTTGCAGGTGGTTCTGCAGATTTAACAGAGCTTTCTTCCATCGTTCCGTTGCACTTTGCATGTCATTAGAGGTTGAATCCACATGGGTCTTCATATTTCTTTTCTCGCTGAAATTCGCAAGCCGTTTGTTCTCTTTTAGTAAGCTGTAAACGGTGCAGATCATTTGAAACTGTGATCATTTGAAAACGTGACGTAACAATTAGTTGTGTTCTTTAAAAGCGCGCGCTTTACGTTAGTTCGCGCGTGCCTTTTATTTCCCCTAAACGGGTGCTGACAATCAATATTTAGCTTAATATAAATATTACCAAAAAAGGCGCACCTTTATGAGAACAGAACATTGGTTTCGCCAAGTACTTACAGCTTTGAGATCACTCTTTGAAATCTACTACGTGTAGAGTGTTTATAGTTATATGGTTCTGCCCGCCCCACCCCCGCTTAATTTTAGACTAAACTAAGGCCTGAAGGGCCGAAAAAATTTTTTTGGAGACCCCCCCCCCCCTTATCTAAGGGTCTGGATGACCGGACCCCCTCCCCCTTATCTCCACCTTATCTAAGGCACTATATTTCTTATAGAAGTGCTCTTATTGATGAAGAACACTTTGAAATACCTGAAATATTTGAGGAATTTGGGTTGTGCCATGGCCAGTCGTATCAGAGGTGTACACCGGCCAATAAACAATTTGCAAACCTCTACCTCATTAACGCTACTGCTTGTACTTTACGCACATCACTTTTTTTTGTTGACTTTTCAGGGACGATGAGCAGGAGTTTTTGCGATGTAACAAGATTAATGTAGGTGTTTGTACGTCCAGCGGCAATACTGCTCTCCATCTAGCGTCACAGGGAGGCTTTGTCAAAGTTGTTGAACAACTCTTAAATTGTCGTCATAAATGGTGAGAAATTGAACTAATCTGAGTCGGCGGACAAATTGTCTTTTAAGATCTTTGTAACACTAGGCTTGACCTTTTCTAGGCTCTCAGATACTAGGGACTTCAAGATGTCACGATGGCGACGGCAACATGAACATCAAAAAAGCAATAGGTTTAAATAAGCAAAACAGCAACATTGCACGTGCATCACATTTTTGTGTGCTTTACTTTGCCGTCACTGCATGACTACAAAGTGGTATTGCCTAAATTCCTGTTTTATCGAAAGCGTGATCAAACCACGACGAATTTCTCTTTCGCTTTTTGAACTGGGAAATTTGTCTTAGGAATTCAGCTCCCTACATTTCACATAAAGTGAGCGAGTAGAGATAATCGCACTGAAGTTTCAAAGAACGTGAAGAAGTTGCTTTTTAAGTGACGTTCTCACTGACTTCGCCCTCATGGTACCTTAGGTTACGTCCGCACGAATCCTGATATTTTAGAAACCGCCCTTCCATCCGTACAAAACCAGTGAATCCGATCACCGAAAGTGCATTGTTTTGAAACCGCTTTCCAAAGCGGTTCAAGGCCCGGTCCACACTTTAATCCGGACAAAAAATATGCGGTTTCAGAAATGTCCGGATTCGTGTGAACATGGCCTTAAACTCCCTGGTATGGAGGTCGCGAGAATAAGCCAAGCGGAAAAGGATATAAGAATTTGATTGCTTTATCGAACCGACAGAAACGTGCGCGGTTTTTGGTTGGTTTAGCGAAGACGCAACGTTTCCCCAGCTGAAAGAAAAATGGCTGAAAAGTAATTTTTGTGACTTGGGAAACAGATTCTGGGCTGCCGACTGTACAATTTAGCGATGTTTTTTTCAATCTTAGGGTTTTCTTTGGCGGGAATAAGGACGGGTTAACCTTTTGAACTTTTTATCTATTGGCCGATAAAACAGTGTGTGTGCATTTAACTTTGACAACTGTTTTCTCGTAGCGCTGGACCCTGTGAAGCAAATTTAACCACTTCTGTGAATGTCAAAAATATGATGGGACAGACAGCTCTTCTGGATGCCGTAACAATAGGGCATAGAGATGTTGTCAGCTTGCTCATCGAACATGGCGCTGATGTGAGTCTTGTCTCTAAAGTGGAAGTTCAACATGACCAGACAGATATGGCTCCGCCAGGCTCATCTTTATCACCTATTGAGATTGCCTGTTCTAGTGGTAACTTGGATATTATTGAGTTGTTATTGAACAGCGGAGCAGAGGATGTTGATCATAGGTGTCTTAGTTCTGCCATCTTGGCTGATAACATTGATGTGATAAGAATCTTGCTTCAACAAGGTAAAGAATCTGTCGCTACAGGAGACTGCTAGCTAAGCAGTCCGTCAGGGGTGTCGCGCAGGCGAACATTCGCCATTTGAACATCTCCCACAATACACCTTGTTTGTCCCCCAAAATCTTACATAACCTTTGTTTTTAATTTCTCATGGGTGTTACAGTCCTCCCAAGGGAAATTGAGGACAATACTTGTGCCAGATTTTGGAGGACAGACAAGGTGTATTATGGGAGATGCGCAAATGGCGAATGTTGCGTGCGAGCGAGCAAGCAAGGCGAACGCGAAGAGGTAGAAGAGGGAAGAGAATCAGGGACTTTTATCCCGTTTTCTACCTCCGCTTTTCGTCCTCTCCCTCGCGCGTTTGCCTCACTCGCTAACACGTAACGTGCTTGCCCACGCGACAATCCTGAACCTGAGGGACTGGGACTGCTAGCAGTTCAGGGTTAATGTTAAATCCCCAAATCAACTTACCAATTTGTCCGCTTTACAGACCTGCCCAGCAGGTATGGGTACAATAGAGACCAACTAGAAGTCTCATGTCAGTTGCCCTCCCCTCCATATCCATTCGCACAACCGTGACAGGTAGGCACTCGGGGTGGTCATCAGAGAGATTTACAATCACTTTTGCATCAAACGACAAACGTCAATTGGTACCACGTGACCAAGGTTTACCTTTACCTGTCGTTTACTGTTAACTACGTCTTATCTACAGAGAATTCAGTATATTCATGCCTTCATCCCTAAGAATTGTTTTAGACAGTCTTTATCGGCTCAATTCCTAATATGAGAAGTTTTCGACTTGAATCTGAAGTTGGTCATTAGTCGTGAACGTGATTGTAAATGACTCTATTGGCTGAGGTTAATACGTTCCTAGAGTCCCATTCACGTCAAAAGATATCCAAGATGACCTAGAGAAAAAAAAAGCTTCCAATATTATGGTCGGGCAAAACAAAAATGTGGGGAAATCTATCAAGGGTGCATTTGGCGTCCTTAAAAAAAACTGTACTTGGAAGACGCGGGGTATACTCATGTTCAGAGTCTTCGCATCTAACTAGACCAATACCTCCCTTTGGAGAGTAAGGCGCAATAAAGATATACTACTACTACTACGACTACTACATCTAGTGGCATCTCTGCTTAACAGTGAGTCAGTCAATAACAATACCTCTTCTTATTAGTCAATCAGGTCAACAACTATAGAGTTTTGTAGCATTAACTAACAGTCAACAATTTCCTTGTACTTGATGACTTTCGTTCAGGTTTTCCAACCGTTTGTAGTCACTGTATCGGCTATTGCTACACTCGCCCGAAGGCGACGATCGTATCAATCCTGCTTTTTACTAGTCTCCCTTGCAGCCGTTTTTTGGATGTCACGCAACGCTCCCCTTTTGGGGGAGGGTTGCGTGACAACCAAAAAACGGCTGCGAGGGAGACTAGCTTTTTACACGATATTCTGTGTTTAGATCTTTTACTGTGTTGCTTCATCGACGTTTACAGGTGCCCAAGTCGATCAGGAGCATAAAATTCACCCATCAAGAACTAGTAGCAGTCCTGAAGAAATCTGGAGACTTGGTGCATACCCCGTATCAATACTTTGGAACGGCATGAAGCTGTCAATGCTGGAGCCACAGTGGATACTGACTGCGGCTTGTACTTTAAATCCTTACAGTGAAGCGTTTGCTGGTTTACATCCCTCGCTTAAAACAATTACAAGAGTGGATGTTTCAAATAATAGGCTCTCAAAGCTGCCCATTGTGTTGTTTCAAATGCCTGCTTTGAAAACGCTCAGTGCGTCGGATAACGAAATCAATGGTTTGCCAAGTCTCTGGATTGGCGGACGCAAAGATGTTTCCTCAAAAAGCAGCTTAAAAGCTGGGAAACCTTACAGTTCGTGTGAAAACATTCACGAGAACTTAACCTTTGAGGAAAGCTGTCAAGATTTTACTTATGCGGAATCCGGCTGGAACTGTCCCCATTTAGAGGAGATTGAGCTTCATAAGAACTCGCTGACAACTGTTCCTGTCTGTCTTTTCCAATTGCCTATGTTAAAATACTTGAATGTTTCTTACAATGATATACAAACTGTACCATTTGAAATGTGGACTGCCCCTGCTCTCAAGACGCTGGATCTGAAAGGAAATTTTGTGAAGAAGTTAACCGTTTTGAAAATAAGAAAAAACGGAGGTGGATCAACAAATGGGAAATCTTCAACTCTGCCCCGTGCTAAAGTGCTCTCACTGAGCAAGGATAGTTTAGACTTCAGGTGAGGCCTCACTTTTACACATTTCAGTTCATTTTAGGTGAAACTGTATTAGCCTGCAGTGCAAGTAGGCTCACTTGTGCGAGTACGGGGAACGCCTTCGCGAGAGGAAAAGTGAAAACATCTTTTCTCCGAACTCGCACAAGTGAGTTTGCTTGCAGGCTAAAACTGTATAAATAATGCTTGCAAATCCCTAAGGTGCTAATATTGCTTTGATAGGTTGTCTGAAAACTACAGTCCAACCTGTTTTAACCGGTCATCCGTGGGGAACGGCTTACTTATCCTCCAACACACGTCGAAAACTCAGATTTGTTCCTTTAATTTCGAATGCTCATAACGCTACGAACATAACAGTCTTTCTCGATAATTATATTTTTATCTTTTTGTTCTTTTATTTTTACAGACAGTTAAATGGAACTTTGGATTCGAGCTCAGTTCCGTTGTCACGTGCCGTTACCCAAAATGATGTCAAACAACCACACCCCCTAAAGATGTTCCACCATAGTCAGCTATGGGGTACAAAACGTGGTGATGAAATTGAAGACTCGGACTCCGAAGAGGAAGACATTGATCCTAAAAAAGGATCCTCGTTGCAAAAGCTTGACTTGTCTTCTAACCAAATAACGAAGGTTCCTATCGGCCTGTCTTGCTTAGCAACCAATCTCGTCACGTTGATTTTATCCAACAATGCCATTTCCAATGTACCGTCCTTGGCGCTGTTTCCGCCGTCGCTAGGAACCCTAGATTTGTCTCATAATAATTTGACTGTGTTTCATCCTATAGCGGAAAAAGCTATTTATGGAAATGTTGCTGAACATCGATGTTACAGTGTGATTGAGGGTCAAAGACCGAGCCTGCGGCAGAGAAGGATAAGCGCTGAGAGTGGACTTCAAACTGGTGCAAAAATACGACTTTGCAGGCATTTGAAACATAGAACGTTGCCACAATTAAAGCGCCTCGATCTTAACAACAACAAGCTTGAAGAACTTCATTTTTCACTTCCTCGAAGTAGATCATCAACAGTCACGTCGTTTTCAGATAACGCGTCTGACAGCTCCAGAGGACCTAGGGTTCTTTTTCCGAGCTTACAGTCTCTGACGCTGAGTGACAACAGTGAATTTTACAATGTGCCTCGGGATATTGGAGTACTTTCCAAGCTTGGCTCACTGCATTTAAGTAGGACAAAGATCACACACCTCCCCCCTGAAGTTGGCTTGCTATCAGAGTTGTGGGATCTGCAATACCAGGGTCTGCAGCTTCAGGACATTGAACCCAGTGTTTTGGAGAGGAAGAAGACTAAAGATATTGTGGGATATTTAAGATCAGTTCTCGAAAGGTAAGCCGATGCCCTTCGTTAGAATTCACATATTTGAAATCTTCTGGAGTCTTTACATGACGTCACGTCCGCCCTTTTAGAGGGCGTAAGCAAAGACGACGGCGACGGCGACGAGAACGGCAAAACAACAACTTTGCACGTGCATCACGCTTTTTTGTACATTTCTTAGCCGTCGTTGCACGACTACAACGTGAAAATGCCTCATTTCAAGTTTTGTCGAGGACGGGAGCACAAGACAACAACTTTCTTTTTCTTTTCCTGAACTTTGATACAGTCCTTTAGAATTCAACTCCAAAAAAATTTGCCGGCTTTTGACGAATTAAACAAGATGGAATAAGCGCGAAAAAGTTTGAGGCAGCGCGAATTCACTTTTTAAGTGACGTTTTCGTAGCCGTCGCCGTCTTTGTTTCTTAAGCTCCCTATGGGTGTCCCAAAACAATGAAACGGTGACCATGTTGGTTTTCCAAGCCAGTCCTGTGGGAGTTGAACTCTTTTCTTATGTGAAAGCTTTCTTTTGTTTCAATAACCTTGCATAGATAGTGGTCACGTGAGTGAAAACTTTCCTTGGCGAAAAAGAAGAGAGACCTGGGCACGGGTCACGGCGTGAAATGCTGAAAACGGCTGAAATCCTACCCCATCCCCTCAAAAAGAAACTACTCACGCTCAAAATCGAGTTCGATTCTGTTCAACGGATTTCCACGTCTGTAAAGTAGTTCTCGCTCCGTCGCTCAACCAACCACTTTTTTGGAAAAGTTAAAGAATAAAGGAGAAAACAAGGATTTTATTTTAATGACCCGAAAAGCACATCTTGTCTTTTGAAAAAGTGAATGCAGTGAAGAATTCTCCTAACGCAATCACCTGTTGTTACTTCTTTAGCGTTGGTGAAGATTACTTGATTTATATAAGGGTTTATATGACTGTCCAAGAGGTCTGTTTTTTAGTGGTAGGACTTGGGTTCTAGCAACAGAATCAGATGTTTTTCTCAGTGGACCGGTCCGTCTTCTTACGGGGAGAAGGTAATGCCGGGGAACAAAATATTTATTTGGTCTTGTCGTAAAATGGTTCTGTATTTTCGATCCCAAGATCTGAGCCTCATCCGAGCATGAAACTTATGTTTGTTGGGGTTGCAAACATCGGCAAGACAACACTTTTGAATCAGCTGAGACAGGAGGGGACTGGTAGCTACCAGAACTCGCCTCCTGTTGGTTGGACAGAGAGAAAAGGCAAGAAGAAGAGAAGTGGATCCACAATTGGTAAGCCGTGAAGCACATAAACATGCTGGAAATTCACTTTTAAATGTTTTGGTTGTAGTATTCTTCATTGGCTTGAGTGGTTCTTTGTTTGCATTTTTTGTTGTCGGTTGTCGTTTGTAAAAAATGCGGCATAACATGCTTTAAATGCTTTTAGACCAGGCCATCCGAGGAAGATGTATGGCAATGTTGTAATAAGGTGGATCAGGAGTGTCTTAAACTTATGCCGTTTCGCGGCTGTGTAGTTCATTTTTGTTATTAGAGAGCTTTATATTTTAGGACGAGACGAGATTTAACTTGAAGTTCTTTCGCTGATTCTCGAAAAATGTTCAACTTGGAAAGCTTTCTTGTACTATTTTTCACCTGAAAAATCAGTGCGGTTATTTTTTATTAGAGAAGGTTTAGCCCTTTTCCCGGTCGCAAAATAATCAATCTTCTAAAGTGGATAATCGAGGATAACCTTTTCCCGCCACAACGACATTATCGCTAAAACTCGTAGTAGAGTGTCAACGGCTATCACGTTTTCCCGCCAAAATGTCGTTAGCTCACCTAAGAGCACTACTTAGTACAGAGAAAATCTCGTACTCGTAGTCGTCCTCGTCTCAGAAACTAAAGCTCTCTAATATTGCCAATTACATGTCCTTGTTTGCGATAGAAACTAACTTTAGAAAAGAAATTACCAGCAAATGACAAAATCACCACTTCTGGTCCGACAAATATGCCTCCTGGTAAGCATTCTTCAGATTTGCCAATCCGCGCTTTCTTTTGTAATAATACTATTGCTGTGTCATTTATACCTGTAATATTTTGAGCAGTCATTTTTATGTTTTATTAGTTTCAGTGGACTCTCACTGTTTGAATTTAGATATGTTTTCGTGACACAGCTACTCCCAAATGAAATTGTACCTGGGGAATTTTCTGACTGAGGGAAGAGTGACTTTTAGGAAGGGAAGTCGAGAACTTGTGTGTCAAGGGAGCGTACTCATATACTTATCACTGGCCAAAGCTTTTTGGGTCATGTTAAATGAGATTCACTTCTTCGCTTGCTCATTCCGTCAGCGTCTTACCTTGTTACCACCTGTCTGTTTTCCCTCTTGAGGTCGTATAAAGAAAGCTGATATTAACATCTCAACCGTTGGGGTGGATGTGTGCGACTGGATTTATCCCAAGAAAACAGACTTTGCCTTTGGCCGTGCGGACAACAGACCCAGTATCAAGTTTAGCACCTGGGATTTTGGTGGACAGGTGAGAGTCCGGCGTAGACTTGCTCACATGTAACGAACTGTGAAGCCGACCATAGTGCACGAAAAACGTGCGCAAATGGCGAGAAAAATAAAGCGAGTGGCCAGGGCTTCCTGTAGAATTTAGAGTTTACGCAACCACGACAGCGACAACAACGTGGTCGTTAGTAAAGCAGCAAGTTTAATAACCAAAACAACAACTCCTGCACCTCAATCACGCTTTTTGTACATTTCTTCGCCCCCTGCCCAATGCGCGACTACAACATGAAAATTTTCAGTGTGACTTTTTTCAGAGGGCGCAGGGTTTTCAATAATCACCGACGACCGACACAAGTAAAACACGTCGGCTACTTTGCTCAGAAAAGTCGGCCACCTTTCCCCCCTAAATTGGAAGCTGGAAATAACGTATTAAATTAAAGAAAGATTCTGTCAAAACTTATATTAAAGTTCAATTTGCTGAACCTAAACAGACTGCTTCAGATTTAAAATACTTAAGAAAAGTTTGGGACTTATTGTGCATTACTTGTCCAAATTGATCTAACATACGTTATCTTTTATACTCAATTTAGTGCCCAGAACGCTGGAAATCGCATTTTAGGGCGTTGAAATTTCGAAATTTTCAAGGGGTGCACGCTCCCAGACCCTTCTAGAAGAAGACGAGTAAAAGCCTTTTTTTGATATAGTCAGTTTAAGTTACTTTTTTCAAACCTGCTGGCTTCTTCAATATTTATTGAAACCCCTGAGGCGTAACCACTTGATGACAAATTTTTCTTTCCTTTTTTACATTTTGATGTGATCCCTTAAATTTCAACTCCATCAAAAGTTGCTTTCATTTGGCCAATTGAGCCTGCTGAAATAACCGCTATAAATTTTAAAAGAACGTAAATGCAAAGTTGCCGTCACCGCCATGGTGGCTTATAAAAATTCCCTAGTGTTTTTACACGACGTCAGGTCGGAAATAGTGGGTCGTATTGATCATGAAGACAATGAAATGGCGGCCGTATCGGTTTCATCGCTTGGCTGTCGAGTTTCCGTCAGCTGCTGCGGTCTTTAGCAAGCGAAACGACTGATTTGCCTTGGCTGCAGCATACCCTTAATAGCGAGTTCGAGATCGAGTTCAACTCAACGAATGTCCAGCTAGTTATGTCCTGCGAAGCCTCATACTTTCCTGTTGTTGAACAGCACGTAACTAAGATTGCTGCGATGATTGATTATCTTATATTGACGTGCGTGCATTGTGAGCTATAACTTTCATTTATTGACATGCCTTCATTTTACGTTGCAGCTGTACTGGCATGCGTGCATTCTATGTTGTAACTGCATTGGCATGCCTGCGTACTTTGTTGGAGCTATATTGGCATGCGTTCATTCTTTGCTATAACTTTATTGACATGCCTGCATTCTAGGCCGTACTTTAGTGGCATGCCTTCATTCTGCGTTACAACTATACTGAGGTAGCTGTATGTTGTAGCTGATATACGTGTGTTCAGTGTCATAACCGTTCTGACGTGCCTGCTTTCTATGTTTTAGCGAGAGTACTATGCTACTCACCAATGCTTCTTGTCTCATCGCTCGCTCTACATTGCCATGTGGAAGGTCACTGATGGAGAACAAGGTGTTAATGGAATTGAACCATGGCTACTAAATATTCAGGTTGGTTTCTCGTCATCGATGTGCCTTTTAGCATGTTCTTCTCCTTATTTAGGTCTTTAGGCAGACCATCCGGCGTGCATTATTATATGGGGAAAAAGTTGGATGAGGACCTATGAATGTTTGCTTACTGTGCAATTAATTAAGAGTTAAAGAGCTTTTTTCAATGATGCTCTATTTTGCTCAGTTGGGGGTTTTGATCCCGTTTCGAGTTAACCATGTTCGATGAATTGAGGCACAAACGACGCTTTTCTGTCTTGATATTTTGGTAATATATTCACGAACTCTAACAAGTTTTTTACATCTCTTTTATTTTAAGAGTGTGTCATTTAATCACGACCACCAGGCCGGATTCATGTCGTTGTTGCTGTCTTATTCAAATTTATCAACCCTATCGAGCCTGCTGAAATAACCGCTATAAATTTTAAAAGAACGTAAATGCAAAGTTGCCGTCACCGCCATGGTGGCTTACAAAAATTCCCTAGTGTTTTTACACGACGTCAGGTCGGAAATAGTGGGTCGTATTGATCATGAAGACATCTCGTTTATTTTAAGAGTGCGTCATTTAATCACGACCACCAGGCCGGGTTCATGTCGTTGTTGCTGTCTTATTCAAATTTATCAACCCTATCGAGGTTTAAACAACAATAACCCTAATCCGCAGGCTCGATTACCAGCCGCTGTCCAAACCAACCTCGTTCCCAGGGTTCTCTCTCCTACTCGTCCCTACGGAGTGAGAGAGGCGGGTAGGAGAGAGAACCTGAGAACGAGATTGTGCCCAAACGTGTGGACGTCTGCCTCCTCCCCTCGAAGAGGGAGATGAGAGACGTCCGTGGACCGCATGATTAGCGGCGCCGATACACACACGTTTCTTTCCTTAACGTTTTTTGAGGAGAGAAGTGCGATTGTTTACAGGCTACAGCTTTACGGGAAAGTAAGCAACGCGCCCAACTCCCCGCCCCACCCTCGGTGCGCCTCTCTCGGGGAGGAAGAAAGATCGGGCTCGAAATCTAGGATCTAGAGTGTGGAGGAAATAGAGCCTACCATTCTCCATGATATCCTTGAGGCTAACCCTGTAACAATATGTCATTTTACCCAACCGTCATTTATGACACAAAAAGGGGCTGTTTATACATTAATACTACCTTTTTTGTTTGGTTGTAGGCGCGCGCGCCAGACTCACCTGTCATCATTGTGGGAACTCATTACGATTGTCTGGAAGACAAAGAAAGACGGTCAGAGTATCTTCCAAGCTTGCGCAGTACGATATCAGAAAAATACCTCGCGGCCGAATATGGTGGCAGTGTTATGAACACACGGGAGCGAGGCTTACCAAAGGTGATGGCCATGATCGAGGTCAGCTGTAAGACTGGGTACCACATCCGGGAATTACGTCAACTCATCTACAACACGTCATTTGAGATTAAAGAGAAAGGTATACAATAATTATCAAATGACTAAGTTTGCTACGAAGAGATTGAAAACTTCAAGCCATTTTCTCAAGCCGTAACCTTTGACCTGAGCCGTTCCGCCACTTTTTTTTCAAATTTTCAAGTCATGAACCTTTCTCTTGGCTTTGTTTAGCCGTTGAGCTAATTGGTTGAAGACCTTAGGATGAGTCACCGATTTCAAGCACTCGCGACCGAAACACTCGCGTGTTGGGTAATGCAGTCACGCGGTAGAATATGCTAGAACTAAGCTAGGGTTGTCAGTTTTACTTGTCAGAGACTTACAATTCACCAGTATGCCTTTAATTCACTAAACTCTTTTTTTAATAAACAGGTTGTAATTGTTTGAAGATGGAAACTACAAACTTGTTGGCGTCGTTTTTCAAATGTTTTTGCTCGCGAGCGAAACATTTTCAAAGAAAACAATCTGACTCTCAATAGAAAACAGCTGTTTTATACCGGGGTGGTTTTGTGTTTGTTTCTTCTTACAGGAAGCCGTGTTCCATTACTCAAGACTCCCATTCCAGCCAGTTATATTGCAGTGGAAGAAGCTGTTTGCGTGATCCGCGAAAGATGCTATCGTGATGACCAGACACCTGTATTCAAATCTGAACAGTTCAGGTGAGAACTTAGATATTTAAGGTGGCTGCATCATTTTTTCGAAGATTTGCACTTATTTTCGTAAATTGCGATCTCTAGACCTACTTCAAACTGACAATGCAAAGTATTTCATCGAAATAAATTACAGCAGCACAACAAAGAAGCGATTGAGAGTGAGACTGAGATTGAGAATCTTTATAAAAGTGGGAGTTTTTTTAAGCGGGTATATCCCAAGTCAATCCGTTCCCGTCTTCAGTTTCGCTTATCCATGCACGTTATTGTCTTCCATTATTTCTTGTTTTCGCCTTCAGTATTATGCTGTTATTTTGTTATGTTAGTTAATTCTGATACCAGTTGTTAAGTGGAGACCAGATGTTTAGTGGTGAAATAGAGGAGAAGTCTTTACGTCACGTTGCCATGGTAGCAAAATTTTTGGATCACAGCAATATCTCTATTGTCTAAAATGCTTTACCTAACCTCCTCGAACATTCATATTTCAGCTTATACTACTCAGGTCGTGTATCCATGGGTAAAGCTAAGTTCTATTCAGCTTCTATTCGCGCATCTGTGGTCTTCGCAATAGCTTATCCCGCTCATGAATTTCATACAAACATCTTATTTTGTTTTTATTTATCGTTAACTTGTAGTGCTGCAGTTGAAGCTGAGCTCTCCAAAAAACAGATTCAGCTGCGGGGCCCTGAGGAGCTGCAACAAGCAACAAGATTCCTCCATGACAATGGTAACGCATATCTAAGGGCTTACAATTTCAGATGAAGCACCTACGTTATTTACTCAAATAAGCGCCGCGTTTGGGACAAAAGGTCAATAAGTGCCGGCTCCGAATAAGCGCTGCGGCTCCCATTTGATCAAAATAAAAATGATGTTAATTCTGTTAGTTTAATATGGAAAATTATAATACCGTAGATAAAATAATTCGTGTGTCTTGTCCTACTTTCTATTATAACCGCCGCGGCGCTTATTCGAATAAGTACGGTATTGCTTGTAGAGGTAGCGCATCGACGTAGTGGTTATTTTTCTTCCAATCCTGATCGAAATTTAAATTTGGAAGAGGGTAAAACCGGAGTACCAGGAGAAAAACATCTCGACCGACAACAAATTTTGCACTGAAACGCGACCTCTAGCATTCCTTCAAGATTTTCGCATGTTACGTGCGAGCGAGCGAGCATGCGAGCGAGCGAGAGAGAAGACGAAAAGAGAAAGAGAAGACAAAAGAGGTTACAGTCCCTCCTCCTCTTTCTTCTTAGCCTGCGTAGCTGGCAGAATTGTTTTTGTGTGTGTGAGAGAGTTTTGGCGTTGAAGCGGCCATTCTTGCGGCCCTCTCCACACGGCTTCGCAGCTGTTCTGCCAAAACTTTGATCACGCTAACGATCTAGTCTGAAGTGTCAGTGTATCCCGCCGGCTACGCGGGCTATTTTCGTCTACTTCCTCGCGCGTTTCCTCGCTCGTAAGTAACATGTTCACCCGTGTGGCAATCTTGAGAGAGGCTAGAAGTCTAGACTGCAATGGATTAATAGCCATTGAATGATGAAAGGAAATAGAAAGAATCAGCTAGAACCAGTTTTATTTAAGACGGCATGGATCATTAATTCTTTTCGAAGTGGTATCTTTCTCCATCCTAGCCGTCCATGACCGAAAGTACTTCTGCAAACTTGTCGTAGTGTCCTAGGTCATAATTGGTATTATTATTACTTTAATTTACAGTCTATTGACTCTGATATTTGGATGATTCTTTCATAACAGGTGTTTTGCTGCACTATGATGATCCCCTGTTACGTGACTTGTATTTCTTGGATCCTCAATGGTTGTGTGACATGCTAGCACATGTGGTCACCATCAGAGAAGTTAATCCACATATTAACAATGGTAAGACCAAGTCGTTAAATTAAAATAGTGAAGATAGTCAGGCTCTCTTAGAAGCTACTGACAGCTGGGCTTTCAATATAGATCGCGGTAATGTAAATGCAGTGGTTTTCCCGGACCTGGAGAAAGCGTTTGATACCGTTGATCACGTCTGTTCTTTTAGCGAAACTAAGTCTGTACAGAATACAGGAGACTGCTTACGATTGGTTTAAATCGTATTTAAATAACCGTACCCAGAAATGTGTTGTTAATGGTTCGCTTTCCAAAGTCTGTTCTTTGGCTGTGGGGTCCTCAGGGGACTATCCTATCGAAGCTGTTTTTCTGGTCCGGTTTCAAGCCCCCCCTCCCCCTGTTTTAAAGCCCCCTCCTAAAACCCCCTTTCGAAGATGTGTGAAAACCCAAGGCTTATCAGCGGCAGTTTACGGTACGACACAATGCGCACGCGTTGTGGCCCCACAATAACATTTGGTGTTGGTTTCCCGCCTGCAGGTGTAATGAAGCGATCGGACTTGTCCCAGATCTTTCGCAGCGAGCGCTTCCCGGCCAATCTAATGAGTCAGTACGTTAACCTGTTGAGCAAGTTTGAAGTGGCCTTACCCTGGAGTCCTGAGTTTCTACTCGTCCCGTCCCTACTCCCCGACAGCCAACAAGACACAAACCAGCCCGTGGCAGCCGGTGTCAGTAAGAAAGTGGCTCAAGCAATGCATATGACGGCATATACCAGGGGCAAAGTGTTGCGAAGACAGTATGTCATGTCTTATGTTCCTAGTGGCTTCTGGCCTAGGCTGATTACCAGGTGAGAAATCTTAATACTATATAACACAGACCTTTACTGAAATTCTTAGTCGAGGACAACTACGAGAACTAGATTTTCTCAATGCTAAGTAGTGCGCACGCGTGAACCAGCCTTCATTTTGGCGGGAAACCGTGGTAGCCGTTGTCATTCTACTACGGGTTTAAACGAAAACGTCGAAATGACGGAAACTAGTTATGAAATGTCAGAAGTTTTATGATTTTGCGATCGGTAGAGAGCTTAACCCGGCTTCTAGTGTAAAAAAGTAAAATGAAGCTTTATTGGTTGTCTATTTTTTGAGAATACGCCAAAAAACCTTTAGGCAGCAATCGGTCTCGTAATCGTTCTCGTCCTTGATTCTAAGGTCCCTAGTCACTGCAAAAGCGTCACATGGAACGTTCTTGTTGTATGCTGTTAGTATGTAAGTCTAACCAAAGTTGCCAAAGGGTGCTATTTTGTACCCTGGGAAAAAGGAAACGAGTCGCGGCATTAGGTCGAGAACCTGTCGCAAACCGTTTACCCGGTTAATAGCCCTGTTTAATTCCAGGAAGAACTTGCTTCTTGAACGAGAGTAATTTAACTTAATAGACCTATTCACGATACCCGCCATCTTTGAACGCACTTTAGAATTGATGGGATAAAAACAACGTCACTGGTACTGGTATACCGGAATAAGTTACTGAAAACAATGCTTACAGCCTCCGCTTACCAACTTACCAACTTATCAACTTATTTCGATACGCTTTCGTTACTATCTTGTAGCCTGGAACACAGGGCGCAGAGGAGTAATTTGTGACCTTGACTGCAGTTAAATTGTACAGTTAATAGCGTAATTCGCCTTTGTTAATGAAGAAGAGAAGAAGAAGAACCTTTATTAATTTATACCGCTCAGGGTAGCCCCTTCAGACGCAAAAAGCTGTCTGTTATCAATGGGAGCCCTGAGCAACAACGCACAAAAACCACACTGAACATATAAACATTACACTAATACAGGTAATAATATAAATAGAAAACTATTTTCAATTAAAAGATTAAAAGATGTAAAACACGGAATATCAATAAGATAATTCGTTAAAAAGAGTGCAACCATAATAATAGAAGGATCTTTTTGCAATTTCAGTTCTCACAGCAGGCGGATGTAAGAGGTTGCTTTGTCTAGTAGCGCGCGCATGGATTGTATTATTACGTTTAAAATATCGTTTAAAATACTGGGGACATTGACCTTGCAGGCATTTCTTAACGAGTTTAAAAACAGATTGACGTCGGCGCTCCTCCAAGGTGGGCCATTTCAGAACGTCCAATGCCTGCTTGCTGCGCACAGTACAAGCCACTATCCTAGCAGCCCGGTTTTGGAGGGCTTCAAGGTCTTGTTTACGACCTTCCCCGCAACAGCCCCACACACTTACACAGTATTCTAAAATTGGCCTAATTAGACTACAATACACTACATTTGCACTCTCTCTGTAGAGTCGAATATGGTGAATATGAACTTGACCGATCAAACCGTCACACTTACAAACCTGGTAAAATACTATCCAGTGCTCGGTGGGAGTATCGAATGACGGTTTGCTCGATTCAACAGTATAAAAACAAAGGCGATGCGCGGTATCGACTTTAAAACTTAACTACAATCAACAATCAAGGTCACAAATAACTCCTCTGCACCCTGTGCCTGGAACAGGCTTTGCCGTTTTGTTTTGTCCCAGCCCCAGTGCACCTCTCGTTCTCCAACATGGCGGTTCTGTTACACGTGAATGACTAGCTTTAAAGAGCTTATAACGTCAGGTTTGTTAACCAGCATTGCACTTGTTTTCTCTTCAGAGTGATCCCTGATGAGCGAATCTTTGATACTGTCAAATCATGTTGTGAGCTGTCTCTTGACGGGCCAGTACAAGAGGGAGACAGAGATAAACTTGCCGTCGTGGCCCAGCCCGAGTGGTCATGCTGGAAGACTGGGATAGAGTTATCATGTTTTGGTGTTAAGTTGCTCCGGATATGTGAGTTGGAGGAAAAACCATTTTTCGGAGCTCCAGGTCAGTGGCTTGAGTAGGGGGCTCAGTTAAGCAACGCTGACGGCGATGGCAACGAAAACGTCAAGAAGCAATCAGTTTAGGCTATGTTCATATTGTTACCGGACAGCTTTTACACCTCCACGAAAATCTTACCGGGTAGAGATTATGTTCGCACACAAGGACGGTGACTTCGAAAATGCGCCACGCCGATCTCTAAAGTGGAGAGTCACATATCGGATATGTGTTCATACAATACCGCATAGGTTTTCGTGTCCGCACGAAAAGCTATCGGATATACTGTGAACAAAGCCTTAGGCCTAGAGCAACCGTCAAACTTTTTATGAGACGAAACAAATTCTAATTTGGGTCGACCTAACCCAGTTAAGATCGTCTATTGGGTCAGATGTCGAATTTAGGACGCGTCGAACCAATCAACTGAATTAGTCGGCTTTTGTCCACATCCTCCGCAAAACATGAAATTATGACGTTTCACATCGTAGTCGTGCAACGACGGCATAGAAAGGTACCCCCCCTCCCCCTCCTAAAAAAAAAAAAAAAACGTAAAGCGCGTGCAGATTTTGCTAATCTAAGGCCTCGGCGAAACCTTGGGACATCTGAAGATCATCTACGGGACAAACGTCGATCTTCACATGCGACTAACTTAACTAAAAAACTAAAATTGTATCATAATGTATATTTAGCCACACCATTCGGGAGAAAACTTAGTACTATTTTCGTTTTCTTTGTCTTAACTTAGTTACAGTTCCTCAGAATTCGTCTCCAGAAAAAATCGCCTACACCCGACAAGTTAAACGAAACGGAATAAGAGCGATGAACTTTGAAACAGCGGGAATTTAATTTTTTTAAAGTGACATTTTCATCGCCGTGGTCGCCTTCGTGGTTGTTTAAGCTCCATAGTGTTTATAAAGGGAAGGCATGAAAGAGCTGCACAAGTGCTTTCATCTGAATCGTCACACTTACAGCTTCAACCAGCTTACTGAACAGCTAAAACCTCCTTGTTTGCGATCATAAACGGCATCGTACGAGACTTCTGTTTTCTCAAAAACTAGTCAGGACGTTATTCACCGACTTAAAAGTTAGAGGCGTCTTTTAATGAAGCAACAGCCCGCACTTTCTATTGGTTTACCGGCGAAATATCCCACGCGGGAACGCGAGGAAAGCTTTTAATTTCGGTTCGTAATTTACAAGCCTTTCGAGTGTTCACCCAGCATCCCGCGTGGGCTATTTCTCTGGTAAACGAATAGAAAGTGCGGTCCATTGCTTTTATAAAATAACTCTAACTAATACACATAGTATTTTCAGGCCAAAATATGATTTACAATGCTGTGGTCACGTTGTGGATTCTCTTAACATTTATAAATTTACGCACAGAAGCCGATCAACTTGCAGGCCCTAATTTTTCAAACGTTGGATGGCGTTATCCACCGGATAAATCACTATCCAGTGGATAAGTATTGATGAAACCAGTTGGCTTATCTACTAAATAGTGGTTCATACAGTGAATAGCGTTACTGACCTTTTGAACAACTGGGGCCAGACGGTGACATCGCGCCAAAGAAATCATTTTGAAACGAGATTTCTCAAAGCTTTCTTTCTATTAAGCAGGTTTATCCCATCAAGCTTACGTCTCGCTCTGTTTTTGTTTTCTTTGTTAGACGGTGTGGCGACTCCTTTGCACTACAGAGGTGAGGCACACAAGGCTTCTTGTTACTCGACTATTGAAGTCATCACACCCTGTATAGGCATCAGCATGGAAAAGTTTGAACAGCGCAAGAAAACGGCACCAAGAAGGATGAACCGAAGCAAACCAGACGACGGTAAGTATCAAGTCAAACTGGTCTACGACGACCAAGTGTACATAGCCTGCGAGCAAGCTCTCCTATTTGGGCGAGCGAAGCGAGTCTCGCGAGAACGCGCGAGCGAGCGGCCTCTCGCGCGGCTCGCTTCGCTCGCCCAAATAGGAGAGCTTGCGCGCAGGCGCATGAGAATAAAAAAAGAATTATAATATCAATGGCTTCACACTAAGCATCGCTTTGAAACAGAGGGAGTTTTTAAGCAAAAATAGGGAATTTAAGCACCAGACGTTCTTGATTCACGAACAGCATGGCTGGCCGCGCAAAACTGGATCGGGGACGCGGTTTGCGTGCCAAATGCAAATGATTAAGCAAAACAACGTGAAACCATCACGAACGCTGACAGAATAATTCAGTTGAAAATGTCTTTCAAAGATTTGCGTTAAGTTTTTTTTCTTTCTTACGAACAAAACGGGATTTCAAACGAAGAATTTCTGCCTTTGTATGCCAAATACTCTTCGAAGAACCCAGAATTTGAACCTCTGGTTTCAACCTGAGAACTTGCGTTTTGAAGTCCGTGACCGCAGCTCAAGGACGTCTTGACATGGGCAGTGGCTGTCGTGCTGCAAAAATACTTCCGCTTGGCGTCTATGGTGCCTAGAACGTCTGGTGCTTAAGTTCCCTAACGTTTTTGAGCGACGCATGTCAACTGGAAGTGAGTCGTTTTCCCTTTCAATAGCTGTGGTCACACTACAGACTTTTTACCTGGGTAGTCTCGACTTGTTGACAGTTTACCTAGGTAAACTTCATTTTTTAAGTGTGACCGATTTTTCCCCAGGTAACTTACCTCGGGAAAATTTTATCGTCTGGGACTTGAATATGTCTCGAGAACAATAGAGTTTCCCTTTGACAGCTACCCCAAATCGCTAGCTAGGGAAAAATGAAATACCGAGGTTGCTAGCCAATAGACGCTCATCGGCGAAGGTCTTGATGACAGAACTGGACATAGCTCACGCTGTGAAAAACTCTTTTTGGGCACGAGTCGTCTACGTCCTTTCCCTGTCTTCACATTGCACGTTAAATTAACATAAGAAATAACAGCGAGATAAAAAAGAAAAAACGTCTCTTTGATCGGCTAGATCCCTGAGCATCTTGCCTTCTTGAATTTACGCGCCAAAAAATTCAACTGTGCGTGAAAACCTTGGGAGCCGATATCAGTGGTGTGACCTTCTTAGAATTTTTTACCTAGGTAAAATAAAACCCGAGATGAATTGACCTCGGGAAATTTTTGATGAATTTGGCCTAGGTGAATCTGTTTTACCTGGGTTAAGTCTGTAGTGTGACCACAGCTAATATGACAGCTAACAAATTTGTATTGCCGCGTGTCTTTTCTCTCATAGAGACCATTTGCCCGAAAACGTGGTCAACTTCACGAATTTCAAATTTCACGTTCGAGGAGCTGATGTGGGGCGTGATTTTGCGTGAAATGTTGGAGTGTTTAGAACACGTTGCGTGCATTACTGCAGAGTTGAGCCCTTCGAGTGAAACACGTTACGTGCAGTGTTGCTTTAATGTTGTAATCTGTGTCCCAACCTAACAGACAGTGAAAAGAAACAAAAATCGAGTAAGGTTTCGAGTTGACCTTTACAATTGTCTCCGCAGATCACAGGGAGGGTTCAAAGTTGGTCGGTTTTAAAGTGAAGTCGGTTTCAGACTGTAACATCCAATCAGCTGCTCGCCTGGTCGCCATCATTGCGGAACACATGGATACGCTGATCACTGATTGGTTCCCAGGCCTTGATGCTGTCACGGTCCAGGGACGTCGCTTGGTTACTCGGCTCATACCTTGCCCCAATTGCATCAAGACGGTGTGTGGAGTGGATCAGGAAGGGACTGTAACGGAAGATGAGGGTGCGGTTCCTGTGCCGGTGCTTTCGTCGAGTCAAGACAGCGGTGTACATTTATCCACTGATGGCAGTAGCGCAAGTACATCACCCTGGCCGAGTCCTGTGCACGTTGCTAAGAAACCAGAGGCTAATGGAATAGGTATGGGTTAAAACAACCTGCGTGATAATGCACTGCTAACTGCTAACAGCTTGTAGTGCGTTCTACTGAGTGATCGTATTCCGGAATCAGAATGCACAGATAGATAGTTACAAACCCCTTCTCTTGTGTTATTGGAGTCACTGGACTGCTACGGAGTCCGGCATATTTGTAGTTAAGCGACTTGCAGGCATTCTAAAGTTGTTAATAAGCCATTTGTAGCTCCCGCAGTCACGTGACCTCTATTTTATAAAAACTGTGGGAGACCAGAATTAAAAAGAGCATGAAAAGGTAAAATCACACTCTTTTATCAAGAGTATAAAACCTAAATTTTGGCAGTGTCACTTTATATTTTTTGTGCTCTTTCAATCTATGACATTTTTAGGGTTTTATCAGATAACTTCGGCGTGAGAAGGGCAACGTGACATCACCTGCCAAGGACTATAAGAGATTTAAACAATTTTATTCTAAGAAATGTTTCGTCTTTTACCCAGTCCCCTCAAGCAGCCGGCTACCTCAGGAACTGATCAATGGTTCGCCGAAGCTTCCTATGCGCGATCGATCATTCTCTGAGCCTGGCAGATTCACTTTTGGTTCTGTGAGCAGTGGACTGGTCACTGAGGAAGAGAGCTCGAGTTGTTTTGACTACACATCGGATCAGGTGGGTTGGTTCGATGTTGCCATGGTTACCATTTAAAGGGGCTGTGTCAGGTTTTTTGGTATTGGCTTAGAACGCTAAAACACATTGGAATCAAAGACAACCCTGAAATAATTGTTCCGTTTAGTCTTTAGCTTTTCGTTGGCCAACATAGAATTGGATTGCAGCTTGGCAAGAATGGGCTAACTTTTTCAAGTTAAATTCCTCTGTTGTGAAAAAATTTCCAAAAACCGATCGTACCTTGTTTTCTCTTTGTTAGAATCATTTGATATCTCTCTTTTAGAGTTCCCAGTATATCAAAAAAAGACTGACCGAACGGAGCCTAACGGGGATAAAAATCGAGGATGGCTGCTATTTTGTGTGGTACACAAATATACCTCGTTTTTTCGCAAGCTACTTGCCTCAAACCTTGTGACATGTTTAATGATGATAATAATAATAATTTTGATAATTTTAATAAAACATAATACTAATACTTTGTTAAAATCTTATTTAAACTACATACAAAACTTTAGTAAAAAATTCATAAAAAAAAAACGTCCATATCAATACAAATTTCCGTCAAAGCCCCTTCACAATTCAAAATTCCAAGAAATCACATAGAGTTATAAAGAATCAAGTCAAAAGTCCCAGTGGATGGCATAAACGTCAATGTTCTGATTTTTCATAATACGGATAAGGTTCTGGTCCATGAGGCGAGATACAAATCTATTGCTATTCATTTTCAGTACCAATTTCCCGATAAAAAGACCTAACTAAAGAAAAAAATTCCATAAAAAATAAAAATAATGCCTTTGTTAAAAACAAAGCTAACTATTATTATTAATATTATTGATAATGATATACAAGTGCTAGGAGCATTTAACAAAGTCTTAATACTCTTACAGGTAATCATCAAAAAATATGAAATGAAATTTAACAAACCGGTACTTTATAAAAACTACTATAAAATTAGACGTAGACATAAAAAATGAAAAAAGAAAATAGCTAAAAAAGATAGGTGTTCAGTTTGGTACTTAAAGCTACTAAGACGCGTTCTCCGTATGCTTGAAAATCATGTGATATCACACACGTTTTGGGTTTTTACTAGCCTGCGAGAAGAGCTCTTCGGAGCGCTCTGGCGGCGGGGCGCGAAAAGGAAGGAGGGCTCTCAACTACGTCTCTGGAATTTGACTTCCACCTCCAATTCCCCTGTGGCTTCCCGTCGACTGAGCTGTCAGATTTCCTCCAATTAGCGCGAAGCGGAAACGAGCGCGAATGTAAACATACATTGAAAAACACGTGCCAAGGGTAATTTCATCTCCGCCAATCAGAATTTTGCATCGACTTTTTCGATGCAGACCTTAAGATTAAAGAGACGTAGTTGCAAGCGCTTCTTCCTTTTCCCGCCCCGCCGCTAGAGCGCCCTGGAGAGCTTGCTCGCGGGCTAGGTTTACTTTTTATTAGCTTTGTTAGCCCGGCGGTGTTTACACAATTCTAGTGGTTCTTAGTTTTTTCTTGCTAGAAAGTATCCACGCACACCTCACGTCGAAATCCGACCTCCTCTCCCTCCCCACCAGAAAGTAAAATGCTTTAAGGATTGCAAGTATAGTGAACAGAAAGTACATATTTAAGTAACAGCCTAAATGCGTTTGGTGTGCACTTTTACTAAATTCATCGCAAGTTGTGTATGTATAGCTCTTTCTACTGAGTTTAACTTGGCCTGCGCGCAGACGTGTACAACAAAGAAGAATGGAGACATCTGCACGCAGACTAAGTGTAACTGTATTCTGCTCCTTTTACAGAGTACTGACAGTCGGGGCAGCCTCGGTAGTGAAAACAGCTCCCCCGAGAGAGGTGTGGTCAGACGACGGAGACAATTCGGCAAAGGTCGTGGTGCACGTGGAAGCAGCGAGAGTGACGAAAGTAATGTTGTGGATACGAACACAGCCGAGCAGGAAAGAACAAGTTACGAGGAACCTCTCTTGCAAGGTACATTATGAAGCTATGTACGAGCGAAATAGACCTTCTTCAAGATGCCCGCCCTCTTTGCTTGCGCTTTAGGATTGATAGGATAAAAGCAATGTCACGTGGTATTTCAGGGGGCAAACAAGTGATAAAAATTGCCGATACCAGTAATCGCGGTCCAGTCAGTTTATTCTCTCAAAATGAGAGGACGATTTAGTTGTCTTGCAAAATGCGTAGTTTTGCAACTGCATCTAAAAAAGGAACAATTATCATTTCCACCCAGAATTTGCCATTATCATGTGACTTGGCTTTTATCTCATCACTCCTTTAGTGCGTGCAGTGATGGCGGATATAGTGAATAAGGTCTATTGTAGGGGAAAATCGGTGAATAAGGTCTATTGTAGGGGAAAATCGGAATACCCCCTAGAAACTTGCTCCTTGTCGGGGCAGTTCCAGCTGTTGTTTTATTCTGATTGGCCAGCAAATGATTCTGTGTTCAAAAAGAAAAGGCAAGAGGCACGGGAAGCAAATGAAGAGAGGGCGGACGCGCTGTCCGCTTTCTCCAGTCCTCGCCCGTTCACTTTCTTCACTCTCGCTTTTCCTTTTGTTCTTAACTTTCTGACTAAATAGGGAGCTTAAACAACAACAACAACTACGACAGCGAAAGCATTGCTAAAAATGAATTTTCCTCCTTTCAAATTTCATATGCTGTAGCAACGAAGACGGCGACGCTAACGGAAATGTCAAAGAAAAACTAAGTTCAACTAAGCAAAACAACAACTTTGCATGTGTAGCACACCTTTTGGCACATAACTTTGCCGTCACTGACGGACCACTACGTGAAATTTCCTTATGCGACGTTTTATGGAAGACGAAACACACGGTGTGAATTCTTTCTCTTTCTGAACTCAGGTTTCCAAGAATTCAACACCAGGGAAATTCTGCCGCAATTCTCTAAGCAAGTTGAAATAAACGCGATAAAGTTTGAAGAAAAGCAAATGCATTTTAATGATGTCGTTTTTGCTGCCGTCCCCATACTTGTTGCTAAAGCTCCCTATGAGAGCCTGGAACAGGCCAGGAAAACACATTGTTGTCCTTGGTATCATTAACTATTCATCCTATTTCAATCACACTTTTTGTCCACAGGAAGCAATGACAGCACCACCAACAACTTAAATAACCGCGAATCTCGTCAATACGGCTCGGCAACCAGACCTCGTCCCACCCAGGGCGAGACAGTTGTGTACTCATTCGAGTTTGAAGATTGTGTGCTTGCTGCGTACAGATCCCAGCCTGTGGAATGCACTGTGCATGGTCGATTGGAGCTCAGAGAACTGGCACCCGACGCTGTAAGTATCAGTTCCTTGGCGCTATGTCAAATCTAGTTCAAATCTAAGGATAGTTTGAGCTTCATCGCGTCAACTGTCTTAGTTTAAGCTTCACGTACACGGCAAACGGCAAACGTCAGATTCAAGTTGAGAATTTCTCAAAATGAAAAATGAGCAGTTAAAAACAGCTGAGAAAATTCTTGTGGATAAAAAATTTCGCCAAACTACTAGTTTATGTGTAGAAATGACGAACAGTTGGCGAGAAGCAAAAGGAAAACTTGGTCACGTGGTAAAAATTCGCGTTTGCTGTTTGACGTAAACATGATTCTTAACCTCCCTCAGTACTAACACGGCAAACGTCGCGTAGAAAAGATCGAGCGCTGAATTAGGTTACTTTCGTTTGGAGTTCCTGTTTGCGGTTTGTCACTAAATTGTCAAGTCCGAATTTCAGAAAAAGGAGTATTCTGTAAAAGAGAACTCAGACCTTTTTCCGAGACGCCTGTGTCACCGACCGAAAGAGAAAACATCATTTATCGTGTCTTTTTTTTTTCCGCAGTCTGCCCCTGGAAGCAAAACAAACTCAATACGATCTGGCTTCGCGTCCAGGCCTGAATTTATATTTTTACATTTTCAGATGTTTGAGGATATTGCTCCAAACCTGAATATCCAAGCGTCTCACATTACACGGGGCAAGTTTCTCGGCAAAGGAACATTCGGTTCAGTTTTCCGCGGAGAACTGAGGCAGATTTCCGGTAATTCAATAACTATCGCCATGAAGATGCCGCTGAACAATGAAGTTGGAGAAGATGCACTTCCTGAAGACATTCAAATGGCTGAAGCAGCAAGAAAGCGGTTAGACGCAAACCCAACTATGGAGCTTAACGACGCGTATAGGTGAGTGAAATCTAAAAGGAGGTTCGTTGCTAGGAAACTGTGATGCTGCGTGGCTGGGGAGATAAGGGGGGGTGGGGGGGGGAAAACACAAAGAGTTAAGTTGGTAAATTTAGTTTGTCCAAACGAGAATAGGGACCATAAGATCCGACGACGGCGACGGCAACGGGAACGCCACAAAAGCAATAGGTTTTTGTACATTTCTTTGCCGTCACTGCACGACTACGACGTGAAAATGCCTAATTTCCCGATGTACAGAGGAAGTACACAAGCGACGACGAAATTTCCTCTCTCTCTCTCTCTCTCTGAACTTGAATATGGTTCTTAGGAATTCAGCTTTAGGAGGGTTCGTCTACATTTGACAAAGTTAGTGACTTGGAGTAATCGCTATGAAGATTGAAAGAACGCGAATTCACTTTTTCAGCGACGTTTTGTCCGCCGTCGCCGTCCTCGGATCTTAAGGTCCCTAATAATGGAACGGAGACGGAATCTTAAGGTGTTGTCTCGGATATGTGAATTTAACTAAACTTATTTTTAGAGGTTGTAATCAAACGGAAACCTATTCCTGTCACATTTTAATCGATTGTTTGAAACCTCATCAAGTTCGCGCTCCACTGTCTCAAAGCAAACGATGCAGAATATTGTAAAGGCGACTGTTGAATAGACCATTTGCATGATGGCGTCATTTTACTACTTTGACCTGGATCCTTCAGAGTTTTGCTTTCTTGTGCAAATTAGGGCTTTTGTTATTTATACCTCACTGGGGCTACCAACTTTGAATATGAAAAGAAAAACGAAAAGAATTCTGGTCACAGTAGTAACATGAGGCCATCGTGCAAATGGTCTATTCTCTCTTGACAGCACTGAATAAAAGTTTGCGGACCTCTCTGGAAACCGAATTCCAGTTAATTTCTACAATCCTTGACAAAACTACTTGCGAACATTCTCCCCTTATTTTGCGCGATCCAACGCAGCAAAACCATTTCCAAAACAACACACATGTCCAAACCAACGACTCAGCAGAAAGAAATCCTCTTCCCCCAGTTCACTGTTGCTTCCTACAAACGCCCAGGGATCAGACTTTCTTTTGAAGACGCAACAACATTGCTTCCAGGGGGACGGGGAGAGGGAAGAATCGGTACAGCTACGGTGATTAGAAAAATGCTCTTCAAGTATGCAATTTTCTCAACAGTTTTGTCCAAGATTGTAGCGTTTATTGGAAATTCATATCAGTCCCAAGGGCTAGACCGGGCGTTTCCCTCTCTTGATTCTCACAATAAAGCAATCCAAATCCGCAGTTTCGGTCTTTAGAATTGACTGATTGTTAAACTTGATGATTACTGATTAATCAATAGTTCGACAGATAGATTTATTTATTTATTTTGGTTCATACTGTGTTGACTGACTTATTGAAGGACTAAGTGATTTATTGGTTGAGTGACTGATTGATTGATTGATTGATTAAATGACTGATTGACTGACTGATTGAAAGATTGACTGATCGATTAAATGATTGATTAAGTGAATGGAGAACTGATTGATTGATTGATGATTGGTTAAATGTTTGATTGATTGATTGAATGATTGATTGAATAACTGATTGGTGGGTTGATTGATTGATTGATTGATTAATTATATTGTAATTGATTGAATGAACGATTTAATAATTCATCAATTGACTGATCGATTGATTGACTGATTAATTGATTGATTGATTAACCGACTGACTGTGACTGATTGATTGATTGATTGATTGACTGTTTGACTGACTGACTGATTGATTGATTGATTTGTTGAATGATCGATTGACTGATTGATTGACCGTATGATTTATAGGACGGTGCGTCAGGAGATGTCCATTCTTCTTCCGTTGAGGCATCAGAACGTCGTGTCGTTGCTAGGTTACTGTCTCAACCCATTTTGTATGGTCTTGGAATTCGCGCCTCAAGGGGCCTTGGATCAAGTGCTTGCCAATTATAAAAGAGCTGGAGTACGTCTAAATGCTTACGTCATGCAGAAGTGTATTGTACAGGTAATTACTTTTTATATTTGAACTTGTGGAGCGTTTGAAACAAGAATTTGAGTGCTAAGATTGTTACGTAGTCGGGATTCTAGATCTAGTGGACCGCAACCTACATCCAAATATCCATTTGTCGGCCAGAAGGACTGGATTTGGGTGCAAGTGCGAAGCCTTTCAGTGATAAGAAAATGATTTTTTTTATTTTCACGCGAATAAAACTCATTTTTAAATGAATATATGATCGTGTCAGAGTAATTGCAAATTAAGCAACTACAAATTAACCCGAAAAAAATTTCGGGACTTATTTATTTACTTGTTTGTTACTCACATAAGTGTACAGAAAACAAACTTAAGCGACAGAATGGCTATCAATGAGATAAACGAACGATCATCGCAGTGGTAATTGCGATTTAAGCAATTGCAAATTAAACCACTAAAATATACACTTTTTTTCTTCTTGCTCCAGTGTGCTTCAGCCTTGAAATATTTGCATCGTCATCACATCATCTACCGTGACCTCAAGTCGGAGAACATCTTAGTATGGTCGTTCCCAGCTCCCACCAGCCCAGATCAGACCAATCACCAAGTCACCATTAAGCTCGCAGACTACGGTATCAGCCGGTCAGCGGCACTAGCTGGAATGAAGGGTTTGGGAGGGACACCCGGTTTTATGGCCCCCGAGATCGAAAAGTATGTCGGGAAGGAGCTCTACACTGACAAAGTGGACTCGTTCTCGTTTGGGATGTATATCTACGAATTAGTAACATTACATCAGCCTTTTTGTGATCTCAACCCTGCCCAGGTTAAACAGCTTATTGTGGAGGGACTCCGGCCACCATTAACAGCTAAGGTTTGTCAATGTTTTATTTTATATGAGGTAAGATGGGCATGGTGTTTGGGGGGAAAGCACACTAGTTGATTAATTAAACAGGAGGGCCTGTTTGTCCCCAAAATCAACGGTGTTTTTTTAAGTTACTGTTTTTTGCCGTTGTCGTTTCCGTCTACATCGTCGTTGCTTACGATCCTAATAGAATTTTCAGCGTCTGAAAAATGAAATTTATTTAATTGTAGGACAAAAAGGCTCCAGTGTTTGCACTGGATCTAATGGCGTGGTGCTGGCAACAAGAAGCGGACAAACGACCATCGTCACATCACATCTCACTGTTAGCTTCCACCACTGAATTTCCTCGCCTCTCTGATGTCATTACCTTTGAGAAACAGGTCAGTGCTGGAATGGCATTTCTTCTTAATATAAGTGGCCAGGCTATATAAGACCCAGGCCAAACGTCGAACTTTTCATGAGACGAACCAAACTCTATTTTGGGTTGACCTAAATTATGATAAGAACGTCAGACGTCGAACCAATCAACTGAATCAGATCAGTAATAAATTTTATCCTGAACAAGGTTAAATATACATTAACGTACAAGTTTTTAATTTATTTATTTCGTCGCGTGTGAAAATCTACGTTTGTCCCGGAAACGATTTTCTATCCGGCTGAAGCAGACGGATAGAATGTGTTGGACGATCCAAACTCATTCAGACGAACTTAACTGGGCCAGACGTCGAACTTTTCAGGAATTTAACTCACTATGTTTGGTTCGTCTCATGAAAACTTCGATGTTTGGCCTAGGCCTAGGGAGACGAAGACGGCGCGAAATTAATGTAGGGCTAGCCTGCGAATACAGCCAAGAGAGACGATTTGGCGGCTGTATTTGAAGGCTAATGTAGGATGGGTACTTACTGTCTTTGTAGTAAACGCCTCTTGTTTCATTTTGTGCTTATCGTATGAGAAAAATTTGCATCGTCATTCTAAACAAGCCTTACGATGCACGTGGCAAATCATTACCCATTTTTATTTCCTTTTATAAGCCAATATTTTTAGGTTCATGTTTGTCCTAAAATGGAATTAGACAACTTATTTAATGGCAGAAAAATGACATCCGCCCTGAGAACTGCCCCTCTACCCAGTTATTACTCGATCTAAATGTGGGTTGAATTTGTTTTTGGCTCTACTACGGTTTTTCCTTTTTCCTCTTCTCAAAACCACCACTTACAAATTCCAATTCGATCTGAAACACACGGACACGTTTAAGAACTCCTACATCCTTCTCGAGAAAACAAATTCCAATTACAGTTATGATTTCTTGTAAAGAAGGCAACATGAATCGAAAGATGTACAGGGTTTTTACGATCATTAGCGCCGAGCACCATTGCATTTCGAACAGGCCACTATTCATTCCACTTGGGATTGTTAACCTTTTTCTCCATCTCGACCTTTAGCTCGGATTAAACTGCGCCGTCACCGCTGGGTCACGTGTCAGTCAAAGCTACGAAGCGGACAGCAGGGCCCGTGTGGGGTCTGAGGTGTGGCTCTGTCGCAACGAAGTGAGTGCTGGGATAGGGAAAGGAAAAGTCAGCGTTGTTAGCTACAGCTATGACCGCTGCTACCACAAAAAGGTTAGTTTTCCTTTGTTGTTGTTGTTATTGTTGTTTTGAATTTTTCTGTGGTGATTTTTTTGTGTTTGTTAAAAGAAATAAATGGGACATTTTGTGGTTACAATGAAAATTTTTTTAATCTAAAGCCTTCACCATAAACAAAACTAAACCTTTGGTTAAACAGGCTGCGTCACGACTGTCTGATTCATTTTATGCCAATTACGCGTCTTCATTCATGGCACTTGAGATATACAGTGAAACCCCGCTTTACGGTGACCTCGTTATTGCGGCCACTTTTTTTGGCCCGGCAAAACGGCCATAGGTTTCCTTATAAAAAACCCTCGCTAATACGGTCACCCGTTAATACGGCCAACGGCCACATTTTAAAATCCCAAATAGTAGAATCTTACAATTTAATCCCCGTTTTAAAATACGGCCACTCGTCAGAAATTTCGAAAATTAAAATGCCTGTGATATGTGAATTTCATTAACCTGGTAAGATGAAAATCGTCACTTACAATGCATTTGTGGCGGTCTAGTAGCCAATTTTTAGAAGTGTTTTATGTACTGAAGGAAAGTTTTAAGCAGTTTGTACAATTACGGTACGCAATATCTACTTTCCTGTTGTTTATTAAAGAGAACACAGTTGTCTTGTTTATTAAAGAGAACGCAGTTGTCCATGAAGTGTGAATGCGATGTATGGTGTATATCAAAATTGCACTCTGCCCCGATAATACGGCCACCCCGTTAATACGGCCAAATTTTTTGGACCCATCAGTGACCGTATTAACGGGGTTCCACTGTACTTGTGAATTACAAAAAGGAAGCTTCATGTCAAACAAACATGTCTTCCAAGAATTATAGAAAACGTTACGACCAACAAAAATGAACTTTGAAAAACTGTTTGGCTGACGAGTTTGATTAATTTAGGTTTCCGGGAAACTGCCCACCTACCTCTCCCCGAACCCATCATTTTGCCCAAAGTAAGAATTAAGTGTTAATGTTAGCTTAGGGGAGGGGTAGGTGGGCAGTTTCCCAGAAACCTATAAATTGATCCAACGAGTTTTCAAAAAGCGCAATTGTAATCCGTTTCAATCTTCTTCAAGTTTGTCCATCCGTGTCTACTTTTGCATCGCTTGTGTTATTTATACCTTCTGTTAACGTTTTGAGCAGTTATTTTTATGCTCACCTCAGTGATTTGATTTCTTAGCAGTTACCACTGTTTGATTTTTGATAAATTTCGTGACACGGCTCTTGTAGGTCCGTCTGAACTGAAGCCAGCCAGCGCCGATATCCTTGTTCTTGGCCCCAACTTTGTACCAGGATTTGAGTAGGCGCCATGGGTAGTTTGCTAAAAAGGCCATTGTCCAAGGGTGCTTTCCATTTGTCAGAACTGACCAGCCAGACCATTCCCTACGTAATGAGAGTTTCACTTTTAATCAAAACTATCAAGCCATGCAGATCAGTCAAATCCTAAATAGTATGCACGAAGGAGATGGGTTTTCAGCAAAAACCCTTTGGAAAAAACCGATTTCAGTTGCTAACTGATTGTTCCGGCAATGGTCCGGCCGGCCAGTTCTGACAAATGGAAAGCGCCCGAAGTCCCGGCTGTTGTTTCACACAATTCGGCGTCCAGGTCGATCCTTTGATGCAGACGATCCGCACGATTACAAAGAGCATATGCTTATGACTTAAAGAGTTTTACTGCTAACCTGCCTTCTCGTTAATATCATTTGTATTTACTATGCAGGAGTTTTTAGTGGGCAAGTCTCAGATTCGTACGGCTTGCAGCGTCGGGAGCACGGTGTGGCTTGGGACCGAGTCAGGAACACTGCACGTGTTTTGCGCCATGACGTACAAACAGCTCTGCCAAGGGTCAATCCGCGCAAACAGGTTTACATGTTGTTCTTATTTCTTGCTTGTTTCTGCAGTGTAACATCATAGTACAGAGAACTTATAAATCAAGTATGGTTTAGTTTCCCTGACAGAATTTATAGCACTACTGCTAGTGGGGACGAGCAAATAATTCAAACAACAGAGACCGCGAGCGGTGGTCAGTCTTTCATCAGAACCATGCGCGGCGAGCGACAAAGTAAAATTATGGAAATTTATGGTTCAAAGGGGGAGATATTGGGGGAGGGGGGACAGAAAAAGGACAATTTTCTTCGCTCGTGCTTCCGTCTTCTCTTCGTTGCCGCTCGCCCCTCACGCACGCTCTCCATATATTTTCACTCAAAGGTAAAATAAGAGACTACTCGCAGTTTACAAACAAAAGGGTTAAGAATCCCAACTGGCAGGAGGCAAACTAGTTGGCTACTTAGAAGCTTCTGCTTGGCTCCTGGCGTAGTCAAGGATTTGAACATGGGACTAACGGCCAGCGGTTAGGAAGGGAACTCGGGGCCTCCGGATTGTAAGTCAAGCGTTCAAACCACTCGGCCTCGCTGTCCCCTCGTAGACTTTTAATCATTATTTAAACATTAATCTGAGTTAAGTAATGGTCCAGATAAGAAGGAAAGGACCAAAACGCAGTGAACACGTCGGAATGCAAAAAGGTGCTAACTTTACTATTGTCTCTACTAAGGTTCTGATTGGTTTAAACATCAAATTTTACGAAATCTTCGCAAAGCAGCATGTACATCAATCCTTTTTTTTCTATCCAACTTCCTTATAACAAAATCTCGTCTGAGTCTAAGTAACACAGAAATCGTATGTGCGGATCATGTAAAATTGTGAACATTTCTTGGCCATTGTTTGCAACTCTTGTGATTGGTCGAAATGTTTTAACACAAAAATACACCCTTTAAAAGTGGAGTTTAAATACATTTTCTTTCGTAAACAGCCTTTTTGTAGATTTATGCACTCTCTGCGTAAAAATGAAAACATTTCTATGTGAGGAAAGCGTATTGCGCCACAACAATAGAAATTGCTTTCCTTCTTACCTGGATCATTACTTAATATTCGAAAGAGTTCTCTTTTCAATTGGATACAGTCCGTTTATTCTAGTAGTTACTAGTCTCCCCGTGTAGGCATTGTTCCCTATTGTTGATTGGCAGTCTGAGAAAAAAGAATGACCTAAAAGAAAATCAGAATCTGTTTGAATCAATTTTCGTGACAATTGCGACCTTTTTTATGGCCCTGCTCTGCAGTGTTTACAAAATCTGGAATGAAATGGAAAACAACTTCCGCTAATTTCTTGCCCCGTCTTTTTGCCAACCAGGTATATAATGAACATGATTCATGTTCCGCGAGCGAACTGGGTTCTTGTTGCGTTAGGCGATGGTTCTGTGCTGGCTTATAACGACAACATTTCAAATCATTATCATTACTCCGACGCGGCTGTTGAAACCCCGGTACATGAGCTCCTCCCTAACCGGGTCTACCGTGGCAACGGAAACCGTATACACTCCATGGCTGCTTTACTGCAGAAGAAACCCCTGAGAAACCAAGCTCCGGCGCCATCGGAAATGGGGGATTCATCCGAGGACTCCGATGACCGGAACAGCCCTTGCGATGAATATGTGTGTGAGGTATGGTGTGGACAAGAGAAAGGAAAGATCTTGATTCTTGATGGGGAGGGACTTCAAAAGATTTGTACCAAATCTGCAGAAGATAGCGAGCCAGCTGACTCCGCGCCGCAAAGAGAACATAGTGTGTCACATCTAGAGACTTGCAAGGTTACTGGGGCGTCCGTCGTCGGGGAAAATGATTCGGTGAAAAGGTCCGTGTGGGTTGCTTTATACCCCGGGACTCGCGTGTTCCGGTGGGATGCTCTGGAGAAAAAGATTGTGCGCAGTGTTGATTGCTCGCAGTGTCGACCAAAGTTTGAAGGTAAGCGTGTTAAAAATCCCATTTACAGAAAGCAGTTCTGTTATTACGAGTTTGCCATTGTCGTTGAAACTGTTGGCTCATCTTGATCGCGTGGCTGTAAACGAGATTCTTATTCTCTTGTTGTAACCCGCTTGACTGGTACAAGAGGAACCGGGTCTCTCTTTCGGGACAAGACTTTTCTTCTTTTCTCCTCAAGTTTCTTTACAACTGTTCACGCTTAGTTTGCTTGTCGTTGCGTTACTCTCTCACGCTCTTAGTCTAAGTAAGAACTCTTGTAGCTATGTACAAGGTTGCGTAGATGTTTGCGCACTTTCCCACATGTAAGCACGTGGGATTCTAAAAGACACTAGTTAGATTAATTAAGCACCGCGCTAACGGCAAACGCCGGACGTCACCTAGTCGTTTATCGTTTGCCGTCCCGTCCGCTATGTTTTTTTGTTTAAGCTTTCCGTCGACACGGTAGAACTGGAAACTAGTCCAAAATTGTCTGAAATATTTGAAAATTAAATAGGTATTAAATACTGAAATGTTTCCATACGTATTTCTTAATTTTTCTTTTAAACTATGGGAAACACGTATAATACACAGCAGGTGTTCTCGCTCCCCATTCACCGTGACTGGACAAAGTATATAGAGAAGTTATCATCTTTTTTCGCTCGAATTTAATACACTTTTAGCATTACAAACAGTACGTTTAAAAGAAGAATGATAAACGAAGCGTAGCTATAAAAACAAGCGATCAAAATGAAGAAATAGTCGGTACAAATGGGCTTCAAATACTCAGAGAGGAAACGGGAAAAATGTCCTCCTCGCGTCCAAGCGGCGGCGACCATTTCCCTGTCGTAAACGGTCTGTGCCATTTTTAACGGTCGATGCCACCATTGGTGACCAAGCCTTTAGTCGTTATAGATGTAATATATTCCCTGGATTAAGTTACAATAAGGAAAGTGATACGTTTTTAAATAGTCTTAAAAAGAACGATGCTGAAGCCCAAGTTACATTTACATCAAAAGTTATGGAAACGGCTCGGGTCACCTGTTATTAATATATCAGTTAAGAAATATAGTTTGCTAGTTTATTTATTCAAGTTGTTCGGAGTTTTGGCGGGTCAGTGTGATAGTGTAGTGGTAAGAGGGAGAGATAAGGAAATAAAAGTTCCGGGTTCGAGGTCCGAATTCGACCCTGGGTTGCTATTTTCTTTCTTATTAACAGAAGCACTCTCAATAACAGGCCAAAACTTTTCTTAGTGTCTTAAAAACGGCTGTGACCGTTTGCGAAAGGGAAAAGAACAACGGCGGCTGGCAAAGGGCAAACGCGGGAAAAGTCAGTTCACGTGACCCTCTCTGCTGTTCGCAGGGAAAAAAGACGGAATAAACTGACTGAAGCCAACGAGGCTGCTTACAAATACAGTGGAACCCCTCCTTTGGGACACCTTTATTGAAGGGACACCTCTATTCAGGGGAAAGGGACACTTTTTCTTGGTCCCGAAACCCTGGTTTAACCTCCATTCAGGGGACACCTCACCACTCGAAAAAGTGACTGTCCACAAAAATCGTTGATAAGTTTCTGTGTTCGCTGGTCACAATGGCGACAGCTTTCATTCACTATCTCGCTTAAAATCGGTGCACTGCACTTTGGGGAATTCAACACACAACATCGCGGCGATAAGTTAATCATAAATTTTTTATACATTATCAAGCTTCTTGAAATAATGACTGACAGATTTCGAGGCAGAGTAAGAGAAACATATTTTATTTGTTGGTTAATTATTAACAAACCCCAGCCCAACCTCCATTCAGGGACACGACACTTTTATTCAGGGACGCTTATCCTGGTCCCGAGGGTGTCCCCTGAATAGATGTTCCACGCTATTATCAAGACCCTATCACCTTGAAAAACAGGAAAGACGAGTCTGGAAAGGTAAACTTGGCAAGCTCAGCACCTGTGTTTACCAAATTCATACGTTCAACCCTCTGCGTTCAACCGATGTGCTAAATTGACAAACCAAACCATTTGCGATTTTTAAAACTATATGATAATTAGCTCCATACACTCTTTTGTTTTTCAAGGACCAAAAACCAAAGTTCCCGTGAGGAGAGCCGCTGACCAGAATCCCCTGAGCGGTGAGTACATCACTAGAACACTGAAGAAGTATAATGATAAGTCAAGTGTTTAAACCTTGCTTATTAATTGACCGGCTCAGCTGTTATCTAAGGCGAGCCCCAAAAATTCCATGCTGATGACGTGTCCTGTGGAGGGTTTCTGATTGGTTGAAGCACATTTCCCACGCAGCACGTGGCCTATTAACAGTCCCACAAGTCTTTGCGAACGTTAACTCGGCCCAGTTTTCTCGTTTCTATATTAGCGAATTACTCCAACCTCGTCCCAAAGGTCTTCCCGCTTTCCAATACTGAGGCGGCAGGAGAGAGTCTTCTCTCTTGTCGCCGCCTTTTGCGAAGCGAGAAGACCCTGGGGACGAGGTTGGAATTACTCTTGTAGTGATAGGGAAAATATTTAGAAAAAAAATGTTACTCTCTCTTACAGCTTCCCGCTCTCAAGTGACTTCCCTTCTTGCTGTGGATAAAGAACTGTACATTGGTACAAGCTGGGGCTGTATTCTGGTCTGCAATAATCTCTCGCTTATGGTTTACACAGTTATCCGTTGTCATGAAGAAACTGTTAAACACCTCCTTCCCTTGGTAACCACGCCTGCTGCAAAGTCATTGGTGTTAAGTTGCGGGCGAGGTTACCGTAGTCTTGGCTCCAGTCTCTACGGCCACACATCGTATCCGAGCCGGCGAAGTGGAAAGACCACTTTGAAAAGTGAATCAGCTATTTTAGTTTGGCTTGCTGACAGTTGGGAAAGTTGATGATGGAGGAATGTTCATAGGTTTGAAAATATTCCTAGATCATATCAGAGTATTATCCAATTACAAGGGTATTTTTAAAAATCCAAAACTTGGACGATTAAGCATAGTATCATGCGTCATTTGCAATAGTCTTGTGCGCTGCTGTTCCTTGTGTCGTCACGCAACGCTTCTTAAGGTGACATGCGTAGCGTGACGTCCCAAGCTACATAGGAGACTGTTTTGCATTTGTTGTAATGCGCTTGTCAATAAATTTCTTTTAAGCAGTTAGAGCACATAAGCGGTTATTTCGGGATTCTATTAAATCCTTTGAGCACAAAGCCTACGAGAGGTCCCAAGTAAAACTACAGCGATTCTCGTTGGAAAACGAGAATTTACCCTCAAAGGAGGCCAATCTGGGCGGACTGGGAGTGACTCAAGCTTTATTTCAACGAGTCCCAAAAGATACCATTCTAAAGCAGGCATCGAAATAAGCGCCTTAGTAAGTAGTACTAGGGGTCACTTCCGCCAGTAACCAATCAACGATCCGTATTGTTGTCACTTGACAGAAATTGACCAATCAGCGTTCGAATTGAATATTTATTCCGATAAAGAAGTTGTTATTGAATTCTATTTTCCTTTTTCCCTCTGCTTTCTTTCTTCCTTCCTTCCTTCACATATGCGTCCCCCTGGGGGCTCACTAATAGGGAACTTTAACAACAACAATATGGCGACAGCAACGAGAGCGAGAACAGCAAAAAAGCACTAAGTTTAGGCTACGTTCACCCTGCACCGGACGAAAATTTAGACGCCTGGTCGTTTAACCTGGCTCGTTAATTCCGTGTGAACAGAGCGAGAAGTGTCCGCTCATATTTATCAATCTTTCGAAAATTCGTCCAGTGTTGTATGGACGTAGCGTATATTAGCAAAACAACAACTCTGCTTGCTTTTTTATCTTTCTTTGCCGTAGTTGCACGACCACAATGTGAAACTTCCTAATTTTATGTTTTATGAAAGACATGAGCCGGAGACAACGATTTAATTTTTGTTTTTTGTGAACTTAGTCTTTTAGAATTCAACTCCTGAAAAATTGGCCAAATTGAACGAGATGGTAAAAGAGCGAAGAAGTTTGAAGCAGCCCGCATTCACTTTTTGATTGACGTTTTTACTGCCGTCGCCGTCTTAGATGCTAAAGCTCCCTATTAACATAATGCGACGGGAAACGTCTAAAAAATAATAATTCATAATTAAGCCTAGTTCAATTAACAACACAACGCCATAAAACCACCATTTTACCCGTTTACCTCACAGGTAGCCCCGTAAAAACCAAAGACAGTTAATTTGTTAGTGGTTTTTCCCTTTTCATTGGCCTGTATACCGTAAATGACTTAATATACGCCCACCTCCAAGTAAATGCCTCTTATGTAATAAACGCCCCCTCTACGCTGTTAAAATGTATTAGGCGCCGCTCTTTAATAAACGCCCACTGTCTAATAGACGCCCCCGTGAGAATTACAGTGAAAACCCACGAGTAAGAACCTACATTTTCCAGGGTTAGCCTAAACAGGTTCTTACCTGAATGGTGGTTAACATAAATTTAGGCTATCTAGGTTCTTAATAGGTTCTTTATTTCTTGCAAAAAATCATGTCGTTGCTAAAAAGACTTTAGTGATCAGCGCCCTTAAATTTGCATTCCTAATGATTGCTTATATTTTAATATGACCATAATAGAGATCTATTCTCACATGAATTTTAATTTCTTGAGTCAAAACAACTTTATATACATGATTGTGCTGTAAAACACAATATTATAAACATTCTCTCAATGACCTCAATCAAACAACATTTATATAAGGACCTTTCTCCAAATTTTAGGCTAAAGTGATTCTTTTATAGAGGGGGTCTAAATTGCAAAGTTTAGCCTAACAGGTTCTTAAATCTTAGGTTCTTACTCATGGGTTTTCACTGTACTCCATAAGATACGGAATTAGCAAAAAAGGTGGCAACACAATAACAATGAGCGAGGGTTCTGACATCGATGTGGGGATTTGAAACAGCGATTTGGATCTCTAGACGGCCTAGACTTATCAATTAAGGGAGTGGATATTCTACTGCTTTTAAACTCTCTTGATATTTTTGTTAAAGTTGTGAGAATAAACGCCACTCTCCATCTTTCAAACGCCTCCTATCTATTAAGCGCCTCCATTTTAGACTTCTAGCATTAAATAGACGCCCGGGCGTTTAATAGGTCATTTACGGTATGCGTATAAGTTAAATTTATTTGGAAGGAAATTAAAATTGTATGGTGAAGTGTAATTTGCCCGTGGGACTCCAACACATACAGAAAGCAGTAAGGAGTACTGTATTCACTCAAGTAAGCGCCGCTTGCGATGGAGAACCTCACCATCCCAGCAACAAAGCAGCGCATAATGATTCCTGGTATCGCTGATTAGAATGGGAAAACACCTTCGTTACTGGTCGTTTTAGAACAAAAATTAAAAGAAGGCATAGCTCCGTGTTATTTGCGAATGAGGGGATCTATCTTAGCACCGCGGCGCCCTTTCAAGTGAATACGATAGTTCCTTTTCATGGCTGTTGCGTTGGTTGAATTAAATAACTAAAATGGAGTCAGCAAGCGTGGGCTTTATGGAAAGCCGTAGTACTTGTTACGCTATATTAAGTAGGAATTGCGCCTTGCTACGCCATATTAAGCACGAAGATTATTCGTGCTATATTAAGCACAAATTGCGCCTAGACGGCAGTGGAGCGCATTGGCCACCGCGGCGTGTAATGGCTTCTGGGCTTTTCCTAAGTGGTATCATATTTTAGTTCAATTCAACGCTAATCCTTTGCTCTCACGTTTTACTGACAGTATTATTCGATAAATGTGAGAACTGAGGGAAATTTAAAAGGAATTTATTTTTAAAACTATTAGATTATCACATTGTTACTAAACGGTGTTGTTTCGTTTTGAAATAATTTATATATTTTTACTGTTATTCAGTTAATCACGTGAAAGATAATATGATTATAGGAACGATATGAAATATAAAGGAAAATTATGTTTGAGTTCGTACGTGTCTTTATATAGCTTAACACCATAAGAACGTTTTTTGATGTACATCCGCAATAATCTGTGGATTTCTATTGCCTAGGTAATTCTCAGTCTCTTTCTTTTTTCGTCCCTATAGTCTGCAAACCATCATCCATCAGCTTCCGTAGTCTTAACATCTTTCTCAGTTCGTGACCAAGTTCGTCGCAGACTTGCAGGGAAGGGGCGGGTAGGTGTTCCTTTTGTTCCTGTCCTGGGGCCGGTTGCTCGAAGCCTGGTTAGCGCTAACCGTTGGTTAAGAGGTATCAAAATGTATAGGTTTCCATGGTATTTAACGCTGGTTAGCACTAACCATGCTTCGAGCAACCCGGGCCTGGGCTGCAACTTCAAGATATGGCATGACATTGAAAAGCTGAAGTTTGGTGTCAGTGCTCTCACACAATTGATAACTCAGTTTCTAGTCGTAGTTCTTTACTTTCAAGCTCTGCATACACGAAAATTGCCGGAGATTTTTTGTTTATTTTTTTATTTTTATTTTTTGGATATTATGAGAGAACGTACTTTCAAATTTCCTCTTGGTGACCAAGTGGAACCAAAAGTTTCAATGCACCAAAACTAAGAACTAAGAATTTCCAAGAGCAGAACCAATGTTTCGTTGGTATTGTGTACTAGGAATGCGGACGCATATACTGTACTAGACTTCAAATACAGCCTGATTACTCGGGACGATTCGCAACGACGATTTTCAGCACAACAGAGCATTGCAACATTGGTCCAACATTGTTTGGAACTGTCACAACATTGTTCCAGCATTGTTGCCCTAAAAATCGCCATTGCAAACCGTTCCTTGTAACATCACCTTTACTATCCCTGTGCAGAATAATGCAGTTGCGTCTAGGAGTTTGTGTTCCCTTTTTGCTGTTTGTTTATAAATGCCCGTTATCTGTATCCACGGATTTTGAGAAGAGGGGAAAACGGTGCTAATTGTTTCTGCATTAGACTCAACACACACCAAGTCATGACCAAAGCGCTTCCAACCGAGTCAAAATTCCTTGTTGAGCCAAGCGGAAAAGAAAACACGTTCAGCTGTTTCAAATTGACAAGGAATTTTTCACCTACAGGGTGTTCCTATAATTTGCCTGGATTTAATGAATGTATTCTTGGGTCATAAATAGGCGTTTTCTTAAGAAACAGTAATGAAAACATAACTTAACAGTGTGTTAAAAAAACAGGTTCAGACACACACTGTAATAGGGTGATTTTACTTGAACCGTGAAACAGATACTAACAAATAGTGCCCGAAATAGCAAGAGGTAAACAAAAGAATACAATGGAATTCGTGAATAATAGTGTGTAGTATTCTACTACCTATTTCACGGGTCAAGTAAAATCACTCTAGTGTACGTGAGAAAAATAAAACTAACACCAAAACAGGTTCAGACAGGTTCAGACACAAAACCACTTTAATAGCATTGGAACGTATTTTTATTCAAACGGTAGAAGGGCATTTTTTATCCCTAAAAACTTTTTCATCTGTTCATTTCCTGAAACAAATAGTGATCCGAAAATTATAGGGAAAAAGCTTAGCAAGAAAATTTCAAAGGAAAAGGAATACAATGGTCAAAAATTAAAAATGAATAATTATACCATTTTGTAGATGTTCTAAAACCTATTTCAACAAGAAATTTTACAACAAATGTCCGAAAATTCTAGATCTGAAAGTGTCTTCCGAACAGAATTTTAAAAATTAACCCTGTTCAAAACTTTTTGCAGCAGATGAAACAGACACTAACAAAGGTCCAGAAATAGCAGGAGGTAAACAAAAGAATACAATGGGAAATAATAAAGTTAGTAGGCCTACCGCTGGTCCGTAAAACCACTCTAGGCTGGAAAAATAAAACTAACACCAAAACTTTGTGCAGCAGATCAGAGGTGCAGGTACAGGATAACACTTGGAAATCAAAAGTTAAGGCCTCGCTGGTCCGCTTTACCGGGCTGGCTCGGCTCATGCCTTGTTTCGAGGCACGCTGGCCTGCTTGTCGAGATCTCGTCTCGAGCAACCGGGATCTTAGGCAGGCCCTTGGTTAAAATCAGGTGTGCGAACCTAAGGGTTTCCCAAATATAACAGGTTCAGTTCGTGAGCAGTTCGTTACTTGAATAGACACTAACGAAGTAAAATTACTCTTTGTTTTTAGCCACCTGGCTCGGGTTGTTCAAACGTTGGATAGCGCTATCCACCGGATAAATCACTATCCCGCGGATAAATATTGGAGAAACCAATTGCGCTATTCAGTGGATAGTGATTTATCCGTTGGATAGGGTTACCCACCTTTCGAACAACTAGGGCCTGGTCTGTGAAACTAGTACCTGAAAATAAACCAGTTGACTCACTGGAGAAGAAAATATGTTTTATTAATAACGAAATCCGTCGTTACCCCGCGTTTTCAAAAACAAGACTTAGGTCCTCTTAATTAATGAAGCGTCACCTGCATAACAAATGTTTTTTTAGTTTTAAAAACATTAAATGCTTTTGACGTTGTTGAATTATGAGATTAATTAATTTTGAAAGAATATATATTCATAAACCTGATTAATTTAACTCAAATTTGGCGAGCGAACTTGAAAGTTTAAAAGCTATTTTGGCAATCATTCAATTTTAATTTTGTTAAATAAGCGGTTTCCTACTCTACTTGTCTTTAAAAAACGCAAAATTTGATGTTTTTAATGAAGTCGCAATAAATTATTTAGTCTCTAAACTGCCGTACGTCTCCTAGTCTTACTTCTCTTTCTTACTCTCTTTTTTTTTTTTTTTTTCTCAGTATTCTTTTTTTTTTTTGTCTTGAACTTCTGGTGAGTCGTCCCTTAAAGCTTCCACGTACAACATCATAAGGCTTTTAGACAGCTGACAGCATCGGTCTCCACGCACTTTCTATTTCCCGCGCGAGGGTACACGATAAAAGCGAACTCGCGGGCCACACTTTCTAGAAAAATTACACAACTTTTAGAACAACACTTTTATTTAGGAGAAATTTGTATCGGTAATTCAAATTGGCAAATCAACAGCTCCTTTGTAATGGTCTGTGCAGTACAGACGAATAGAGTCTGTTGATGTGAGAGGAGGTAAGAAGTTTGACGACGTGAAGTCATAAATATTTGAACTGCGGGATAGAAAAATGAATGCAGGGAAGGTCATCATAGTTCAATACGCAACTTATGCAACTCCATGAGTTGCGTATTTAACTGTGATGATCTTCTCTGTTTTTAAGTTTGTCGATTGATACTAAAGTGGTACAGGGCCCTCTATAGGCATATGGCACTAAATTCTAATAGTCCTTTGGTCCCAGTAGTCCATATTTGGAGGTTGCCTTAGGGTTCCTGGTTTCAGGGACTGTTCACACTACATGCAGGCCTGTGTACTGGCACAAAATGGTGTTGTGTTCACACATTGGATACCCGATATGTAACTGCGTACACTGTACTCGAGCACAGGCACTGTGATGGAATCATTGCCTACACTTTCTAAAATGTTCTTCGTCGGATTTTTAATACGGCGCGGGATCTCTCGCGTACATACCTGATACTAGAAATTTAAGACAAAAATATGACAGCAAACGTTTCCCTAAACGCGAGTTTCTTGAAAGGACTTGAAGTGGTCACCACGGACTCATGCTTTACTTTCGCAAAATAAAGTATTGAATTTATCAAATCGGTTATTATTAATATTTTACCAGTAAATGATAGCTACAGGGTTACCACGGACAAATATCAAAAACCTTCCGTTAAATCGCCCCTCCAAATTAAGCCCCTGGGGGGTTTTCGCAAATAAAATAAAGCAAAAATTGAATTCCTTCCAAATAAGGTCGCCCAATCGATTTTAATCCATTTTACCAGCCCCTCAAAAATAAGCCCCTCAAAAGGGCCTTTGAAAATGATATTTTACAGGGTTATTTTGGTTTCGTAGCTAGTCGCTATGCAACCGAATATTTACTAAACAAAATACCGGTAACCTCTCGGCTAGCCTTGCCTTCGATCCAAGGTTCAAAGCGCATGACAGCGCCAAATACGAGCAATTTGTCCGGGCATATCAGCTTAACAGCTTTGTTAGATTACAAACATAAATTTTGTTAAATTTTGGTTTAGACGGCTAATTTAAGTAATCACCTCTTACGTGCGAACTATTTATGCAGCCTGCCAGCATTCTGTAAAAAATCAATGAAAACCCCACGGGAATTAAAATGACAGGGCGCACTATGGCGACATTTGCGTCATATTCATAAAAATAATATTTTGGCGAAAATACCCAACCAAGATACATTACTTGGTTAGACGGGTACCATGGCGACTATAAATATAAACTGTCGTTCACATGCAGTTAAAATTCCTAGGGTAACTAATTAAATCATGGCTGATTTAGGTGTACAACAACCTTCACTCCCAAAATGGGTAGGCAAAGCCCTTTTTTAAAACCTTTCGAAAATAAATTGATTCGTTCGGCTTGTCAGTAGTGTAATTCAGGAGCAGCATAAACCGTTCAACTTGGCAAAGAGCAAGAACTACTACGGCGCGCGACAGCAAAGTAATATTTTCTGTCGTTCGCAATCTCCGCTTGCTTTAGTGCCTTTCGGATACTTCAAGGCACAAAGGGCAAAGCGAAAAACGATAAACTTAGTTTCAGTTCGTGACAGAGGGTCAAATCATTACCACCAAATATTGTACTAAAACACTTTGAATAGATCCATCCAAGAGGCTTCGTGTGGTCTTCTATTTCGAATTGTCTTCGCCAATGTTTTCCCTTCGTCGGCCGGGAAAACAAAGAGTCAAGAGAAAATTTTCAAGAAACGGCACGTTGTTTATCTGACAAGTTGAACTGAGCTGTAAAATGTATGCATACGGTGCTAAAAGCACCATTCGGTGAAGAAATTTGCATATTATCAAAGGAAGGGGATTACAATAATTACACGACACCAAGTAAGAGGCGAAGAAATGGCGGTGGCTAGCACTTTCCCGCTATAGACCGTTGATTATCGAACAACTGAAGTTAGCATTCGCGGGCATTTCAACGAACGCGCAACTGAGTGAGTTTTCACAACAAACGCCACCGGCTGAACAAGACCATAGCGCCCGATTGAAAAATTATTAATTACAAATGCGCCCTGGCCGAGTTAATTCTTACTAAGCGTTGCATAAGCAACCCGTGTAGCAAACCTGAGAGCATGATTTCACTTTCGAAATGATTTGAACTCGAAATTTGCTTTGTCCGTTGATCGTATCAATACTCCCGAGAATTGGCGGCGGTTTTCTTTCTAACTACTTCTACGAACTGGGTGTCCTGAAACAGTTCCCGTAAGCCTCGACGGCGTCAAAATGAAAAATTTGTGGGAAATCAACTCATCTTCAGGCCGATGTTGACAAGTTCTGTATAGATACGTCTACTACAACTATTTAACCGGTAGTTTCTGGCGAAGGTTTCCTGGAATCGTTTTAACGAATTGTAAAATTGCCGATTTCATACCCAAGTAACTTCAGCATGACCGGCGGTAAGCGAAAAATTATATCTGCCACGGTCCTTACGCGTACTTATAGAAACTTTCTGCCTCTACTGGAGTCGAAAGTCTCAGATCTTAGTCAGCTAAGGAGGAGAGGGAGGGCACACTAAACGAGGAACACATGTTTAAGTAAAGAAATTTATTGAAATAACCGTGAACATTTCGAAATCCACAAACAAGAAAAAGCCAACTTTGTGCAATCAGGACAAAAATCTTGTCAGAAAACAGTACAATTAGATCGAACACAGCTCTTGGCAGTGCCCTAGTTTCGAATCGCACATTAGAAACCACAATCAACAAGGACATTACACACAAGGATCAAGAACGATTGACATCTAAATCGAGGCCTGGCTATTTTCTTTTACAACACTACAGAAATTCAGCACAGTAAACAACGTTGGGGTGTTGTATTTACGAAATTGAAAAATTTTCTTAACAAAATGGAAAAAAAACAGAAAATGCTATGTTCAAGCAATAAATAGCCCGATCAAAATTAAATAAATTCAACTTCTGATAAATACTAAGACGAAAAAAAGCTTACAGTTCGTTTCAAGTCTTGCAGTGCCGGTCAAACGTTGGCCACGCCATCTTCACGCGCCCGCCAACTCCTCCAGTCTTAATACAACGCCATGTGGTGCAGAAGCTGTTTCAGTCATAGTTTCAGTAGAACGCAAAAAAGTAACCAGCCAAAGTCCGTCGAAGAAACTTCAGATCCAAAGCAAACATAGACTAACGTAAATGTTCAAAAAGTTTGATGCTACAGTCAACTGAACGATTGAAATGTCGGTAGGTGTGGCCGGCAGCTGATTCTAAACTTTTCAAGCGGAAGATTTACTTGAGAGTGGCAAACAGGAGAGCGACGGCCATCGCCAAAACGGATGGAGCGAAGTTAACTGCAGAACTTGTTGGTGTAGCGGTCGAAGGTTCGGACATCGCATGGGTAACTGAGGCAGAGGTCATAGCAGAAGGGGTTGAAGTGGCATTCATTGAGGAAGCTGGCATGGATGAAGTTGGAGAAACCGTCACGGATGTCGTCGATGCACTGGTGTAAGCCATAAACACGGCGAAAAGGACGACAGTAAAGGAAAACGCTAAGCTCTTCATTCTTGCTTTCAGGAGATGAGAATTGGCTCAAAAATTACCTTTTACGACAGCCTGACTGGCAATATACAACACTTCTAGTTTCAGCCACAGCAAAGTGAGGCAAGTCAGGCCCACCTTCGCATAAAATACTGCGTAAGTGACAGGACGTCATCACTTCTCACCTTCTGATTGGCTCATTTAAAACTACCAACGAATAGGAACTTTGCTTGCACGTGTTACTCACGCGGTGGGCCTCGATTTGAAACGGGGGCAGATGGACTGAAAGTGAAAATGGCGACACTGCTGATTGCCAAGGAGTATGGCTATGTTGTTCTTACCACTGTTTCGTCTGGGTTTTTAATGACCTACCTGGCGATGAACGTGGGGAAAGCAAGGAAGAAATATCGTGTTTTCGTACGTAGACTAGTTTATTGTTTTACTTCGTTGGATAACTTTGGGGAGCATACTATTTCACGTTGGTTGCTGGTACTACAGCTTCTATTTGTCTGTCATAATCGAACCCTCGTGTCTTTGGCCGGCCCATGTGGTTACCTGTTAAATACATATTCATTCCCCCCTCGCTTGCAAGTCGCAATTGCATCTAACCTACCACGTACAAAATACTAGTGAAAGGTCTCAACAACTCAGTAGATAAGTTTATTCCCAGAAATTAAGCTAAATCCATGCTGAAAGAAAAAACTTATAATTTCTAGAATCTGTTTCGTCATTGTCAAGCAGAGCTTAATCCAGAGTTTGTTACAACTACGTAAAGCGAAGGTGCTCTGGTGTGTGTAATAATAATTTATTTATATATTTTGTCTCAGCTATGGAATTTTCCTTACCAAATTTGGTAATGAGCATTGTTTTCTTTGTTAGACTTGAATGGACCCACGCGGGAGATGTTTCTTTTAACACTTTGTCCGAATGTAGTTTTTTCATGATATCTAAACGTTCATCGCCCTTTCCTAGGACTGTGTTACCTTGCAGGCAATGTTGCAATGTTTTTTTCTTGCTGCTGTCGTTTATGTTTTGCTTGATGCACTAAGAGTTTCATTGGGCATAGTATCTGGAACATATTTTTGCTATTTGTCACCTCTAGGAATTTCTTCACCTAAAATGAATATTACATCATTTGTGCCAAAACTAAGTGCAGTAGCATAGCTCCACTATCCAAACAGAGCCCCACAGTTTCTTTTGAACTATCAAGTGTAATTTCAGTGAAAGTTTGAAAATTTGAAGTCTCAAAGGCCAGAATTTTTAAAGGAAAGTATTAACAGCAAGTGGAATTTCCAGAGGCTAGAGGGTTTCAAACAAGTAAACCCTCCGTGGGGGGAGTATGGATATTTTCAGTAACAACACATTTTTTAACAGAGAGTAGTATCGTTCAAGTCAAAAAGTAACTTATATAAATTAATGTTACAAAATATATTATTTAATTATTATGCAAAATTTGTTAAAAGAAATATACCAAAGGAAATTCTAAACTTCCACCTGGAGTTCCTTGAGTTTTCCTGAGAGAAATATTCTTTTTTTTTTTCTGATTCAAGGAAAAAAATCAGTTTTCATTTTTTTAAGAAACAGTATTAATAAAACTATGACATTTAATATTAGGCAAGTCTGTAAGAGTGTAATTCAAATATTAGGTACAAAGATCATATTCTATTGATGAGTCCAATCTAATTTTGTGAAAGGTGTTTTCCCTGGGCCTGGGAATTGTGGTTTGCAAAGTTGCAGTTGATTTTTTTGTTGGCTGTCACAGTTAGAGTTTATGGGGACTTCTGAATCTCTACCAAAGTCACAGTGTAGATCTAAGTTTTAGTTTGTTGGACAACTCCGATCAAATTGATAGAGGTGTTGCGTCAGGCATTTTTCGAAGGAATGAGAGTTGAGATACAAAATGTTTGGTGTAGTTGTACTTTTATTACAATAACATTGTATTTTTGATGTAGTATTAAAATTAATACTATACAAAATACATTTTCATGCAATGTTGTACCCTGAATTTTATTGATTTGCTGCGCTGGCATTCCAATTATCTGGTGACTCTTAAACATGTATGACTCAGTTCTAGAAAAACAGACTATTCTTGTTTCTTTACAAGAAACCTATAGATTTTTTTAAATCAAAGTGCAATATTATGGTATTTACATGCATGTTCATGACGTGACCTTTCAAATATCACCTCACTGAGAATGTGCTGATTTATAACAAATTTCTTACTTTTTATTGTTAGTCCGGAATATCCCTAAATTTAAGGACAGGGCCAACTGGTCACCCGACACTTTTCATCCAATGAGAAGGTGCGCTTGTGTTTATCAGAACATCGACCCAGTGATAAAAAGTTTTTTTGACAAATGGCGGACGGAGGCAGACAGATTTTAACATAAGCTTACAGTACTCGTCTAGGTTTCACATTATTTCAAAGAAAACATTTGATGTAAGAGAATAAGAGAATAATTATTCATTGCAAGGAATCGTTGGGGTCTTCGAATATTCCAGACCGATAGTAGAGGTCATGGCTTCACTGGCATGGCTTACAAGATTTTTGATAGAAGCAAACTGGTCCCGTGTAAAAATAGCCGTAGAGCCAGTGTATGAGATTGTAAAAAACAGGAATGGTACCACCTATTAACTTCTACAGGACAAGAATCAAAGAACCAGTCATCATAACAAGAACAAAAAGTAGACCAAATTTTATTAATTTTTCTTGTTTGTTTTTTTTTTGTGTATGTTCTTTCGTGTTGACTTCATGCATCTCATGCTTTCTTTACTTGCTGTCAGCTGTTGCTGTAGTACCTGCAAGGGTTTAATTTCAACCCAGATTATCAGTGTTCAATGAGTAGCAAAATACATCATTCACAGTTGAAATTTGCCTTCTTTCTTTGATTTTTTTTAACTGTGGATAAACATATGGAGAATCCAACAGTAACACTTAAATTTCTTTCCACATTTGGTGAATTTGAGAAACAAGGCGGTTAGTATCTACCTTGTTCTTATGATCTTTAATTTTCGGCAAAGTGAGGGGAGAGGTTGGACGTGAATATCTATTTTAAGACTTATAAGCTTACCTTGAAAAGAAAAAAGGCAAAGCCTCGTGTTAATGCAAAAAAAAGTAACAACACGGCTCTTAGTCAATCTGCCTTGTCTGAGTGAAACCCGGGAGAGGAAGAGATGTTTTAAACCTTGGAATTCAAAAATTGTCTACCAAAATTCTAGGCTGGCTACCATCCCCACATTCAACATGATAAAAGTTTATCGATATGACACTGGGGAAAAATATCTAGAACTTCATCAGAAATCAGTGAATCCAAAAAATTATAGATACTTCTTCACCTACCTTGAAAACCGACCAAAATCTCGCCTACCTTGTGATGTTTAAAGGAAGAAATAAGCCACAAAATGTGCTGAATATTTCACGAGGCACTTCCAATGTGGCTTCTGACATGCTGCCCACTTAAAAAAATTGTGTGTCTCATGAAAAGTCTTCGAAATATGCCGAAAAGCCTTGAATCGGTGACTCTGGTCGTTTAGGTAATCGATCCGCCGTTTTCCTCAAGAACAACAGCTCCATTACGTCACAACTGTCCTTAAATTTGGGGATATTCTAGACTGATTATTGTTTGAATTGGTTTAACTTTTTCCGTGTATATTATTGCATATACAATTTTCTGTTTACCAAGAGACTTACTCGTACGTCTTGTTTTGCATGTTGTTTGAGTCCTTTCAGCAATAATGGGCTCATTGGGTGATATGGTGTTTTCTAGGATCAAAGACTTTGTTTTTTATTTGATGGTTAGTTTTGACCGGTCAAAGCTTTCTTGTTTATTATTAGGGTGAACCTTTTACAAGGCTGTGCTCTAACGGCGCCCGGTCGCCTGAGGCGACTAACATTTAGCTTCGGGCGACTGAAAAAAAAGTTCCCTGTCACCTGGCCAGGCACTCTTGCTTCTGGTGCAGTGTTCAGTTAAGTGGGCAGAAAAATTTAACATACTAGTGTTGGCTTGTTGAGTCAGAGTTTACTAAACCTTGTACAGAAAATGTTTTTACGAATGTTGTAGGAAGGAAACGGGCGCGCGTCGATGTTCAAAGGACGTTCTGCATGATTTCACGTGTAACATAATCCATCACTTTGAATGTGACAAGCGGTATGGGTTTCGATTTGTACCGGTTCTTAAAGTAGTTTAAAATTTTTTCTTTCAGATAGAGTGGTTCATTAGGTACAGTTTTTAGGAGAAACTGTCAACACTTTTCTGACAGACATAGAGCGCGGCTGGCAAAGCAGAGTAATTTATTTTTGTATGAAACGGAAGTTGCTGTATTTACCAGTATGCAAATGTCATGTTTTTATGGTTTATGGCTGCTGTGTCTGCTTGGCTAAAACGTAACTTATGATTGTTTTCTTCTCTTTACATAAGATAATGAAATATAAGAAGAAAAGATGTGATTGTTGTGATCGTTTTTATTGTTGTTTTAGAAACAGGGCAGTTCCACATTTTCTTGCCATTTTCCATATCAAAAACTAAATTCACATGCATGCATATATAGGCTAAATTTAGCGGCTAAAAAATAAAAACACGGAAAGAAGAACTGGTTTACGCTTCGACAGTATTCATGAAAATCTCAGTTATCCTAAAAGATTCACTGATAATACAGGAAAGAAAATTAAAGATGACTTATTTTTTATTAAAACAATAGGTTTGGGACCACGGCGGTTTCACTGTTTCACGGAATTTTTCACGGGAACTTGAGTGCGATCTCCCTCTTGTGCCGATACACACAAGGGATTTTGCTCCGGGAGCAAAGCTCCTCCATGTGTACCAATGATTTCATGGGTATACAGTGTACTTCATCCTCCGGAGCAGAATTCCCACCCCGCAAAATGCTCCACGATATTTAACCGGTTAAATATTTGGGAGCAAGCTCCCAGGGCAAATTGAGCATTATATTTCATGCTGCATTGATTCACCCTTTGAAAATTTATTTTCAAGTTTAGTATTACTAGTAAAAAGCACAGTTTTCCTATGTTTGACCCAAAGACCTTAATGAACTTTACATAAACCTGCTGAAATTTTTAACTTTTCCCTCTTTAAAACCTAAACAATTCGGTGGCATTGCTCGCGTTTCTTGTTTTAACTCTGAATGGCTCAAAAACTTTCATGGGTTTCACAAGACAACATGCGGGTTTTTGTGGAACCCAAAAGCTAAAATTACCGAGTTTGGTGATCAGCAGGCTGGTAAGATTCGCGTGCGTACAAAATACTTCCTCATCAGATGTACTCAGGCGACCAACTTGAGAGGCCTGGGCACCCCAGCTGGAATGGTTCGGGCTCCCCAAAATTTTTATTCAGGCGACCAACTTTGAGGTCTGGGCGCTTTAACTAAAATGCTTGAGAGCCTGAAGGGCTCCCTGAAATTTCCTTAGAGCACAGCCTTGTTTTAACTGTCTTCAATAGATAAATTATTAATTTTGTTTTATTTTTGTCTTTTCAGAAGGACTGTTTTATATTTTTCATGGGTACATGTATATGTAGTCTTTGTATAAAATTTCCATCCTTACATTATTCTATTACAGTCATTCAACACTGTATTTCCCCTGAGGCAGAATTTCAAACCCTCTCCTAACTTTTCAGTTTGCTAAGTTGTACCCTGTACATCTATAAAGTTCCTTACAGGTGTTCTGTTTCAGTTAGTCAATTGTACAATATGCATACTGAATATTGACAGTAATGATGGAAATCTAAAATTAAGCTTTACTTTTGACAACTTCTTTTCCCATATATTATTTAAGCATACATTCAGCTATAATACCAGGCTAGCTTCAAAGTCTACTTATTATATTGATAAGGTTAGAGCTAATATTATGGCAAATTTAATATACACTTCTCTGGTCCTTCTGTTTAGAATAATCTGAATGAAAACCTTTGCATTTTTTAAGGCAAATGATGAAGGAAAATTTTTTATACTCTAAGATTTGATGCTGGCTAGCATTGTTGGTTTACGCTAAGCTGAAAATGCAATAACAAGAGTTGTGTTTTTACACGTACACATGTAGCAAAAGTGAAAGCAGCTTTTGACATGGAGCGTCAGATAGCAAAAGAGAGAAACAAACTCTCCTCACTCCTCCTTCTCCAAACCATAACTATCTACCTTTTTATTAAAAGATAACTCCATGTGAGGCTACTTTATCTCTTTATCTGTATTTGTACACTTTTTGTAACACTATGGGAATTTGCAAAACTGGTGTTACTGATAGAAATGTGTGGGGGTGTAGGGTGGGTGTGTAGATGTCTGTATGAATTCTTGCTAAGTAGGCACTTTTGTTCACTGTTAATCTGTGTAGTTGCCTTGTCTGTAATTTCTTATGGTGGCCCACAACTGTCACGGCAAAACCAAAAACCTCATGGCAAAAACAAAAACATCACAGCAAAACCAAAAACCTCACGACAAAAACATCACGGCAAAACCAAAATACCTCACGGCAAAAACAAAATACCTCGTGGCAAAACCAAATACTTCACTGCAAGAACAAAATAGCTTTGGTTTTGCCATGGGTATTTGCTTTTGCCGTGAGGTATTTGGTTTTTGCTGTGAAGTATTTGGTTTAGCCATGAGGTCTTTGGTTTTGCCGTGAGGTTTTCGGTTTTGTGGTCAGGTTTTTGGTTTTGCCATGACAGTTGTGGGCCCCCGTAATTTCTGCATAATAAAAATGCAATAAGCAATATAACCTTGTACATGCACAGTGTACAGTAGTTATCTGGTACGATTTTCTTTTGTTCTATTTTCTGTTTTCTGTCTTTCTTTCTTTATTATTCTTCCAAAAGTAATTTATTTTCCTTTTTTAATCTCTTTGTCTTTCATGTGACAAAACCCTAGAGAAAGCAATTTGATTATTGCAACTTCTCTGCTCATTTAGCTGTTGCTATTCTGAGTAGTTTTTTGCATGATCTAGTTAATTTATTCTGTTCCTGTAAACTCTCTTAACTTGGCAAATGAAATGGTTGTTGATGTTAAAATCAAAATTATTTTTATGAATAATTATATTTCATTAATTTTTGTTGCTAAAAGTGTAATGAATAGGAACTGTAATCACACTTGCTATTGCCTGATTATTTACATTATACTGTCTTTTACAGTACCCAAAGATGTATGATGACAAGGAGCCAATTTTTAACTGCATTCAAAGGGCACACCTTAACACGTAAGTTGGACTTCACAGTTAAGACATCAAAGAAAAAGAAAAGAAAAGAGTTTAGTTTATTTTGCCATGATTTATCATTTGAGGGCTTTACAATATCTTATCTTCCTCTTAAATTTCTGCATACTTTTCTCAAGGGGATTTTATAAAAGACAATAAAATATGCATTTCTCTGTCAGCTCTCTCTACTGAGTGATAGAGGCCGAGGTCTGATATTTCCCTGTATTAATGACCAAATGGACAAGGTTAAAAAGATATTTATTATATGGTCAAATCATTGTAGACCTGAGCCTGCAATCAACTTAAACCAACAACTGGTCAGCGGATAACTTTAAAATAACACGTCACCTTAATGAGTTGTACACAAGAGCCGGTGATAGAGTCAGGTGACACTGGTCAACTGATACCCTTTTTGACAGCTGTCAATTTATTGACCATAACAAGGATGTTTCTAAGGATATCCACTATCAAGTTAAACACAGATTGTATATGCCTTGGGCATCTAGCTAGCAATGCCCAGTTATTACAAGAAAACAGCCAATCAGAGCTGGCATACTTTTGTAGTGATATAATAAATACAGTTGAAGAATGTATATGTACTGTACATGTATTATGTGGCTTATGACTGGTCTAACAATGGTAATTTTGTGTTCTTTTTTACTTTAGGGTTGAAATCTATCCCCAGTTCTTGTTTCTTCTGCTCCTTGGAGGCCTGGAACATCCAGTGAGTCAAGATAAAGCTATTCCTTACTGCACTCCCTAATGTACATTTCTGTTATTTGACAGAGTTCGCAAATACGCCAAATTTGGCATATTTTACGCCAAAATTGTTCAGATGACTCCACTGACCATTGGCTGAAAAATGAAGCACCGCCAATTAATTTTGATTGATGACATTTCTTTTTTGGCTTGTCATAAAGTTACAAACATGATGCTTCTGATGAAAAGTGAATGCATTGGCTATGAAGCAACACGTCCCTGTTAGTCAAGGATAGGAACATCGTAGATCCGGCTCAGTTAGGAGGCAATGATCCAGACCAATAAAAAAATTATCTATTTTTAGTAGTCTAGTGCGAATTGTAATATTTTGCTCTTTTTGGAACACTAGCCTAACTGGCGCATTTCGCCCGATCAGGGTAAGAATTGAAAAGCCACCAAGCAAACATACCATTATATTTAGAGTTACATGTACATTTATAACACATTAAATTGTTATTGTGCATCACAATAAATGGAGAATGTATTTCAAAAACATGTCTAAAACACTTATGCGACTGGAACAACTGGAACGGAACCGAATGAAAGTAAAAAAGCTACAAGCCTTAATGTTAGCTACATGTGTAGCTGTTTGCTCTGTCACTCCAAAACATTATGCCAAAACTGTTCAGATGACTCCACTTTTTTATCGGCCCGGCAAAATGGCCATACATTTCCTTATAAAAAACTCCCATTAATGCGGTCACCCATTAATACAGCCACTTGTTCAAAATTTAGAAAATTAAAATACGTGTGATATGTCAGTTTTATTGACCTGTAGTATTCTGAGCCTGTTCTTGTACTGTTTTTAGACTACAGTACACATAAAGTGCACTTTCTGTGATTTTATAGCTGTATTTTTAAAGTGTTTTAATAAATAAATAAATAATAATATGTAGTGAAAGAAAATTTTAAGTAGTTTTTTTCAATTTTTGTATGCAGTATCTACATTTCGGTTGTTTATTAATGAATGTTCAAGAAATGCAAATGCAATAATTATACGGTGTATTTGTCATACCAGCCCTCAAGTCATGAAATTTTAGCCTGCCCCAATAATACGGCCACCCCGTTAATAGGCCAAATTTTTTTGACCCATTGGTGACCATATTAATGGGGTTCCACCGTATACCTTTATATACACTGTAGGATAGAGTAATGATTTTCTTTGGTTATTTCAGGTTGTATGCTCTGTAGCTGGTTTAGTTTGGATCATATCCAGGCTGTTCTATGCTCATGGATATTACACAGGGGGTATGTATTTACTCCACTGGAGTCATTTAAATCGAGCATGTATAGTCAGTCATCCATGCCTAATCTGCTCTGAGTGGTGATTCATTAGAGTCAAAACCCAGTTATTCTTGAGTTGCACACATTGCAGGCATAAATGAAATAAAAAATAAATAAGTTGCTAATTATCTTCACCTCCTATGGGGCTTTTCAGGGATCATGAACCAATAATTCGGGGTGCAAGGGATGGCGCAGGGAGCAAGGGATGGTGCAGTGGTGAGAGCGCTTGCTTCCCACCAATGTGGCCCGGGTCCAAATTCCAATTCGACCAGGAATAAGGTAGACAAAGAACCACTTTGTGGATGTGCTACCTCCAAATCATTATTTTTATTTGTATAGGTGATAGCATGATTTGTAGTAATATTTGGCATAAATACCACGAGTGATATTTCAAAATTGTTAGGCGAGTGAAATTTGAGACAATTTTGAAATATCACGAGTGCCATTTATGCCTATTAATACGACCTACAAATCATGGTATTAATTGTTTATACTACTACCTGTAGAAGGTTTGTAATTTTCGCATGTAGGTATTACAAATTAAGCTGAAATACCACTGCTCTAAGCCAATCAAATTACAGAAATTTCTCATGAAGTAGTATAAATTTATTTATTCAATTCAAATGGAACATAATATGGTTAAGAATCCCAACTGGTAGGAGGTGAACCAGTTGGCTATTTATAGCGTTACTGAGGACCTTTGGATTACAAGTCCAGTTCTCTAACTGCTCAGCCACGCTGCGTCTTCTTTGTAAATGGTTGATAAAGTTAGCAGGACAAACAGTTATTTAAAGTCTATCCCCTTAGATTGGAAAAGCAGAAATTAAGCTCCAAACTTTCAACCAATCTGGTGCTTAGTAGCTTGAGAAAACAGCCGGCATTTTGTGATGCTACCACTGGTTTCCCTGTGTAATGATGCCTGAGAAGCAAAGATAACCCTTTTTGTCCCAGGAGTATCCAAAATTGATTTTCTCTTCCCAGTTACAATTCATGACCAAGAGAAAAGGCCTTAAGAATTAACGAAATCATCACCTTAGGGAAACTGCTCTGATCTTAACAGAAAGACACTTTACTATTAGACTCTTTAAGGAAATATATGGAGATCAATCCAGAAAATTTGTCTGTGGAAATAGTCGAGTTTCGAGTTCGCTCTGACTGCTTAATAAAAGAAGTGAAGACGCATTTTTTTACAGGCTTAGCCGCCGTCTGAAGTAAATTTATTCACAAATTCCGGCAAGAAGAAGACCTGCTTATTACTCTGTCTATTGTGTATTTTCAAATTTCAAACACTTACAGTGTACTTGCCGGAATTTGTGAATATTGTATAGTACTCTATGTCGAGGCTAACCCTGACGCCCTTTTTTTGTTGATGTTTGTATTCAGCGGTAATTTTTAACTCAAGACTAGACTCATTGGCTTAAGGGTTAAATTTTAGTTATTTTTATTTTTTGTTTTTTCAGATCCTCAAAAACGTATGCGAGGTAGTTTTGGTTACCTAGGACTTATCACCCTGCTGGGATGTACGGTGAAGTTTGGACTACGTTTACTGGGTGCTATTAGCACCTAAGCAGCAAGGCTGCTTAATCCTCACATGTTGGCCATCTCTCCATAAGGCCTTTCACTTTAGCTCAGTAGCTAAGCAATATCTCTTGTTGAAGTCGGATCTGGTTTTTGCAAGAGAACTCCTTTGTGAATCAGTGGTGGGGAGAGGCTATTGTTTAGAAAACAAAAGTAACTTTGTTTAGTTGAATTTAGAAGCGATATTATATAGTATACATGTAACTGTAAAAGGTTTGAACCCAGGGGTCATGTCATAAGTAGGTGGAGCATGATCATGTAGGTGAGTGTTGTCCTGAATTTGATTGCTGGCACTGTCATTCTGTACTACACTCACCCACCTACTTGTTTTGGTTTAAGTTCTGGACTATAGAGTGTTTTCAGTCACATAGCCAGCAGTTATGCAAATTTCCTGAAGTTTTTAGGTAAGAAAAATGTTCAACTCCCACAGGACTGGTTTTGACACCAACACGGGTGCTGTTTCATTGTTTTTAAGACACCAATATGGCACATGTATTGTCACGTGAAAGTGCTCTATACATTATGACAGGAAAAAAGAGAGCTACAGTCAAACCTCGCTTTACAGATACCTGCTTAACCCGTTAAGCCCCAATATCCACATACAAATTCTCCAAACCAATCTCTATACATTTCCTTTAAGAATTAGTTAAGAGGATTTGATAAAAGATCAAAGTATTTTCTCTTAGGTGATCATTTTATTAATTCTCATAACCTCATCTCATGATAATGTGTAAATATCGTTAGGAGAAAATTGCTGCTGGTCACTATTGGAACTTAAAGGGTTAATATAGACACCTCATTATTACGGACAGTTTGCTTTGTGCCTGGGGAAAGAAAGTCCTTACATTTTCTCTAAATTTAACCCTCTTTATGCATACCCCATTAATATGGACACTTTCTAAGCCCCATCATTGTCGGTATTAACGGAGTTTGACTGTACTAAATTGTGTAGTAATGCCAAATAACCTTTGTGGTACACACATGAATCTGCTCCCACTTGCTCGTAGTAATCATTAACCCTTTAAGCCCCAGTATCCACAAACAAATTCTCCAAACTGATCTCCATTCATTTCCTTTAAGAATTAGTTGAGATAATTTAAAAAAACATCAAGGCATTTTCTCTTTTGTGATCATTTTTTATATTCTCACAACCTTATCTCTTGACAATGTATGGACATTGTTAGGAGAAAATTGCTGTTGGTCACTATTGGGACTTAAAGGGTTAAAACAGGGAAACAAGATTGTGTACTTCTTTACCAAAATGCAGTCAGTCAAACTGAAAATTAAAGAGGATTTCATAACACCCCTCGCCTGGTCTTTTGTGTCATCATTTTGCAGTAATTTTTATTATGGTTCAGTTTCAACCCTAGTTCAGATTTTACTTTTCTTTGAGTCAAGGGTAGAATTGAACCAGAAACACTTGAATAGTGAATTCGCATCTTTTTAGTGGGTCAAATCTTTGTTAGACACCGTTTGGTGGTACTTTGGAACCTTTACTGGTTTTACTTAATTGTAAGGGTGTTCCGCTTTTAAATAGAATGCAGAATAGAAGGCAGCTAAAAAAGTGCTTGATATCCTGCGTGTCGGCGTCACCTATCTCCTTTGTTGCATGTGTGCATTCTCGTCCTCAGAGCCTCCTTTCTCCGCTCTTATCCGGTGAGGCGTGAGCACGAGGATCTGGGGACGGAAATATAACCATCCTGGTAACTTCGCTCTTTGGGTCCATCCGCTTCTTGTCCTCTCTCGTTTAGGTAAGCTGCGCCACAGACGGAACTAGGGTAAATCTCATGAACTGCGCATGTGCGAGTCGAAGCGCAACGCGAAATCCTGGGCCCCCATCCGTGTACCATTATTCAAGTACGCGCCTTGATTGGCTGTTAAAAAACCATTGTCAGTCTGCCTATCACGTTGAAGGGAAATTCTAAACGCATTTCTGCCAATTCTTTGATATCGGCGCTGCTTGGCAGACATTGCTTACCTGGGTTTAGATTACGTCTGCGACTCAGGGCAGCTCTTTCTCTCTCGCTGCCGCGTCTCGTCTTTCTCGCGTGGGTTGATTTTCACGCGCGCTCGCGTGGGCATGGACAAAAAAAAGTGAGAGACAGAGAGATCCCTTATGACTAGGCTGCCGGGCCATCATAGCTCAGCTTTGTCAACTACGTGAAGAGGTCGAGAGCAAACTTAACATTTCAGGCCTGATTTGGTGTGGCAGTTGTGTTTTTTCCTTTGAGCACGGACCATAAGAAAAGCTGTGGAGGAGGGGTTGGCCGGGGAAATTCAAATTGAAAATATTCGAGCAAAGGGAAATTAAATGAAAAAAAAAAAAGAAATCATGCACACGGTGTAGCCCCAGAGAAACATTCCAACACCGGCACAAGAAAATTCATGCAAGGGAAATGTTAACGTGCAACTTATATTAGGGGGCGGTACTTCCTTCATTTTGGACTTTGTCAACACATGCTACTTATGCTAACGAGTTTTGATCGCCAAAACCAAGGCAATTAACAATTGAGCCCAATTACAACACGCCCGATAATCAATCACGTTCACATCTCGAAGGAAACACGTGCAACCGGCACAAAGCGCGGCAAAGTTGTGACAGGTTTCTAATTGGATGAGAAAACGGCGCGAGAGTTACCAGCCAATCAGAAAGCATGAAAGTGCAAGATTAAAGCTTTCTCGAAACTTTGAACTCTACATAGTAAACACAACATTTTAAAATGTCTTTGTTCTACTGATACGTTCTTGGATCTCAATAGTATCAGTTTTAACTTAATTATTAAGGTCTAACAAACTCTTCCGATCGTTTTGATTCTCAGACTTTTATTTTAGAATAGTTTTTCGAACGCGTAGTAGAAGTACATGTAAGGTATTATTTCTTGGTCGGTGGCTATTGTTTTACATTACTTACTTTTCAAAAGGGTTTTACATATCAATTCTCATTTACTATCAAGCCGCCTCGTAACACGTGCACAAAACAGGTCAAGCAGCGAATAAACAATTAGCTTAAATTTATCTGTCTTGTTTGGACAAACAATTAAAGAGAATGGGAAAATGCAAATGATTGGCTCTATTATCATGATAGATAATACAAACTCTGCCGACTTTGTTTGTCGCAAAGGAAAGACAATGGATCGAAAATAACGGCAGAAGAGATGAAAAGTTGATTAGCCCGTCTAAAACTTGATGTATTCAGCGCATAATGGTACTACAGGTTCCTGGTTTCCATTGAAAGTTTTTGCTCAATTTTAAGGTTCTCAGTTGGTGCCTATGGAATTGGCGCGCGTCTATGCAAACTGAGACGACATTTGCCGTCTGTGTAGAAAACATTACCTGTTACGCAGCTCAGGAATAAATTCAACAATGAATAGATCTCTTTTTAATTATGTGTCGTTCACAAGTGCTGAAATACGTACGAAGGACCATCTCTGTTGGTTAAAATGCTGGCGCTTATCGATCGAAAAGCCAATTTTTCAAAAAGTGTTGTTGTAAGAATGATAGTTAGCTATCAAAAATTTCAAAGCATTCTTGAAAACACGCAGAATGATCTTCTACGAATGTGGAAAATGGAACTAAAAGAAAGCAAATTTAATAGCCCCAGTAATAAGACTAAATTAAAATTCAAATAGTACGTTTTTATTAAGTATTTTAGTAGTTGCTTATAATTTGGAGGTTAACGATAACGGAAATGTGTCTTCAACCGACGCAGCCTATTCCAGGCTGTGAGATAGTCGGGTCCGCGGGAACTGAGAAAGCGCGAACCGACGAAGCAAACACGTTTGTTTCACTTGTAGATTACAAATACGTCATTTTCTTCATTTTCAGGGATAGTACAGCGAACAAAGTCGCGCAAGCTTGCGTGAAAATCGCTTAACGCTCGTTTGATGGAGAGAAAAATAAGCAAGCTAAGCAAGGGTGCGGTTCATTTGGGCTTAAGATTCCTGTCTCCGTTATAGGTAGGCTGCGTAGCAGGTGCTTCGAAGTAATATGCGAGAATTTGGAAAAAAGGGGCCAGCAACGGAGATAATAGGGCCATTTATACCAGGAAAAATAAGACGCGAACTTTCCGTATAAACGGCACATTTCGTCTAAAATAAGACGCGGCTTAGCTAAGACGCGTCTTATTAGAGAAGACATGCTCGTATAAATGGTACAGTTCGCGTCTTATCTAAGACGCGTCTTATTTTTCCTTGTATAAATGGCCCTAATGTTACAGAACGTAACAATTTATTCATTCAGTATAACTTGGCACAATTTCGTTCGAGTCATCTGAATAATGTTAAGTTCTAATTACGATAATAAAGTTTGTGTTTACGCCAGATAGTCTATTTTAACGCTAGAGGCCCGGTGGTTCTAACTTAGGAATATTTTAATCTTTTTAAATAATGCTGTGCATAATTCACTTTTTCAGATCTTGTGATGTATAATTCATTTTTCATTTTGTTTTATATTATTTTCATTTTGAGTCATTTTGAGCCTCTGGCTCGGATGATTGAGCAACCACTTCTTGCTCTTCGACATTGAGTAAATTACCTTTTTCTCTTTCTCTAGTAATTTCAGGAAAGACTGGGGAAGAGAAAACCAAATTTTGATCGATTCTGAGAAAGTTTCTTCACCCGGAGTACAAATTTGCGTTCCACTTGCCTTGTCTTTGCGGTCAGATTGCAGGGGCACCCAACGACTGTTTTCTGTAAAATATCTGTTCGGAGAGCACGATTGCCAAGAATTTTCTATTGCTTGAATACGGCTAAAAATTTCTAGATGAGCGTTCCATTCAGGTACAATTTTTCGAAGCTTATCTGAAAAATTTCCTACGATTTTCTGTAGTTTAATTAGTCATGTTTTACTCCTCATGTTAGACCAATTTTCGTAGAAAAAGAAAACCCGAAATTTTTGGATTCCAAAAAGTGATGGAGAGAGGAGTAAGAAAAATTCTCACTTTCGTAAAACGTTCAACTGCATCTAAATTTTCGGAAAAATATCACTGAAGCCCTTATAATTTCGAAAAGCCTCAAGTTCCCTTATGATGACCGAACAAATACAAATTTTATAGCGCCGCTTAGAATGCATTTCTAGAAATCTAAGAGTACTCTATGTAGCCTAAAAAGTGTTTTTAAGTATTCAGGAGGAAACCGTCGTTGGTTGTCCCTGAGATTGGATTAAAGGGATCGGAGTTCATATTTTACCGAACCAGGTTATATCTGCATCATTTGTTCTCGTTTCGAAATCCACGGAATTTCTGATCAATTGCTCATCGTGCTTTTAAAACAAATCGCGTTTCTATGACATTTTAACCGCGGTAGGATTTGCTCAGTCAGTAGAGCGCTTGACTGAAGAGCGGGTGGTAATGGACTCGATTCATGGGGCCGGACCAATACTCAGCGTCTGAAAATATCTGAGAAATGAAGGCACTGCCTTTTGGCCCTGTAAACGGCCAGACCCTCGCGTGGTTCGGATGACCACGTAAAATGGCGGTTCCGTCTCCAGTAGGAGACGTTTAAATTGTGTCCCCAATTAGTACTTTCGTGCTGAATATACATTGACACTCAAATAAAGTGCGTTTTTTTTAAAATTTCTTTTTAGATTTCTGTTTGATTAGAAAAGGGCGGGAATTTCTTAATCCATTGACAGAGTAGGAATAAACTACGGCAATGCAAATGTTGGTGCCTTTGTGTAACTTCTTTTAAAGTTTTTTGAGTTTGAAATACTGGTTGTACATGCTACTATGTACAAGTTGCTTTGCTTGTCTTGGTGTATCAGCTTTGTATATGCACACTTCTCCCGTTATATGGGCGTAATATTACAATTTTCGATTGAATGGGAAAATGCAGATGATTGCCCTGTCAGGGAGCAGTGAAAATCAAAATATCAAGGTCAACCAACTCAAGTTTCATGCATTGAAACTAGTACAGGACAGGCTTAATCGACTCTTGCATTGAGTGCCTCGATGGGCCAATGATCTTCCCCACAGTACGTGTATAAGGCTGGACGCACGCGGTTTAATGGATAATTAAATACTAATCACAGTCAAATTAAACAGTTACACTGAATTCAAAGTTTGAAAAATTGATAACGTTTTGTCAGCAATGCAGCTCACCCGGCAATTAGCAACCCTCAAAAGGCTTTGTTTTTCTATAAAATTATCAACTCCGGACTTTCACTGTAAATTGTTCTTGCCCCGCAAATTTTGACGAGCTCTTGTTTGTTTTGTTAACTCGAGGAACGACCCAACTCGAGCGCCCAGCCGTTCGTTGGCAGGGGCGTAGCCCGGTTCGCCAGTACTCACGTGCGTACCTGCGCGCAGGCAAAGGTGTCGAAACTTATTTTCAGTACAGAAGCCAAGCAACAATGAAATGAGCAACTTTTCCTGTGAAAGCAGTAAATTCTGCCTAAAGAACATGATTCTAAGACCAAGAAAGATGATTGCCTCACCTAACTGAACACCGGCCTATACTGAACGCGCGAAAAGATTTTGGGAAACGAGAAAGGGTCGATTCGGAAAACTGTGCATACCTCTGGAAAAATTCTAGCTTTGTTTTGGATAAGTAGGCACTCATGGGAGATGATCGCTTACGAGAGGTGATCGCACATGGAGATGTGACTGTCGAGATTTGCAGGTAAAGAGCATATCCCTAATCACCCATACCGTACCAGAACTGCCGCTTATAAACCATGGGCTTATACAAGTTCGTAAGGGATTTTGGGTGGGCTTATAAACGGGGGCGGGGGCTTATATCCGGATGGGCTTATAAGCGGACGTAAAACAACGTTTCGAAATGAGCAACAGCACTGTTAATCGACGTATGATTTAAATTTATTACTCTTACAATAATTATTGAAGCCTTAAAAAGGCAGCAATAAATCAAATTCAGTTAAATTTCAAAACAAATCAAAACTGTGACAACACGAACGTAACTGGCACCCAACAAAACGGAGGTTCAGGGAGAGCTCATCCCCGCCGTCATTAGTTAAAGTTTTAATGTCTAGTTCACAGTAATAGTATTCTCTGAGAGTGCTTAATATTAATAAAACAAGAAAAACTGGAGGGGGGTTATATCCCGATGGGCTTATCATCGGATGTATTTTTTTTGTTTGCATGTAGGTGGGCCTATAACCGGGGGGGAGGGCGGGGGCTTATAAGCGGATGGGCTTATAAGCGGCAGTTTACGGTGTCCAGTTTAAACAAACCGACCTCTTAAGCTCGTACGTTTCATTTTTCGTATTGAGGCATCAAGGGAATTTAGCCTTAGCCCAGGGATTTTAATTTAGTATTGTTTAGCAAAATAGGCCATTTCTGAGTTCCCCCGACCCTCTCCATCAAAAGGTGGTTAAGCGCCGAGCTTTTGATATGGAAATGATTATTCATTCTCATACAAATAAAGCTCATTTTCACAAGAAAGATTGTGCACTTGACCTCATTTTGAAAGTGAGGGTATTTGCAATATAAGAAGTGGCCTATTCAACTGAACCAGGTCTGGTGTCGATAGTGACTGATCTGTAGGTTCCGTGCGCAATGCATGATTTCCAGGATCAATGTCCGAAAATGTATTCTTTTTCAACACTGCTTCGTGCAGCATTTTCTTGGTATATAGAAAAAATGACTACATTTTTTCAGATGACTTAGCAATCAAGCAGTGAAACCTGTGTCAGCGGATCGCACCCGCTGGCCATCAGCTACTGAGTACCCGCTTTTTACTGAAGAAATACAGATTTGATGCACAAAAGAATGAAGGAAAATATAGTAACTGAGGCATATATATATAGTGGGCTTATCGAGGCTGATATTCGCTTTATTCAATACAGGTTTCGTTGTATATGAAAACATCGTAACAAAAAACATCCCGAAAAACTTTATATTATTTTTAAATGCAATCTGATGACGACAAAGAGTACGGTAATCTGTAAGCTGGCAAGTGATTGCTCCAGAACTGAATAGTACTTTTAATATACGATATGACCTATCGCTTCGAGGCAATTAGTATAGATCCCAGTTTAGGTTGATTGTCAAATGCCAAAGTATGCTTGCTACAGTGACCTAATTATAACAAGCTAGCGGTCTGGGGCCTCATTAAATCTCGCCTAGGACAGCTATTGGACCAATCACGTTACAAAAGATTCTCTCTATTATATCGCGGTTAATCTGTTATTCTTCTTCACAATATCTCGCATCTGCTATCAATATTTAAAACCTCATTTATCAAGGGTTCCAACATTGTCCAAATACATCAGTTTTGTAAATTAAGCTCCGGTACTTTTGATTAACGACCTGGCATTGAGGGAAGTCTTATTTCGAGCAGTTTATTTCTCCTTCATTTTTGCGACAGGTATTGGTTCAGTTCTTGTTACATAGCTATAAGAAGTTATATTGATCTAAAAGTCTTAACTGACAAAAAATGAGTACAACTTAATTACTTTCGGAAACTTTGTTACAAAGTTTTCGGTTGTAATGCATGAGATAAATAATATAACGATAGCGTTAGTTTTTGACAAAAATTGAATCAGCCGCTAGACCTTTATGGAACAGACTTGATAGACTTGACACTTTTAAAAAGTTATCCAACTCTGTATTTTCATTCACCTTGTGTAATCATGAAATTATCCTTGTTTTTGTAATACCTTTTAAAGTTGTAGCTGTTTTAGAGTAAGTTCTCCTTTACTTATGCTGTTAGGGATTTTTTAATACTGAATTACGCACATTAAATTTTCTGAGTTTTCGTACAGAGAAAACAGTTCACATTGAAAAAACTGATTGATAGTGCTTGCGCCGTCTAGGGTTTTTCGGCTTATATTATCTTTTAAAAAAAACGTTTTCCCTTTTTAAAATGTTTCCCTATCAGTTCCGTAGCCAGACGCAAATTTCTCATTCCAAGGCAACATCAGCCATGTTTCATTGTAAAGCACACACAAGAAACTTAAAACATTGAAACTATCTCAATACTGACTAGAGACCTGCTTATAACAGTCTCATTCTTTGCGCTTCAGACAGAAAAGAAATGTAAAAAGTTATCAGCCTTCCTTTTAGAAAAGAAGATGGACAAGGAAGTATAATTATAATTAAGAGGCGACAGGAAGCGTTTTAATGTAAAAATATCAGGCTATTAAATAATGCATGCATCACTAAAACCATGGGAATGTTTAGTTGAGTTGTAGAGGCAAAAAACAATTGAAGCCTTTACTGAACAATAAATTATGAATTATGCTGAGGTTTTTCATTATTAAGGGTAATTTAAATTATGACCAATGACAACAATTACAGATAAAAACAGCGAGCAAAATAGAATTACAGAGACCTGAGCAGGTGCTTATGATATTCTTGGACAAAAAAGTGTATATGTTAATTAGTTTAGGGCCTGCACTTGTATAATCATCTGAAAAATACAAATACTGCGTTTTTAACAACGGATAGTTCATAGCTCGAATACATCGTATATATAATAGAATATATAGGTCATACAGATCATTGAGGACTAAAACTATAGAAGACTGGCTCTTTGACGTTGTCCATGTAAAAAGAAGAAAAAAATAAGCAGCTGTTGTAGAGCCTAGTCCTCAAGAACCGAGTTTTTTTCCTTAGCGAAAATATTGGACACCCGCAACGACTGGTGAAAAATAAGACTGCGTACAGTCTGGAGTTCTTGGCCTCATGAGCGACGTAAAAGACCTTTTCAGCTTGTAGGGTTGATTTTCCAAATTCATACCACGTAATGTTCTAAAGGGATTGGCTTCTTTGCCTTTTTGCAGTTGAAAGAAACAGTTCTCTAGGTAACATCACTTGGTCTGCAACACAAAACATACATTCCGAGCTGAAAAGGTCTGTTCTTTACACGACTCAAAGTCCCCATCTTTGCATTGTGCTAGGAGCCATAATTGGGGGAGGAGACCGTAACTGGGTACCTTTTCCAGTTATGGGTTTGGTTCCATCGAAATAGCCAAATGTGCTATTTTTAGCACAAATTGTGCCTTCTCGTGTGACACGCGCGAGCATTGTTTGCAAGGGCGTCGCGCAAAGGATAAACAAACACAACGGTGTCTGAAAATACGGTAGGAGATAAATAAATTCTATTTCTGTCGTCATTGCCTCGTCTGAATTTCCTGGAAGACCTTGGGGAGAACCTATTTGACAATAACGCTAAATTTGAGGACTGTGAATGTGGTTCTGCAACTTCTGCTTGTGTTAATCACCGTGGTGAGAGTGTTTTTGACGAAAGTGAGGACGGAAGAGATGCTGGAGAAGTTGTACAAAGAAAATCCCGTTGGGACGGAGCAAAAACTATACTGGCGAGGAAAAGGAGAACAACAACAAATAATTAATGGCTAATGTCTCTCAATATAAATACAGCTCTACCAGCTCCAAATAGTGTCTACAGGCAGTATTTTAGGGAAACAATACTTCAATGTAATCGAATTTTCCACTTAATATTATCTTTAGTTGTCGTGGCAGTGTGGCACAGTGGTCTAGTAGCCGACCTTCCGTGCCGATGGTCTAGGTTTGACCCTCAGCTTAGCTCCTTTTTTCTTTGCTGTATAATTAACAGTTAATGAATGAGGCTGATTATCTTATAAGAAGAATTATGGAGATCGCGGAGGGTGTTGCGGCCTCGACGGATAACACCCTCCGAGATCTCCATAATTCTTCATATGATACGAAAGCCGAATTCAATAACTGTTTTATTATTCATTCAAACTAATTCCTAGTTTAAAAACATAGCTAAAACATGCTTACCTCCATCGATCCATCGATGTTCAGTTCATCTTCGATAGTGTACGTTTAGGTTTGTCCAGCTCCGCAAATATTCTCCAAATAGCAGATGTCGCCCTTCGAGTTGTCTTCTTGCTGTTCTTGCCATGTTTTTAGCTATTTTTTCGCCTAGTTCTTACTCTTGAAACGAGTGAAATGTCCGCCATTTTTTCAAGTTCACAACCAAAACAATTCAACCTCGTCCCCAGGTCTTCTCGGTTAACGGTGCCTTAACCTGCGAAAACGCTGCATTTTTGACGTCATTTCCTCGTTAAAGTCAAGATTCTTCCAAATTTGGTCATCAGTCACCGGTTATGGTGAATTAAACGTGTGCTTTTAGCCAATCAGAATCGGGGAAATATTTTGAATGAATAATAATGGTTTTAATGGTTTTTTTAAAGCGGTTTTATCATATTTTTCCTCTTTTCTTGTTTCCTTTTATTCTTTCTGCTGGCCATGGCCCATTACAGCTTCGGTTTTTTTTAACAATAAACGCATACCTAGTAATGTTTGTATAACATTGGTTAATTCTTCCTTTTTGCATGCATTGCCTAACGAGATTGCGGTTTCCTATCCCGATTATGGCTCCGGGTAGTGCCTTGATACAAACTACTTCGCATTCGACTATTTTATTCCTGTCAGAATTTTGAATGAGTTAGATAATGAGATAATTTTCTCTGTTTGTGAAAACAGTTTACAGATCCGAAGCTGCATCAAGTGAGCACTCTACCAGAGAGAAACGCGCAGCCGGCTCTGATCAGGTGAAAAATGAGGTAATGTAGCGTTAACGATTACAATAACTATGACAGTAACTGTAATCTGATATTGAAATTTAGTATATATGTTCTGATCAAATTTTAATACTGACTTAAATCTTATTTTCCTTTTTTTCTTTGGTATGTTTATGTATGGTAATGAGTTTGAAACAATGGGAAATAACCAAGGATAGAATTGAACTACAAGAGATACACACTCAGGGATCTTGGTGATTCAAGTAATCTGATTGGTTCGCTACATCGGACCTTGACGTAATATTTATCGGCGAATAGTGGCCTTAGGAGCACTTATTACCCCGATTGCAAAGAAAAATTGTTCAATTTGAAATGAATCATATTTTAAACTGGGGATATAGATATAACACAATGGCCTGCTTTACCAAAGTTATATTTGGACCAATTTAACGTATGAAATTAATTGAAAGTTTGTTTCTGGAGAGGTTCCACAAACTTATATTCATTGTTGTTAAGAGAGAATAATGGAATATTATTTTTCCGGCCAAAGTCCTAAGATTTCCACTCTGTCTTATCATTCTTTCTTGTTACAATTTATAATAATGTTGATGATGATACAACCTCGTTCCCAGGGTTCTCTCCTACTCGTCTCCGAAGGGACGTGTACTGTAGTGAACCCTCGGAACGAAGTTGATGATGATGTTGGTAATGATAAAAAATGTCATGATTATGTACGATAATGATAATTTTTTTTTAAGTAAACGCGTCTACCGTAAGGTGTCATGCTTTTGACCTCTAAGTCTTTTCCTTGCGCAAAGTTTTTATTTCTCCCTGCCAATACCCAAATACGATAAACACTGTGTGGTAGGAAATTTTTGCGGGTTCTAAGTTTTGCGATTTTTCCAGCGATCGGCAAAAACAAGTTCCGCAAATAAAAATTACTGCAAACATTTTTTTCCGCAAGAATTTACTCCAGAGTAAATATTCTCTAACTTAAATTCGCTACACAAAAAATACAGCACTAAGAAATCGTGTGTGTTCAATTACAACGTGCGTCTTTTATTCAGAAACAAAACGGTATACAATGAATTACTTGTTTAATCATACTTTGGGTACGTAGTATGTTTGAAAATATGTATTTCTATTGCACGTACTTAATAAAAACGAAAATGTTATCAATGCTATGTACTCTGTACTTTCTGAAAATCGCAAAAATTAGTTCCCGCAAACACAAAATTCGCCAATCTGCAAAAATAGAATTTCGTGCCACAAGGTATTACAGAACTGTCATATGCGCTGTTTTTATTCCACAGACCGGGATCCCTATTCTCTCTATGGCAATTAACTTCGTCAATGTATCAGATTACCTGAGGCATAGGTAAGGATTCAAAGCACAATAAAATTTTATTTTGATATACATTTCCAAATGAATGCCGTGCGTTGTTAACCAAGCGGCAGGTAAAATATGCCTGGATACTGGCCTAAATTTTCATCTTTAAAAATCTTTTCACCTGTTTGAGTGTACAGTCATTCCTTAGAATGTATTTGTTTCAAGATTTGAAATAGTTTAAGGTTTAGACTCCTTTCTATTAAAAGTGTTCTTCTTGGAGAAATATAGCGTGTTCATTGCGGTTAGTTTTTTCCGTCTTATCTGGGCCCAATTGTTCGAAGGCCGATTACCCCTTAACCAGGGTTAAATTTAACCCAGGTTTCTCTTTTTTGTGTTCAAAAGCATTTTCTCGGATAATTTTCTCTGTTGTATTTAGAGTTTTCAATCATCAACTTGTAGACAAAAAGAATTAAAACTGAAATGCTTATTAAGCTTTCAAATCTGAATTGAAATCTCGCACTAACCCTGGGTTATCTTAACCCGTATCTGAACAACTCGGCCCCATTAGCCTGCGTAGCTGGAGGGATTAGCGTGGGAGCCCTGTATTGTTTTGGCGGCAGAGCCGCGAGAAGAGTGGGTACAACTTAATTTGAAATCCTGCCTGCCACAATTCTTGGGTATTTTGAATAGTCGGCAACCAGGCGTGCGGATGTTTCTAATTGGCTGAGAAGGATAAAAAACCAAATGATAACTGATATCTCTTCTATCTCCTAAGGGAAATTAAAGTTAGTGCGTTCACGTTTAAATAAAATAACATTGAGCAAGTTAACAGGCTCCACTCCACAAGATTTGCGCTTGAAAGAAATCTTCGAAAGACATTTTTTGAGGGAAAAATATCTCAAAATTTAAGACAGGTCTTCTGCTATCCTTTATCCAGAATGGGCTGAAACTAATCTCGTTTTACGACAGGAAATTGGCTACATGAAAAAAGCGCATCGGACAATATTGCCTTTTGTCACGCACTGCAAACTCCCTGATCCATTCCAGCTCAACATCAAAAGAGCGCTTTTTCATTAAAACTGGCGTCTTAGAAAAACGGGTGGAATATGCTGTGGAAGATTCTTCGTTCTGACTGAGCAAATGTTATCTTTGCCGATTGAGAGGTCATGAGGCCGGTGTGTTTCCTGTGCATTCCAGCACTGATTTTCTGTGGTTTTTGTCTCTGACAGAAATTCTATGACCTCTTTTGAAACATAAAGCTTTTTATTGCGGCTAAATGACCAATTAATAAAGGTTTAAGTTTCTCAGACAACCACGTGATGTGGTTAAGATGGACGGCCGTGTGTTTAAGTGCTCCGCGTAACATTTCGTAAATGTCTGATGTTTAAGTGTTCCTTCTGCTTTTTTCTATTTGTTTTGTTATCTTGTTTCGTGTGTCATATTATGCCTGAGTCTACTGCCAACGTAAAGAGAGGAAATAACGATCTCAAATCTAAAGTTTCAACGTTAACGGAGGAGATTTCAAGACTAAAAGATTTATTTCAACAACAAAGCAGTAGTGCCGCCCCTTCTGCTAAAGAAAAATCTCACAGCCTTGAATTCCTAAGCAAGGAATATGATGACTTTCTTCTCTTCGAAACCACTGCTAACAAAGAGCTGCAACGACTAAGTTCACAACTCTCAGAGGTCAAGGCCAGGATGGACGCCATTGCCAACGCCATCGATGAATTCCAAGAATATAGCTTTCAATACAATGTTAAAATTGTCGGTGTTCCCGAGGTGTGCTCTGATGAAGCGGCTTCAACAACAAGTAAGCTTTGTGTAAAATTGTTTAAAGAAATGGGAGAGAATATATCAGTCCAAGATATTGACACTGCCCATCGTGTCCCGCAAAGAAACAACGCCGGAAATCCAAAGCCTATAGTCTGCGGATTCGTTAGACGGCTAGTTAAGGAATCTCTAATGTCTCATCGGAAAGAAATTAGCGATGTAACCCCAGCTGCGGTTGGTCTATCAGAAGGGTCTTCATTGTCTTCGGCCAGAATTTACGATCATCTTTCACCAAGAATGCAAGCAGTCCTATTCCAGGCTAAAAAAGTTAAAGAAGAGCTCCACTATCAATATTGCTGGTCAAAGGGTCCCGTTATTTGTTTACGAAAAGACTCCACATCGCGGATAATCAAGCTCAAGAGCATGGCCGACCTCGACGAACTTAAGCGTAAATTGGCCATTGAAGGTTAGATTTTACTAAAAATGTCTATTGTACACGATAAAAAATGACTTCTCACGAAACAAAGAAACAGTGCGCGATCGAAAATAAGACATCTCGCGCAATTACCTTATTATAACTGTAAAGTCCTGACTTCTGCCCACCTACAGTTTAATAGTTTAATTGATGATAATCGACCTTCTACAAAATTGCTAGATTCTCTCAGTAGTCTCTACGACCTTAGTGTATTCCAGCTAAACTCTCTTGATAAACATATTGATCCTGATATAAATCTCACCTCAAACAAAATACGCTCAAAATATTATTCCCCCACAGCTTTGCGCAGTTTATTGACAGCAAACAGTTGCAATCAAAAATCTCCTTTTTACATACAAATATACGTGGCTTAAAGAAAAATTTTGAAGAATTTCAACATCATGTCTTAAGTGAAATGAATTTCCGTTTTACTATTATTGGTGTAACAGAAACTCGTATATGCGATCGTGAATGTAGTTTTAATATTGTACCAGAATTACCAGGATACTGTTTTGAATCGGTCCCGACACCTTTATCTACCGGTGTTGTTGGCCTGTTCATTGATCAAAATTGTAAATACCGCGTCCTTGAACGAGTCTCCAATTCTTGCTATCAAGCCCTATAGATTGAACTTCATCTGCCTAACAATAAGAAATCTGTATGTGGTGTTACTAATAGGCAACACAATAACGCTAATGAGTTTCTAGAATACTTGACAGATTTTCTTGAACGCCAATGCCGTCAAAATCAAAATATTTATCTCATGGGAGACTTCAACATAGATCTGTTAAAATATCAAACTTGTAGTTACACACAAACCTTGCTGCAAACAATGCAAAGTTTTTCAATGTTCCCAGTGGTTGATAAGCCTACTAGAGTCTATGGACGAAGATGACACTCTGCCCGAAAACTACCGACCTATTTCTCTGCTCTCGATTTATAACAGGATTTTTGAAAAACTTATGTACTGCAGAGTTACCAAGTTTGTCAAAGGTTGCAACATTCTCTATGATCAGCAATACGGTTTTCGCAGTAAACACAGTACTCAGCATGCTATACTTGATATTGTTAACACAATTCTCCAAAATATGGACAACGGTGAATTTTCGTGCGGTGTTTTCATCGATCTCAAGAAGGCTTTTGATATTGTTAACCATGAGATTTTGTTAGCTAAACTTGAAAATTATGGTATTAGAGGTGTAATCAACTCCTGGTTCAGATCATACCTGACTGATGGGAAGCAAACTGCGGAAGTTAATAATGTTGTGTCTGAGGCTGAGACGACCTTGTGCGGCGTGCCACAAGGCTCAGTCCTCGGACCACTATTTTTCCTACTGTACATCAATGATATTTACAAGTCCTCTTCGTTATTTGCCTTTTATCTATTTGCTGACGATACTAGTATAATACTTACAAATAACAACCTAAAGGAACTCGCGATCGAAACACTTGTTAATCCCGAGCTTGGCAAAGTCAACGAATGGCTAAAGGCCAACAAACTGTCTTTGAACACAAAAAAATCAAAGTTTGTAATCTTTCGTCCCCGGCAAAAGAATATGCCCCTCATACCTAGGATTAGAATTCTTGACTCCGTGACTAATACCTACGCAAACCTTGAAATGAAAGATTATGTAAAATATCTTGGCTTAATGATTGATTCAAATCTTTCATGGAAATACCACATCGAATCTGTCTGTCACAAAATCAGCAAGTCGATAGGAATTATCAGGGGCACCCAACGGCAATTTTCAGGAAAATATCTGTTCGGAAGACGATTTGAGATCTAGAATTTTTGGAGCATTTGTTGTAAAATTTCTTGCTTGCCTGCCTCTCCTAGGATTTTCGAACATATACAAAATGGTATAATTACCCATTTTTAACGTATTTTGACCCTAAAAAAGGCCACCTAGAATTTTCGGGAGCCTTTTCCTGGCTGAAATTTTCGAGAAGGTAACTTTTTATCCCTATAATTTTCGGATCACTAGACTTTCAGCTAGGAAATCCGAACAGATGAAAAGTTTTTAGGGGATAAAAATATGCCTATATCTACCGTTTGAATACTAAAATACGTTCAACAATGCTATGTTAAGTGGTTTTGAACTATATCCTCGTTGGGTGCCCCTGAATTATAGCTAAGATTCGACATTATGTCCCGCGTCGTGTTTTACTTTGAGTTTACAACTCATTAATTGTCCCTTACTTGACTTATGGTATTTGTGGTTGGGGAAACTGTGCCTTGACATTTCAAAGAAAAATCGTAACTCTACAAAAACGGCCCTTACGTCTCATTTACTTCAGTAAGTCTAAGGAACATGTACGCCGTACCCTTCTTTCTCAAATCATATTGCCTTCCCCTGCCTAGCCTATTTTTCAGAGATTGTAGCTATTTATTGTATGATATCAACAGACAGACAGCACCAGTTAGTATACTCAATCAGTTCGTTAAAACAAGTCAGATTCATAACTGCAGAACAAGATCAGACTCTAGCGACTCGTTTTATGTTAAGTTCTCTAGAACCGATAAAATGTATGCCTTTTTCACGAGAATCGGTGTCCAAATTTGGAACTCTATTCCTTATTCGATTAAAATACTTAAACGTTCGTCTTTTCGTAAAAAATTATAGGAATCATTACTAAATTTCTTGCGGTCAGAAGATGATTATTAAGTTATTTAACACTTTAGGTTAGCCTCTCTTCGTAATCGTTATGTACTTGCCCTGTTTTATGTTAGTTTAAATTCTATTTACTGTATAGTAGTGTCTTCACTGTTATTTAGTCCATCTATATAATAAATCTTGTTTTGTAATATGTCTTCAACTCCCCCCACCTCGATTAGTTCATAAGCTATATGCGGGTGGGAAAGTAATGTAATTAGTTATTTTCCAATTTTCAATAAAATTTGTTGTTGTTGTTGTTGTCAGGTTTGGAGTAACTGCAGAATACCTACACTTTCAAATGGTCCTTCCTTCGATTTAATACGGCGCTTGCCCGCTTCGCGGCCTAAAAAGCTCGCTTCGCTCCCTGAGAAACTCGTGAGGTCGACTTGTAGCGAATCTACAGAATATCCTGCCTGGATCCTGAACAACTTGCAATGATTGTCACGCTTGGCCTGGCTCGTCTGCAGGTCATTTTCGTATTAAATCACTTTTCCCGATTGGGTAATCAAATGTTTCCAATCTTGCTGACAAAAGTGGGCGTCATTCTAAACTCATAAGAAATGTGGCAGGCGGAGTTTTCCCTAGCGGCTTCACCGCTCGCTTCGCGTGGCGGCCCCGTCGCCAGTAAAGTACCCCGTGAAGAAGAATCCCGCCAGCTACCCAGGCTACTGGACCATTACCTAATATGACCGCATTTTTATCACCACAGAGAGCATTATGGGTATACTACCACCCTTAAACACTCGGAAAACCCTTTTTCGCGGGCAGACGCTAAAGGTGTTCACGTGACCTGGATGTTAGCATCTTTTACGAAGTTTCTTAATCTTGTGTCCTTCACCGGACCCGTCCCCCCTAAGATTGTGCAAAGAGATGACAGTGTCACTTTCAAGGTAAGCTCTAATTAATGTGTCGTTAGCTTGAACCCCTCCTTCGGAAAAGCTCGTTAATTTTGTCTAGCTTTATCTTAATCCATGAAACAGAATAAAGATGATGTGAACTGCGGGAATACAAATCTAAATGATTATATGACCATCACAATCCAAACGTGATTTTCGCAGTTCACATCATCTTCATTCCATTCCATGTTTAATTAATTCCTTTCACTGGGTCTCATTCCAGCTGCATTCTGGCTGCAGCGCTATCGCAGAAGTCAGGGTTCGAAGCCTGAATCTTTTCAGGCCTCCCCAACTGCATAAGTTGAATCTCTAATTGCGATGATCTTTGCATTTATTTCTTCATTTCGCAGTTTTCAATATAAGAAATTCATAATAACTGGTGCTAAATGTAAAAGGGTGCCAATGTAATACGAAATTGGTGCCAAATGTCATGATAAGGGTGGCTACACTGAAATAAGGAATGAGTCACAAGGGTCACGTGATTATGTAATATGGGTGGGGATGGGTCACAAGTGTAATAAGGGTGGCAGTTGTATTAAGGGATGAGTTACAAAGATCATAAGTAGTTGGTCGCACTCGTAAATATTGGTGTAATGCATGTCAAGGGCTTCAGTCATTTAAATAACACAAAATGGGGCAAAAATTAATTGTAACTAAGATGATGGGTGTTATGTCCATCAAGGTGTAAATTTCCTAAGGGAATACTAAATTGCCACGAGTACTGTTTCTTGAGTAAGAAAGGTGCTTTAAACGTTTGCCATTCGTGACCACAATAATATTCAATACCATCATATTTGTAAAATCAAGCCACATTGATCATAAACTTCAGCTTTCTTTGTTACATAGTGGAAAGTTGTCCTTGTATTTTAAGCTTGACAAGTTGGACTGGGGCGCTGTGTTCTCTTTCTCCTTCAAAGTGGAGTTTGATCCAGAAAGAAGTTTGAAGCCTGCTAACTACAGCATTGTCACGCCTGTTCAGCTACTTTACTATGACGAATACAGCGAAGACGAGGCCGGGGTGGTAGTAAGCAAAGGACAATACTACAGTCACCCGCTGGATAAAGTTGCTTTTAATATCGAACTTCCAGGTTAGTGGTTTGTACAATAGGCCAATTTACAATTGTATGCTGAGCAACCTAGCCCTTGAGTAGAAGCGAGGCTGGCGGTACTTTCTTTTGATAGAAACTTAAGCGACACTCATATTATATGTACAGAAGAAAATGATTTACATTTGGAAAGTAGCGAGGTTGCTTTCAAAAAAGGGCATTTCCAGCCTCATTTCCACTCAAGGCGAGGATATTCAGTATACAACTGCAAAAGGGCCTATTTTGTACATGGAATTTGTCTGGGAACTAAGGGCGTAAGTAGCCGACTAGGGAAATAACTACTGGATGGCAACAAGGCACACTCTGCTATAATGAACTGAGTATTAAGCCATATCAGTGCTCAATGGCTATCGTAATTAAACCAGAGAGTCAAAAAGGGCGGGTTAACTTACTTTCCAAAACGGACACAATTACAAAATGAAACGAGAACATAGTTTGCCCTTATTAAGAGAGGCTTCCCCCTTATAGAGACAAGGAAATAAATGGAGGGGCAATGATATATTTTTGTGTTAGTTCTAGTGAAGGGTCCATTTTATCGAGCAGCTGTTGAGTGGTGATTATAAATAAATAAATAAAGTGTCTTTATTGTTCAAAAGATAAATTTACATATCTTATGTTACATTTAAATATAACAATGTTAATGGCTAAAGTATGTCTCTAAATAAGATTAGAATATACATAGAAACAAATACAAAAATCGAATATAGAAAGTACACTGTTTACAAAGCTACATTATACTTAAAGACAATTCTATTAAAGAATGTATTCTTGAAACGGTCCGTATGAATGGCGGGCATTGCGGGGGATTTATTCCTTAAGTTGTATCTTGTAATCTTAGTCTCAGGGAAATTAGCTCTAAGAGGGTGGTTCGGGATACTAGAAACCTTCCTACAAATTCTATGATCTTGCACTTTAAGTAATTCACCTATCTCTAATTTCTTGGATATGTATCTACGTTTAAAACATCGATCTAAAAACTGCTAGGCTATAGTTAGCTCTGATTCAGAGGCCCCATACACAGATAAAGCATAAGTAATATTAGGTAGAACTATGGAAGAGAATAAATGGTCTACTTCTGCTTGGCTACATCCCTCTTTTCGGAGGCATCTGATAACATACAAGCATTTATTAGCTTTACATAACTTGTAGCATGTGGAGGATCGCCAGTAAGAATTTTCATTGCCATCACCCCTACCAATCTGTTCAATCCTGTAATCTATACCTTTTCTAAACAGAAGACCAGAGCTTGATGGTCGCATAGGAAAAGTATCATGATCTCATCAGCGGCCACATGGCAAAATGTAGATAGCTTGACTGTGGATTTTTATTTAGCAAAGTGCTTCTTCCTGCACTGATTGGAAGGATTGACAGATTTCCTTACCCTTTTATGTACTTCAACAATGTGAACTCCCTACCCTTTCATACACCTGAAGCCTAAAAAAGGTACTTCTTTCGGGTGGAGCCTCCCAGTATAAGGCAACAACAGCAGTTTTGACATCTTTTTAGTAAAAGTTTATGATATTTTTATTATCATTAACATAGTAAAAACCAGCGACTAAGAACCTCATTCTAATCAACCTGTTAGACTAAAATTTGCCAGTTAGGCCCCCTCTATGTAATAACTAGCTTGCGAACCGCAGACGTATTTCCGGTCGTCACTTCTCTCCCTCCGAAAAATAACGTCTGCGAACCCGAGCGGCAAAACGATTTCCATGACGTAGAAGCTTCTGTTTTGATGTTGGCCAATCAGAGCAAAGGATAGAATACAGCTCGAGGGACTCCTCGCGACCTCGCGCCCTGCCGTGTCTTGGATTTGGCAAGAGTTACCAAATACGCTTTGGAACGTGAATTTCACGACCACAACAAGGTTTCCTGCGACGT